TCACTGCCGTAGGAATTGTCTGTTGACATTGACAGGACGTATAGCTCATTAGGTATACAGGCCTCAGGACGGGCAGAGTCTGTACATCAATTGACCTTACAGGCAAACAAAGTTCGCATCCATAATTCTCCGGCTCGAGATCATCTTACACGCAAAATAGAATGGGCACACTGCCTCGGAGTATGAATGAGATGGACAGCTCGAGACACAAATTTCAGGCTCTATATATCAGCTGGCGCGGCGAACAGCCGTAGTCAAAAGGGAGTTTCGCCCACTATTTCTCAGCAGAGAAACCAAAAGGAAGGAAACACTCATTTACATCTCGATATCGGCGAGGAAGAACGGAGAATGGGCAGCTGTCAGAAAGGGCCAGCCCGCAATCGCGCCAGCAGGGAAATGGGGGCCGGAGCAATGACGATGATGGACCGTTCCAGGCCTTTTGTCGGTCTGGCAGTCTCGGTGAAGCATGTGAGTTTCCCGGTCTAAGAAAGCACTGACCGCCAGCTGGCGGCGGATTCCCCACAAAAGTAAGTAGTGCCCCGTCCGTCCCATCATCGAAAGGGAAGCACCACGGGCAAGCACCAGAAAGCACGACCGACCGGGTCACCTTGCTACCTACCTGTACGCAGTAGGTCATTGCCAAGGATCACGATGAGGAAAGAATTCGGTGCTGACAGCTGGTGGCGGTGCGGAGAAGTGGTTGATTTTTCACTCTCCAAAACCCCATCGTTGGCTGTGGTGACCGTGGGGTTAGCTCAGAGTGACATCACCGGAGCAATTGGTCCTGGGCAAGAGCCATTAGGCAGGCAGGGAGTGAGACAGAGCTCGCAGCTTCCCGCTGGAGCTAAGAATGACGCAGGAAAGGTGTACCTCACCTTTCTTTCCCCCAAGCTCCGTCGACGTGAAAAGTGTTGAGCATTGGTCTGCAACAGCGCAAACAACATGAAGATGAAAATGAAGCCATCCTGAGTCTTTAATCCAAAACGACAATTCAAATATCTCAGTCTGATGGCATGAACGGCATAAACATGTCCCCCATATTTCCCATCAAAGTAATGGTTTCACCGTCCTGGCTCCAAACTGACCTGCAACCTTAATGTTCAGCGCTATGCACGTTGCACCGGGTACGTACCGCCCAGCCAAGCACCGCCAAACAGCCCGGACACCGCAGCGAACCCGCACCGCACCGCGTACTGTAAGGTAGGAAATCCACTAGACAGGGGGGTAGCTACGTCATGCTGAACAGAGATGAGCTTCACGGAGCTCTCTGAATGGCTGATGAGGGGAGAGCTTTTTTTTGTTGCCCTTTTCCGCATCGTCTCGGGAGCACATCATCGTGGCATGTGGCCTGTCCCGTCCGGTGCTATTGCATTGAATTGACGTGACTGCTCTGGCTGTCTGGCTGTCGACATACTGTGTTGGCCCCCATGGTCAGGCACTCAGGTAGGTAGATGACGCTCAGTTGCCTGGGGGAGCTTGGGCGCGCCAGGTTTGGATACGATACGTCTCTTCTTTCTGTATTTTGTTTGATTGTCTCAACGTCTGGCCTGTTGTCTCCAAACAAATCGAATAAGGTAGCAAGTCAAGGGAAGACTCAAGGGAAGACTTGTGCAGGTTCACCATGCAACAAGTTTACGAAAGAGCATGAGCTCCTCGCTCGTCACTCTTTTGACCGCGGCAGGTGTTTCTCGAGCCAGGCAGGTGCGACTTATATGTATATGGCAATGCACCTTACCCAGGAAGGCACCACGGGCAAGATGTGGAAAGTACGTATCACGAATGTACGTACTATAAGGTACAACCGCCCGCTCCTTCCTCCGTTCTTGAGGCCTCGAATGCCATGGCCACCGCAGCAACGAGACGACCTAGAGATGAGATGCATCCGCGGGCAAGGCACCCACGGCGCCCAAGGTCACAAATGCAGCCACAATTTCCCCCAAATTGCACCGCAGTGACGTGATAGACTCCTGCCGTGAATTAGATCATCTGTGGTCCATTGGGTGATGATTGACGCTTGAAGCTTGACGCTTGCCTTCCTTTGGTCGACTCCAAGGCCCCTTCCTCTATGTGCTCCGTAGTCTGTACGCCTCCAGCTCCTCCCTGTCGTCAACCTGCCCGCCTATTGCTTGCACATGCACCTCCACATTCATCTAGGTTCCCCGTCCACATTGCGTCTACCTACGTCTCCCCCCTGCACACACGCACGTAGCTTGCCATCCCGCCTCCCGTCGACACAACAAAAACCACCTACACCCTTGGCAACCTCTTCCCCGAGCTTAACCTTTCTGTTTCTTCCTCTCTACCTCAACATTTCTGTGATTTCCTCATCTTCTCAGTTCTTTCCGGGCCTCTTTTCTTCGTGATACCCCCATTCCTGGCTCTTCATTGGAAGACTGATCGCAAATCAACATCATGCGTTTCCTTCCCGCCGTCCTGACGGCTCTGGCTGCCCAGGGCGCCATCGCGAGCTCTTGGTTCTCCAAGGCCGGTACGTCATATTCAGCATTCATCACTTTCTTGATTTACTGGATATGGAACTGACAAACATCACTCGCAGCCTACAACAAGTGGCACGAGACGGAGCTTGAGCGCTGGCTGTCCGACCACGACATCCCCTACCCTACTCCCGCCGACCGCAAGGATCTCGAGAAGTTGATCGAGAACAACTGGAACGACTACGTTGTCTCCCCTTACAACTCGTGGGATACCGACCGTCTCCAGAACTACCTGAAGGCCAAGGGTCTCGAGACCGAGGGCGCCGCCAAGGCCAACAAGGAGTCTCTCGTTGCCCAGGTTCAGAGCTCTTGGTACGAGACGGGCGACCAGGCTCAGAACGCCTATCTAAACGTCAAGGACTGGATTTTGGACAGCTGGACCGACAGCCAGCTTAAGGCCTTTGCTGACAAGCACGGCATTCCCGGTATGTTGACAACAAATTTTGGTGCCACAAGTATCTGAGACTGACATCATTCTAGTCCCCCAGCCCCGCAACCGTGACAGCATCCTCCAGAAGGCCCGCGCCAACTACGAGACCATTGCCCAGAAGGCTGGCGAGACTGCCTCTTACCCTGGCAACTGGCTGTATGAGACCTGGTCCGGTATGTATTGACGCTCTCTCTACTGTTTATCCAATGCTAATGTCATTTGCAGAGTCTGACTTCAAGGAGTGGCTTGATACCCACGGATTCCCCGCTCCCCAGGTCACCAACGTGAGTACACGCAAATCCTAGGGCAATACCCATGTGCTAACTCGTACACAGCGTGACAAGCTGATCGCATCTGTCCGTCGCAACTCCCGTCTTGCTTCCCTCAAGGCTCAGGAGCAGGCCGCTAGCGCTTCCGCTTCTGCTCAGCAGGCCTATGCCACTCTCACCGACATGGTCATTGACGCCTGGAGCGAGTCTCAGCTCAAGGAGTTTGCCGACAAGAACGGCATCCCTGTTCCCCAAGGCACCAAGGCCAACGAGCTGAGAGCCCTTGTTCGCAAGCACCGTGCTGACTTCCTCAACTCCAACATTGCTGGCAAGGCCAACAGTGCTTTCGGTGCTGCCACCTCCAACGTCAACCAGGCTGCTGCCAAGGCTACCGACGCTGCCTCCAACGCTGCTACCGAGGCCTTCAACGAGGCTGTTGGCACTTGGTCTGAGAGCCGTCTTAAGGGTTACCTCGACTCCCGTGGCGTTCCCGTTCCTCAGGGATCTAAGACCGACGAGCTCCGTGCTCTTGTTCGCAAGAACCAGCACAAGGCCGCCACTGGCTGGAGCGCCTGGACCTACGATGATCTCTCCACCGAGAACCTTCGCAAGTACCTTGCTTCCAGCAGTGATGCTGCCGTCAAGAATGTTGCCGACAAGAAGGACGCTACTCGCGATGAGCTTGTCAACGCTGCTCAGTCTGCCTACAGCTCCGCCTCCTCTGCCGGTGGTACTTCCTACGCCTCCGTCACCAGCTACCTGTCTCAGGCCACCGAGGCGGTCAAGTCCAACTTCTTTGACACTTGGAGCGAGAGCGAGCTCAAGAGCTACCTTGACAGCTACGGTGTCAACGTTCCTCAGGGCTCCACCGTTAACGAGCTCCGCGCCTACGCCCGCAAGCAGTACACGTACTTCAAGTACGGTACCTCGACTCCTTCCGAAACTCTCTTCGCTAAGATCGCAGAGAACGCCAAGGACACCTGGAACTGGGTTTCCAACCAGATCGGCCTTGGCGCTGACGCCGCTCAGAAGAAGGCTGCCGAGTCCAAGGATAAGGTCAAGCAGGAGCTGTAAATGCTCTTCACACTTTTTAATTGATACCCATCTCGTATGAAGATGGTATTAGTGACTCACACGAGTCACACTGATGACGGATGACAAAATTTGGGGTTTCGACTTGCTTTACTAACGACTTTGCTTTGGGAATTGCCATGGTTCGGAGGGAATACCTTCAAGCCCAGGGTAACAAGGGTGATCAATATCGCACGTTTATTTAGTCTCTCCCCTGGGCCAGGACTGTACACTATTCGTTTAGGAATGAGCCATGAAATTAAGCATTCAAAGTATTAAGATTATCAAGATTACAATGTGACCATACTTCCCACCCATTACATCGATGCGTTTTAGCCGCCACTTTGATGATAGATAGGGCTGAATGAGATGCGGCCTCTTGAATTTGATATGCTCTCTTTTGGCTAAACCGAATCGATGGCTAATAATGTCTGATTTGTTTACCGCTTGAATGTTAGAAACTGGCGAATAGCCCGCATCGCTTGATGCACAATCGCATAATACATCACATGGTACTGGGATGGTCTGCCAGAGTAGACCTCTAAGCGGAGTTTGTCTAATAAGGACTATCCACGATGTAGTCCTCAACTAATGTTCAAAACTAAAACTTTTGGTATTTGAAAGCACTTGTCACGAACCCTCTCCATCTGCCCTTTTCTGGTATGCACGCCTCTTCTCAATGCGACCTCCCACGTAGTTATCAGAGATACACCCCCCTACGTTGCCATATCCACGTTACCTTGAGAGAACGCCCCGGACGACTCCCTCCAGGTTAGGCTTATTATCAAAGACGACTTCCTGGATCCCCGTCTCGCCGCCGGTGCCCTTGTCCAGCCAGCGGGCGAGAAGGTCGTTGCTCTCCTTTGGCTTGACGGCGTCGTCGCGGGTGCCGACGGTGATGTGGGCGACGTTGTTTGTGCACTTCCACTGGCCTGTTGGGTCGACTAGGCGAACAACCATGGCCATGACGCGGTCGTCAAAGACCACCTACACGAGAGTTAGTCAGTCTGTCAATAAAGGGTCATGAAGGTTCCTGCTTACCCGCTCGAGCTCGACGGAGCACTCGCCCAAGGGCCGGATGTTGGCCTGGTCCTGGGTACCATTCTCCTTTTCCGCCTCGGCGAATAGGGCGAGGTACTTTGACCACAGCTCCGAGTTGTCCTTCGAACTGGCGCGGTGCATGAGCGTAACGTGGAACTTGGGCTGGACGCGGCGTGTCTGGTGGAGTTGCTTGTAGAAGCGGGAGGTGGAGGCGTCGACCTTGTTGAAGGCACCGTCGAGGACACCGCGGACCTCTTGGGACTGCACCTCGACGGACATGTACTCGAGGGGCTTCTTCTTCTTGGTCTTGGGACCACCGCCCTGCTGTTGGCCCTGGCCCTGACCCTGACCCTGCTTGTCCTTGCGGGGACCGCGGTCGGGGATATTGTGCTTGAACTCGGGCTTGTACTCGATAAAGGCAGACTGGATGGCCTTGTCGAGTTGGTCGGCGGAGGGGACCTCGGGGACGAGATTGGGGTACATGCGATGCAGCTCGGTGATGACCTTTTCGAGGTTCTCGCGGCTGCCGGCGGTGGGGTCGAGGTTGATGACGTTGTCGAAGCCGTCATCGGGTGGAGAGAAGGCGGCCAGGGGCTCGAAGCGGCTAATGAAGCCTTCCATGACGCCGAGGAACTTTGACGCGTCGGTGGCGGCATGGATGGTCTGGTGGTTATCGCCGCGGGCAATGACACGCTCCTGGGTGATGCGCCGGACCTCGTCGACGTTGGAGTTGTCGTGGGCAAAGTAGAGGGCCACAAGGCGGGCCGTCTGGTGCTGGACCTTCACATCGGTGATGATTTGTTTGCGCTCATGCTTCTGAGCGTTGTTGCGGTCGCCGATGACGACGGGGTGATCTTTGAGGAGGTCGAGGATGGCCTTTGTGAAGCGAGGCGGCCGGCCCTTGCCTGAGATGTTATCGTTCTGTACGTGGCCCCAGTTGAACAGCTGCTGGAGGGCGACAGCGATGGTAGTCTTTCCGCAGCCAATAGTGGCAATGGGGCACAGGATCACGTCTCCCGTAACGTCTGCGTTGATATTGTTGGGCCCGTCCTCAAGCTCGAGGTTAGCGGCGTCGGAGCCCTTCATGTTCTTGTAGGCGAGGAAGTCATTGCGCAGGGCAATAATGCCATGATTCTGCTGGTAGAGCTGGGCAAGCTTGGGGTCGGCCTGGAGGCGCCGGCGGGCGTAAAGCAGGTACTCCTCGGTGATCTTGATGTGCTTCTTGTAGCGGGGCGGCTTTCCGGAGATCATTGCTTTTGTGCACTCGCGCCACTGGCGGTACATGAGGTAGGGCTCCTCGAACTTGTACTTGAAGAACCAGTCGCGGTAGGGGACGGATTCCGGGTTGTAACTCTCCTTGCAGCGGATGACGAAGCCCTCGACGTCGCGGTCGCCGTAGGCGCCCGTCTCTGCTACTTCCTCGAGGAATTTCTTGACGTCGTTGACGTCGTCCATGACAATCAGGCCGACATTCTTGAAGCCCCAATCGTTGCCGAAGCTCTGAACGAGGGCGCTTGGGTAGGTGGCGAACTCGGGGAGGTTTAAGTTGATGCCGTGGATGTAGAGGCCGGCCTTGTCCGGACCGTACTCGAGGATGTGCTCCTCAAAGGAGTCGTCGCAGAGCTCGGCCACAGCAGTGGCATTCCGGTCCCGAAGTTCCCTAGCCAAGTCTTCTTTCGTCTTTCCCAGGGCAGCCAGCTGCTTCTCAATCATGCGCTCTCCAGCAGTAGCATGGCTAAGCTCAGCGTCAGCCCTATCACCCGTGGAGTGCTTGCTGCACACTAGCAGCGTACCATCCTCCAGGCCGGAAATGAAGATGATGCAGCCGTTCTCCTTGAGAGTGAGCTCGTAGGGGCCCTTTGTCCTCGGGATGATGTTTTCCCACTTTGTCTCGTTGACCTCGCCAACGTTGAAGAACTTGTCGTAGCCTCGCGTCACAATCTCATGCTCGTTTCGGCGATTCCTTGCTGTGAAGAGGCCTCTGGCGTATGTGGGCAGGCCTCTCTTCTTGTAGTCCCATTCCTGCATCTTCCAGGAGTCTACAGTGACACCGTCCTGGGAGTTCTTGACGTTGAAAGACGTCTTCTTGCAGGAGAAGCCACCGCCCTTTGACTTTGCGAACTTGTTGTAGGCCTTTGCGTCGTTCAGAGCGTGAACCATCTCTGAGACCTTTCCGGCGTCCTGGGCAACATATGGGACCTTGGGCATGACTGCCTCGGCATTCATGGCGTTTGCTGTCGCCATGGTTGTGGTAAAAGATTTCTTGAAATTGAGGGGAGATTGTCTAGAAGCGAAGAAAAGTGCCCTTCGGGCGATGAACATGGAAAAGCCAAAGAACGACGCTTGTGTTGTCCCTTTCTGTGTTGAGAAAGGAGAAGAGACAAGTTGTGTGAAGGTGATCTCACTTGACCGTCCGGCCTGAGGGTGAGATATTCGTTTGTTTTGTAGTACTTGAGAGTACCTTAGGATGTAAGCCCAATCTTTGACTAACAACCTTGAGATCGCTGAAACGGTGAAGCTAGGTCGAGTACAGGCGGCAGCAAACGCAGTACATGAGGTGAGTCACTGTTACTGCCTCGTTTGGGAAACGGGCGAGGGAAAGTTCTAACTTGGGGTCTCGATCAAGTGGCCTCAGCTCAAAGTATTGGCGTGTGGCTACACCTTGAAAGACGGGTCGTGAGATCAAGAGAGAAGAGAAGTAGAGAAAACAGAGTCCTCAGAGTAGTGCAAGTTGAACTCTCAGACGTTTGGTGGTAGTCACGCCGGGGGGAAGGAGGCCAATCGACGGGAAATGGCGTGGTGGTTTGTGCCTTCCTTAGGTTGGTTACCTGGTGTGCCTTGCACTTTCCACATTGGGGGGGGCAGTGGTCCATTGGGCAGGCGCGATGGATAAGCGCCACTGCCCCCAACGTCGTGGGATTCTTCGGGGGGCCACTGGGGCTTGGAGGGGCACAGCACAGCATCCCAAAAGGCCAAAGTCCCAGGGCCTCCAACCCCCACCACCACTACAACTTACCTCATCCAGTCTAGGTAAGCGGTAAGGCCTATCTTTTGGAGGGGTTGATGAACTTTCCAGTGTGCGTCACGCCGGGAGCTCCCCTCATCCGGCAGAAAATTTCCAACAAGCAGACACAGCAGCAACATTGTTGGACGAAAACCGATTTGGCCTCACATTTCCCGACCCAAGAGTTTCACCCCTACTCTTGTTTTCAAGCTGATTCTTTCGACTAAACCAACCATGGCTCCCAATCCCTACCTCTTAGCCGCCGACAACCCGGACGCCCTGCTTACTCTCCTCCGCGAGAACCCCGCCATTGCTTCCAGCCAGGATGAGCACGGCTACTCCCTTGTCCACGCCGCCGCGAGCTACAACCACCTCGAGCTACTCCGCGCCCTGATCCGCGAATTCAACGTCAACGTCGACATCAAGGACGAAGACGAAGAGACCGCGCTCTTTGTGGTCGAGACCGTTGCTGCCGCAAAGTGCCTGGTCGAAGAGCTTGGCGCCGATATCAACGCCAAGGGCGCCGACGGCATCACTGCCAGCCAAAAGATTGAGGGCGAGGGAGACTACCCGGAGATTGCCGAGTACCTGCAGGGCATCGAGACACGGAGAACCGCCTCTGCCGCTGCTGCTGCAGAAGCTGCTGCTCCTACTTCTACCGCCACCTCCACCACCACCACCGATACCGCTGCCCCGCCCATCGACATGCCGCCCGTCCCCGAAGGTCTCGCCGTGACGCTCGGCACCATGGACCAAGCCGAAGAAGTTCCTGCCGAAGTCGACCCCGAGTTCAAGCGCCGGATAGAGCAGCTGGCCGAGAGGGAGGACTTCCACACCGCCACGGGCCAAGCTGAGCTGCGCCGCCTTGTCGAAGATGCCGTCCTCGGCCAGGACCTGGGCGACGAACGCAGTGTGCGTCAGAAGCAGGTTTAAAACGAAGTTAAAGAGAGAAGAAAAGCATTCTGTTTATAATAACTGGCTATTCATCACCTTTGATTTCCCAAAAGAGATAATGGCCAGGCGATTCTGGCGGACGGAAGAATGCGACTTCGGTGCTGTCGCCCGCCATGCCCTTTGAAAAGGACGTCGCGTTTAGCGAGAACCAGGTACGCGAGGGCATCGCGAAGAGGGCGTTGATGAGGACGCTGCGCACCCACTGCGAGGTGAAGAAGCCCTGCCATGAGATCTTGCACACTTTTGCGTGTGACGGCGTGTCCGAGTCTCCAGGGACCCGGTAGCGCGAGAGGTACGGGTCGATGCTATCCCCTGTCTTGACGCGGGGGCTCTGCAGACGGATGAGGGAAAGCCACTCGTACGTCTCTGTTGCAAAGTCTTCGAGGCCCGGTCTGTCGCCGTTTTGAATAACGTCCAGGGGGAGTGACAACGGTGGTGTCTGGACCTGGAAGTCGGGCAAGAGGGAGGGCTCGCACGTGTATCTTGTTGGGAAATATTGGTCCAGCGGATCTGGTGATGGTGCTGAGAAGATTTGATGTCAGAATAGGCAAAAAAAGATAGGATAAGCATGGGAGGATGACGTACTGCTAGTCGCCGCGTTGCAAAATAACCACGTCACAGGCATATTAAGAACATTCTTACAAGCGTACACCAATCTGTCGAAACCCTTTTTACCTGGAAACATGGCCGGGTCTCGCAACTGGTAGCTCACAACTTGAAGGGAGTCAGTTTCGAAAAGTGACGTCCTGCAATATGAAAATGTTTGATCTTGCTCACCCCATCGCGGCTTCAAGCCCCTCTTCCCCCTGACACCGTGAGGCTTTCCAACAAGACCGGCGCGCTCGTACGTCTCCTTGTCGAGATACATGGTCAACAGGCCCTCGCGAAGTGAAAAGACGTTTTCGACGTTTGTCCTGCCCTCGGAGAGCATGAGAATATTGCCTTGATGAAGTCAGTACCCACGTGCCATCACGCTCTGTGATAAGATTGCAAATACCTCTCTTGACGTACTCATCAAAGAACCCGCCGTCCAGAACCTGCCCGAGTGTCATGATGACGCGGTGGAACGTCGGTGCTGGGAGCTCCTCGACGAGCTTTTGGCGAACTAGCTCGAAGCACTCTTGTGGTAGAACGAGGTCGACCTTTTTTTTAGAACGTTAGTTGAAAGTCTTGAAACGAATTTTCCATTCACGTTGTTTTGCTCTCCTCCTCTTGGATGACTGTAGTAAAATCCCGACCTTATAGTTGAACCCCTGGCCCAGGATAGGCGCCCACGGCTTCCCCTTTGTCGGCAGCTGTTTGGGCTCAATGTGAGGCATCGTGCCGTATGTGACGAAGCATTTTGGCGATTGGTAGACGCTAGGCGTCGGGAATGAGAGCATTTTCTTTGGAGAAGCACCGTTACCAAGTTGGTTGAGCTTGGTTTGATTGGCGTTGAAGTTGGCACCAATGATTAAGGCGTGTAAGTTGATCGCGATATTGGAGTTGAGTGAGACGAGAGCTTGACCGCGGATTCGAGAATTGCATATCGGAGCGGTCTTCTTGTGTTCACGGTAGGCGTTGATGGAGTGTGCCTGGAATCCACTTGTCCTTGCTCAAATCGCTGATGATTGGTCGGTGAGGGCGTGTGCGCATCCGAGTGACTCTGCGCCCAGAAAATACCATCCTTTCGAGTCAGCGGGATGAGAGAGAAGCACTGCGCAAACGGTTTCTTCTCAGCGGCCCCAAAAAAACGGAAATTCTCGACATCACTACAGAATAATTCAAGGCTTTTCAGATCTGTGAGTAATGAGACCTCACGTCTCTCCTTTTTTATCTTTTTTTTTTTTTTTTTGGGTTGAACTACTTCTAATATCAAACACAGTCGCAGCCCAGTCATTCGAGCGCAAAAGAACATAAAAACGAGGGGCATTTTTCACCCCGCGCTCGTCGCGCCAGGATTTTTCCACGGCTGCCCCTCCTCACTTAACCAGTCAGTCTCATGAGAGAGGATCCGCGGTAAATCACCCTCGATCAGATTGCCACCCAGGATCCCCAAGTCATCTTCACAATGGAGTTTCTCGTCCGCTTCTCTCAGGCTCACGAGTCCTTTCGGCTCCCTGAACTCCAGGCTCTCGCCGATTTGGAGGGCATCGACATGAAGGTTGTCGAGTACAGCCTAGATGTGAGTCTCCAAACTTACCAGTTTTATATGGCATACATGAGAGCTTCATTTGTTTTCACAACTCTTCAACACATTTCTTGACTTATACGCAATGAGAGTCATTACACACAATCTTGTATTCTGCACAGGCTCATCATGCGTCCCGTTTGCTTGGGCTGGCCCCTTCTCTCATCTCACCACATATGGCCTCTCTCACCCTCACATACCCCTGATGAGACCCTCACCACCAACACCACAAGATTCCAAACCCAACACTCACCTCTCACCTCTCACCTCTCACCTCATCCAGCACCTCAGAAACAAACGCTAATATCATCTCCAGTCCCCCTTCTGCATCATCACCCTCCCCTCAGTCGACCTCGCCCCCCGCCTCGTCGCCCGCTCCCTCCTAACCCAATCCATCCACCTCCTCCTCGCCTCAGCCCCAACCCACGACGGAGTCCACCCCATCCTTAAATCCCAACTCGCCTCCCCATCACCCCAATCCTTTGACTGGTCCGCCGTCAGCACCTCAACCTTCAAATTCTCCTTAGACACATACCAATCCTCCCGCCCCCACGCCTCCTTCGTCTCCCTCATAAACGCGTACAAATACCTCCCCCTCCACGGCGCAATCGACCTCAAGACCCCGGAGCTGCACCTCACAATCTTTGAAGACTGGGACCTCCGCGGCACAGAGGGGCCGAAACGCGTCCACCTAGCCCGCTTCCTCGCCACCGGCGCACGCTCGCTGTCGCTGAAATATGACCTCAAGAAGCGGGGGTACATCAGCACGACGTCAATGGATTCGGAGCTCGCGCTCGTGACGGCAAACCTCGCGCACGCGGCACCTGGAAAACTGTTCTACGACCCGTTCGTCGGGACGGGGTCGTTCCCCGTTGCGTGTGCGCATTTTGGGGCGCTTGGGTTCGGGAGTGATATTGATGGGAGGGCGATTCGTGGGAGTGGAGGGGAGAAGAGCGTAAAGGGGAATTTTGCGCAGTATGGGCTCTTGGAGCGGGTGGGGGAGTTTTGGACGGCGGATTTGACGAATTCACCGGTACGGAGGGTGAGATGGCTCGATGGTATCGTGTGTGATCCGCCGTATGGTGTGCGGGAGGGACTAAGGGTCTTGGGATGCCGGGATCCGGAGAAGACGCCGTGGGTTGTTGAGGCTGGGAAGCAGCGGTACAAGTCAGTGACCCCCTTTTCTACCTGTGTCTTTGCCTTCTTCACTTTCTCGTGCTGGATACTGATAAACGCCAGGTCGGGAGACTTCATCGCCCCCAAGAAGCCCTACAGCTTCCTCGCCATGCTCGACGACATCCTTGAGTTCGCCTCCGAGACCCTCGTCGACGGCGGCCGCCTCTCCTTCTGGATGCCAACCGCCAACGACGAGGACCAGGAGATTCCGACACCGCAACACCCACGCCTCGACATTGTCGTCACATGTGTACAACCATTCAACAAATGTGAGTATTTTCCATCCTTGAATATCTGCCTACCCGAACTCCATCCCTCCATCCATAATCACTACTCCCATCCCAGGCTACAGCATCATGCTTACTCCCAAGTAGGGTCCCGTCGACTCATCACCTACCGGCGCATCCCTGACAGCCAGGTAGACCCGGAAAGGCTGGCGGCCTACAAACGCACATTCGTTGCAGGAACAACAGCAGATGAGTTGAACCCATTCCGACGGGGTTACTTCACAAAGTTTGAAAAGGAAGAAGCCTGATAGAAGAAGAAACCAAGAAGAGAAAAAAAAAAAAAGACATGTACAGGAAATACCCAGCCTCCTTCTTTGATGATGCCATGACCGTTTGCCCGATAAGAAATAATAATGATAATACTATGCGTTTCTCTTTCTTCTGTACGTGTCATGATCCCCTCCTCCCTTAAATCGCTTGGCCTTGGAATATATCCATACTCATACCCGAGGCGTACCATGGCATCGTCATTTGATATCATTTGCACAAAAAAAAAAAAAAAGACAACAAGAATAAGACACGCGTGCGTCCAGCCAGACGTACTCCCGCAGTCTGCAGGCGCGCGCGCGCGCACGCACACACCGGATAGAGTTGGGCGTCGCGCTCGTGCCTCCTGCACCCTTTCCCATCTCCCTCTTCCCTTCTTTCCTTGATCTGGTGTCTGATCTCATCTGAATTCCATGGCGCCGAAGCAGCCCCTATCCTCCACGTGCTTGAGCTCAAGCTGCTGAAACCTGGCAAAAACTGTTAGCAAACGAACGAATTCAAAAAGGTCATGGGAGGGCATTGTCGGCACATACTTTTCGCTTTTCGAGTGGAAGTAGATTCCACTCACTTCGCCCTTGACCTGGTTGAAGCAGATATAGTAGAAGCCCTCAAAGCTGGCCCCGGAGATCGTGCGTACGCGGTGGTCAGGGACGAGGAAATGCTCCTTCCAACGCATGAAAATGTTCTCCCTTTGCGCAACATCACGGATCACCACCGGGCCCTTGCGCGCTTGCTTCTGGAGTGGGCGGAAGGCGTTGAACTTGCCCCAATGGCTGAGATCGATCTTGTCGGTGGCGCCCCAGCTCTCGTGGCCGGTGATGAAGCTATATTTGGTGCCAATGATTTCGCCCTCAAAGTATGTCGTCAAGGTGGGGTGATCCTCGGTGAGGCCTGCAGACACAGAGTTTAGCAGTGAGTTACACGATGAGCGGGGAAGGTAGCTATTTCGTACCTTGGATTCGCAGGTAGCCGCACAAAAATGACTCCCGAAGATCGACGTGCTTGATTTCAACCTGCACATCATATACCTGTCGCTCGGATTGTTGCGTCCCATGAAACTTGCTCCCTGGGCGGAGATATGAAGATGCCGTTGATGGAATAATCTGCCGGGGCGTTTTGTTAGTCACCATCGCGCTAGTCTGCATCATTTTGGGCACGTACCCGCATGTTGGAAAAGTCAGAACCCATGGACGGCGCCATGAGCTCCTCCTCCCATACCTCGTCGACGTCAAATTCCATGCCCTTGCTGTCTTCGTGTTGTACCGAAGTCGGCGATAGCCTGGGATCATGCCGCCTCGCGCCATCTGGCCGGGATGTCCTCAGCCTGTTACCGGCCGAGTGCGCCTCTTCGTCAGACTCGGCATGTTTGAAAGACTCCATATCGGCCGCCGGTGACGAGTTGGCGGTGTCGCCTGACTGCGGCCTCGGCGACATGGTAGTGGATCTTGAAGACGAGACGGCGGATGTGGGCTCGTCATCGAGTATGACCTCTGTGCTCATGCCCTCGGCTTGTGACATTGGAGCGCTGACGGGGGCGGGTGACGAGTCGTCGTCCATGGGGTCGTCGTGATGGGGATCCATCTCGGGAGGGGCCTGATTTGCATCGGTGGGTGGCCTCCAGCTGCGTTGTGGAGATCTTGAGCTGCTATCTTCAGGACATGTCGAGAAACTGTGTGATCGGGGCGAATGAGGATCGGGAGGAGGGTTGGAGGATGGAGTCGGCATGTTGGGCGTCGAAGTCGAGGTCGTGTGTCGTCGTCGAGGACGGCGGTGGATGTCGAAGTCGGGCGATGGGGTCGGTCGCGTCGACGGGGAACGGGTGCGGGTTTACCGCCGGCAGGGGGTCGAGGGCTCCGCAATGATGGCAGCAGGGGGAGCGACGGCGCTGCTGGAGAGTTGGCGATGTCGGTGACGGGCGGGTGACGGTGCGATGTCGGTGATGGTTGGTAGCTCGCCGCGAAATTGTGCGGTCGCGGGCTCGAAAGTCGAGACAAACTCAACTCGGTCGACGGGATGCGAGGAGGAGTAGAGTTGGGCCAGGCCACTTGGAGCAATCGGTGACTTTGGGGCCGAATAAGTCACAGGCCTGCCAAGTGGAAGAAAGCGGTCGGGGGGGGGGGGAGCGAGGATGGTATTGGTCGAGAGAGGACACCACCCCAGAAGTCGACGAGGTACGACTTTGTAGGTAGCCGCAGAGTCGCAGGACGACGGTAAGTGGATGAGTGAGGATGATTGGAGTTACAGTTCGCAGAGGATAAGCTGAGTGGTCGCAAAGCACGTCGCGGATAACGAAGCTTTTCTGGCTTTGAGGGGAATATCAAATGCAAAGTAGAAGCAACGGACGGATGACTGATGATGTGACCAAGACAAGGTGAGTCTGGGTCGTTTGGTAGGTATGTAGCAGAGGTGGGCGAAAGATATGAGAGGGTTGTCCGCAGCAATGCAGTGGCTGTATCCGTACAGACTGAAGAACAGGGCCAACAAGAACTGTAGCCAGCAACAAGCGACAGAAACAGCGACAGCGACGGGTAGAATGGAACTCAAGGCAAGGTGGAATAAGGTGGTGACTGGATGCAGCCAGCAGGACGGGAGGACGATGAAGTGACCAAGGCACGGGAAATGGGACGGGGGGTGACGATTAGGATGCGGGATTGGAGGGGGGAAAGGCGTGGAAGGCGTGGTAAGGTTACCGTGGGTACAACGGGCATGTACTCCAGGTGCTGGGCGTCTGTACGTATCTGTAGGTACATAGCTTCAACCTGAGCCTTAGGTTTTTCACTGAGAGTGCCAGTGAAAGTGAGAGGGCGTGGCATGAGAGAGAATTGGGGGTGAGTCGTGACCGGGGAGGCACTGGGACGGACGGGGGACCCGCGGAGAGGACGGGGTGATGGGACGGGATGGCCTGTACCCAGTACCTAACTGAAGTGAGTGACGATGCTGGCCGAGGTCTTTTACTTCGCGATGGTTCAATACAAAATGGCTTTTACATAGTTTATTGCAGAATCTTTCATATACAGTGCAGACTGTACAAATTGAGAGTTATGAGATGAGTACAATGTCTCGACTGAATCCATCACACATCACCCAGTCAATTGCATACATTTATCTGTAGACAATCTGAAAACACATGAAATGGGTGTGAAGTGACCAAAGGGGGTGAGATGAAATGCGGGAGAATGAGGGCGGGCAGTTGCTGCAGTCAATGCATTGCAGCCGATGACGCCTGTGTCCCCGCCTTCTGTTCGCGGCCTGAATGCTCATTGCTCACTCGTCCAGCTGCTTTGTATGAAAGAATGCCTCAATTACCTCAGCTACCTAATCCGCTAAGAAAAAGAGAAAGAAAAAGAAGGGACGTGTGAGACGCGGGGACACCTCAATTTGCGTCGTTTACCGCTAGCCACGTTGGAAGGGTCTTCCCGGCCTGTGCCATTTCTGCGCTGTCAAGCCCTGCGCCGCCCTTTTTTTTCCTTCTCTCCGCTACCGTGCCGCTGTAAAGTGAAGCTTGTTGGTTGTCCCTCTCTCGCACTAACAAGTTGTCACTGCCACGCCACCGAGCTACAGTAATCGTGGGTAATTTAGCGTAGAAGGCGTGGTTTATCTCCAACTGTCATGACCGTAACTCCCACGAACCGACTTCCTGTCGCTTCTGGCGTCCCACGCATTGGCCCATGGCGTACACTAACCATGACTCTAGTCTTTATTAGCGAGCAGCTGGCTAACAGCTGGATCGCCTTTCGCTCGGTGGCTCGTGTTGGGGGAACTGCTGAGCTGCAAGCGTCGCGAAAGAAAGACACTTAACCACTTTACTCACGTTGACAGCGACCACAGGCGCGGTTGACGGATAGCCAGCGTCCGTTTTATCCTTTTCTAGCAACTTATGTCATACCTATAATTCGTCCATAGTTGTACCTTAGCCCATTACTGGCCGGCACTCACTCATCCATATACTTTATCCACACATGCCTTCCGTCAAGCCCCGAACACGACAATGGCACGCGACACCAACGCGATACAGCCCTGTAGTCTTGCGCTGTACGCCGTGAAGGATTTCAACTAGCTGCTATTATTACCGACTCCTCAAGTTCCCTTGGTCACCTCTCAAACATGAAGACTCCACGAGTTGAAGCTTTAGGGGTCAAGGCTCACACATCGGGCTTGCGGACTTTACTCTGCGCCCGTCCTCCAGCATGTACTTTCCAAGACTCAGCACCCAGAGCCTCAGATGGCGGGGAACGGAGGCTTCGGCAGGGCGCTCAAAGCCTGAATCCAATCTCACACGGAAGAGTTGGAGAAAAACGGGCACAGACTGGGGCCAAACTCTGTGCTCTTGCAGCCTCTTTTCCTGCACTCCAAGCCCTCAGACACTGTCAAAGCACTCTCACTCCCATCTGTGTCACTCATCACACTTGCTGTGTACACACCTTAATCTCATCCTGCCTATCTCGCCTTTCGTAGGTGTTCAAGACGGGCATACCTAGGTACCCCTCACAGGAACAGCTCCCACAAAACACGAGGTGCTCGTCAACTAATCAGCTTCAAGAGAAGCTATACTCTCAGCTTGGGTTGCAGACAGTCGTCTCGCCTCATTAACTCTATGCTCCTCACTCCCACCGGCCCTTATCCCCGGCGACTCCAGAGTTGAACCTCCAGACTTTCTAGACTCTTCAGAGTGAGAGGCTAGAAGAGCTCACCTTACCCGCCCCATATCCTCCCAAGTCTGAGCCTCAGCCTCATGTTTAAAGAAGGGCTGTGCAAATTGACACTCACTCTATTCATCCATTCCTTGCACTCGAGTCCGAAGCTGGTCCTCTCAGGTGCTAAGAGACTTTACTTCAGTCATATCTTCCGACCAAGCAAGTCCCTGTCACCATCCGTAATTCTCCTTTGGGACTCGCATTCTTCTTTGCACTGTTGATACTGTCTGTGAGTACGGGTTCTCCCAGTCGCACCTCACATCGATGAACTCACCTTCCTCCCGTGCCCATTTAATGCTTCACCCCTTTTCAGGTCAAGAGCTTGGGTCAGCTTTCGCGTTTGGTATGCTTAATGGGTCTCTCTAGTTGCAAACAAGTAGTCATCATACGCATTCATCGCATAAAAGACGATCTGGGATCGGCGTCGCCGTTCAACGCCGCATCACCGAGTTTTACACCCTCCTTCCATGCTCCCCGTTCTGGCGCGATCCGAAGCCCAGGTACCGGCTTCTTCCCGTCACGCCTCAACGGCCCTTTACCCTGCTGGGCTCTGTCCGTCATTCAGTATGGTTACTCAGGAGTCTCGCACCCCACTAGCAGCCCGAAGAAAAGGCGTCGCTGTTGGTCCCAGCTCGCGTGCTCTGTAACACGTCTTTGCCTGGTGTAAATGCGCCGTTGCGAAAAGACTGACTCGAACTGTTGGCATTGACTGCGAACCACACCACCTCTATCCCCGAACCAAGTGCGGCGGTCCCATGAAGATAAAATTGACCGAACGAGAAGTGTGCCATTCTTTTGACAGCGGGCCGCATGCCACCTCGAGAAATAAACTCTTCCTCGTCTCTCAGGCTTTTAAACATCATCATCATCATCATAGTCAACACTCAATCTCAAAAACACCATCCAAATAGGGGGCGCGTGTGTGCATCAATAGTGAAAACCGCATCTCGTTATTTTTCCTCGCTGCACATGACCTGGAGCCATGCGGTCTGGTCTGCCCCGAGTCTGACCTCGTATGACGGACGACCAGCAGGGCTGCCTAATTTCCCGCCTGCCCGTATGTCCGTTCGCCAGCTCGTCGTCTGAGCTGAAGGGCCCAAGACCCCTCCTCCATGCACCCGACTTGCAGCATAATGCATTTTTTTCTAGAAAACAATGGTCGTTCCGCAGATCACATGCGGGCTCGTTCATCATGGTACGTTCTCGTGGCCGGTTCGTAGCGTTCTCGCAAAGGAGGAGGAGAACGGATGCGGGCCCAGTCCTCAGGGGTATCTCCAAGTATTTTATCGTTTGCCGCCCAAATTAGCCCAACGCCTTCTTCTTCTTCGACCTGTCCCCTCTCTAAATGGGCTTAATCTTAAAGTGCAGCGCAATCAAGCTGAACACCAGCGCCTTCAAGTCCTGCACCAGGTAGTAGAAGACGCGCAGGCCTTCAGGGTCGGCAGACTCTGTCACGTCAACCAGTGAGCCGATCTTGGCCGTCTGTTCGAAACACGTCAGTCAACGCGAAGCTCCGAGTCCAACTAAATCGAGTCCAACGAAATGGATTTCAACCCACCTCAAAGGAGATGTGGTCGTTGCCCAACCGAATCTCCAGCTCCTGACGCCCGTCCTTGTTCTTTTGTGGCCATTTTGAGTCATCTTCCCTTCACCCTCTATGTCAGCGTATCTCCGGGGATGGTTGCTGTCGGGTATCGTACTTCAGAATCTCGCTCGTCTTGATGATGCGCTTGATCTCGTCGACGATGAGAGCGCTGACACACACTGGAGGTTCCCATTAGCGCTGCTTGACTTGGCCTTTTGGGGAAAAGATACCGTACTCTCTTTGCGAATCAGACTATCATTTCGGTAGTTGGAATTGTTCGCATAACGCGCGACTGCGCTCCGTCCATCGCCAACGACGCGGAAATCGAACTCTGGTGGAAACACAACGTCAGAAGGCTGCTCAAAGAACGGGATAGTGGGGTTGGGGTTCGGTGTTACCCAAGAACTCGTGTCCGAATCGTCCAGAGTGACCGGAGCTGCATCTCATTTAGCATTGATACCTCATACAGTGAAAAGCTTCGGCTGCATACTAGTAGCGGAGGTAGAATTGGTCGTTGGGGGCCGCCATCGTGACGATAGTGTGGACGACAAATGACAATGTCGGTGAAATGTCACGGCTGATGTCCTCGAGCTGCAAGGCTGGAGATGGGAATGCAAGAAAAAGCGGGATGGTCCCCAGCCAGCCCGGGCAGCCTAGCCTGGCGGGGTCCGATCCGACATGGTCCAAGCTTCCTGAAGTCGCCAATGGTCAGCTCTTGCCCGTCAAGGGAGGTTCTAACCAGTTAATCCGTTCCGTCCCCGTTTTTGTGGAAGGCCGCAAGGGGTCGAGTCCCATTAAAACCCGAATCACGTGTGATTACCTAAGTAAGTGACACCTGTCCGGCGCAGGTGCCCAGGGACAGATATTCACGAAATGGAGGCCAGAGTATGTGAGAGAGGCCAGCTACCGAGCCGTATATCGGAATTAATTGCTTTCAACACAGCACAACAAGGCAACGCATGTCTATCTAGGACTCGTGTGGAAGCGGATAGTCTTGCTGGATGGCCTAGAGTTCGTCTTACTCTCCAATCCTCTTAGTTCTGCTCACTTTGGGCTGTAAACTCGCAGCGATAGACAGCTTCCCTTAGCTAACACGTATTCCACCCCCGTCCCTAGACCGTCCAATCCCCACCGCCCAGCTTCGATACATCCCACTCGAACCCCCGAACTCCCCCTTGAACACGTCCTCAACCACAGCGCCGGCACCTCGCCAGCAACATCACACCGCACCCGCCACGATGGCCTCTTTTCTGGAAAATGCGTACAGCTTGGTGCACCAGGACAATGCCGCCGACGTCCCCTCCCTCTCGGACCTGCGCACGCAGCTCGAGAAGGGCACCGACGAGAGCAAAGTCGAGACCATGAAGCGCATTCTCACGATCATGCTCAATGGCGATCCCATGCCCAACCTGCTCATGCACATCATTCGATTCGTCATGCCCTCGAAGCACAAGGCTCTGAAGAAGCTGTTGTACTTTTACTACGAGATTTGCCCCAAGCTCGACTCCAATGGCAAGCTGAAGCAGGAAATGATCTTGGTCTGGTTCGTGGCTGGCTCGTTCGTTCCCTTCGCAGTTGCGCCCCTGCTGACACTCTGGCCTTAGCAACGGTATCAGAAACGACTTGCAACACCCCAACGAGTACATCCGGGGAAACACTCTTCGCTTCTTGTGCAAGCTCAGAGAAGCCGAGCTCATTGAGCCTCTCCTCTCCTCCGCCAGACAATGTCTGGAGCACCGCCACGCCTACGTGCGCAAGAACGCCGTCTTTGCGGTTTCCTCCATCTACACACACTCCGCCAGCCTGATTCCCGATGCCTCAGAGCTCATTGCCACATTCCTCGAATCCGAGAACGACCCGACATGCAAGCGCAACGCTTTTGCTGCGCTCGCCTCCATCGACCACGAGAAGGCACTGCTCTACCTGAGTACCGTGTTTGAGGGTATCCCGAACGCAGAAGAGCTGTTGCAGCTTGTCGAGCTCGAGTTCATCCGCAAGGATGCCGTCCAGAACTCTCAGAACAAGGTAACGAGAATCAAGAATGGATATTGCTTTGGCGCACATCTGACTTTGATTAGGCACGGTATCTCAGACTCATTTTCGACCTCCTCGAAGCCAATACCTCGACCGTCGTATACGAAGCCGCTTCCTCATTAACCGCCCTCACAAACAACCCTGTCGCTGTCAAGGCCGCGGCCGCCAAGTTCATCGAGCTTAGCATCAAGGAAGCCGATAACAATGTCAAGCTCATTGTGCTCGACCGGGTTGACCAGCTACGAAAGAAGAACGAGGGTATCCTGGACGACTTGGTTATGGAGATCCTTCGCGTCCTTTCCAGCCCCGATATCGATGTTAGACGTAAGGCCCTGGATATCGCTCTCGAGATGGTGTCAAGCAAGAATGTCGAGGAGGTTGTCCTGCTGCTTAAGAAGGAGCTCTCCAAGACTGTCGACCAGGAGTACGAGAAGAACACCGAGTACCGCCAGCTCCTCATCCACACCATCCACCAGTGCGCCATCAAGTTCTCAGAGGTTGCCGCTAGCGTTGTTGACCTACTCATGGACTTTATCGCCGACTTTAATAACACTTCAGCCGTCGATGTCATCAACTTTGTCAAGGAGGTCGTGGAGAAGTTCCCCAAGCTGCGCAAGCCGATCGTTCAGAGGCTGGTTGCTACCCTCAGCGAGGTGCGTGCCGGAAAGGTGTACAGAGGTATTATGTGGATCATAGGAGAGTACTCCCTGGAGGAGCGCGACATTCGGGATGCATGGAAGAGCATTCGTGCCAGCCTCGGCGAGATCCCGATTCTCGCTTCGGAACAACGACTCCTGGACGGCGACAGCGAGGAGGAGAACAAGGAGCAGGTCAACGGTCACTCGAAGCCCACAGCACCTACTGGCTCGCGCAAGGTTCTTGCCGACGGAACGTACGCTACTGAGACCGCCCTTACCAGCCAGTCTGCTGTTGCCGCCAAGCTGGAGGCTGTCAAGGCTGCCCAGAAGCCTCCTCTGCGCCAGCTCATTCTTGATGGCGACTACTACCTCGCAACTGTTCTCTCTGCCACCCTCGTCAAATTGGTCATGCGCCACGCCGAGATTTCTGCCGAGTCAGCGCGTACCAACGCTCTTCGCGGTGAGGCCATGCTTATCATGATCTCCATTATCCGCGTCGGCCAGTCGCAGTTCGTCAAGGCTCCCATTGACGAGGACTCGGTTGACCGCATCATGTCTTGTGTTCGCTCGCTCGCCGAGTTCGCCCAGAACAAGGAGCTCGAGACTGTCTATCTCGACGACACCCGCAAGGCGTTCAGAGCGATGGTCCAGGCTGAGGAGAAGAAGAAGGCAGCCAAGGAGGCCGTTGAGAAGGCCAAGACGGCCATCCAAGTCGACGATGTCGTTCAGATCCGCCAGCTCTCCAAGAAGAATGCCAGCGATGGCCTCGACGAGATCGAGGTTGACCTGGAGCGCGCAACAGGTGGAGAGGCTACTGCTGAGGATCTCTCGTCTAAGCTCAGCCGTGTGGTACAACTCACCGGTTTCTCCGACCCTGTTTACGCCGAGGCCTACGTCAAGGTGCACCAGTTTGATATCGTTCTGGACGTCCTTCTGGTCAACCAGACGATGGAGACACTGCAGAACCTCTCCGTTGAGTTTGCCACTCTTGGTGACTTGAAGGTTGTCGAGCGGCCGACGACACAAAACCTGGGCCCTCACGACTTCCACAACGTGCAGTGCACAATCAAGGTGTCCTCTACCGACACTGGCGTCATCTTTGGCAATGTCGTCTACGACGGTGCTCACTCAACGGACACGAACGTCGTCATTCTCAACGACCTTCACGTGGACATTATGGACTACATTCAGCCGGCAACATGTACCGAGACACAGTTCCGCACGATGTGGACCGAGTTTGAGTGGGAGAATAAGGTCAACATCAACTCCAAGGCCAAGTCCCTGCGCGATTTCCTCGAGCAGTTGATGGCGGCGACCAACATGAACTGCTTGACCCCCGAGGCCAGCATGAAGGGCGACTGCCAGTTCCTGAGTGCCAACCTGTACGCTCGCAGTGTATTCGGTGAGTTTTCTTCCTCTATTGCATTGACATGTACAGTATCTGTAAGCTAATACGTTTCTAAGGCGAGGATGCTTTGGCAAACTTGAGCATCGAGAAGGAAGGCGAAGACGGACCGATTACCGGCTTCGTCAGAATAAGAAGCAGATCGCAGGGTCTGGCCCTGAGCTTGGGATCCCTGAAGGGTCTCAACAAGATTGGCTCAGCAGCATGAATGGCCTGATAAAGGGGGTGGAAGGTGATGTAGGTGGCTATATATGGAGACTGCGGTGTGTTTCCCTGGCTATCTGAGGCCCACCAAGCCTACAGGTGTAATGAAGAGCCAGGAAAGAGAGACAGAGTGTTGAGTTTTTGACGGTGTATGCCGGGGAAAAAAGCAAACATGTGGTGCTTGGCTTGCCGACAACATCGAGGTGAAATGGGAATGAACAAGAGGTGAGGGGGTTGAAAAGGAGAGACGGGGAAGAGCAGTCTTGGCTTCTCGCCTCTCCTTTTTTCTCTTTGAGGTTAGAGTAAAAAGTGCAGCCCGGTCAGGCGTCATGAGTAGGTAGAAATGAGATGTTCTTGATGTTCAATAATGGCCCTTTATGATGCAAGAAAGTGAGTGAATGTCAATGTCGTCTTCGCTTTCCTCTCCTAAATCACATGAAGAAACAAGCCGATACATCACATAGGAAGGCTAAGCAGATCATGATTAACTTAGGGTGATTATTGGTATTGTAGCTCTCTGCCGTGACAGCCACTGGTCGCTGCCCTACACCTTGGAGAAAAGCCTCGCTCGTTGGATGATCGTTATGACCGCTATTAACAACAAAAAGAGAAAGAGACGACACACAATTGTGAGTGAAGTGCTCATGATGAAAAACGAACGCCTGCAATGAATTGCTGACCAACTTCTTTTGTGCGGCAGTGGGTTTCCATCCTCCGGAACGCCAAATCGATTAAGAGAAAAGATGAAGAAAGAGTTACCACACGGTAATGAAAGGGGGTATTTATCCAGACTGAGGAAAGCCAGACCAAAGGAAATTCATGCTGAGTTGTGTACCCAACCACATCAAATCGAGTGTGATCGGGTGGCGCCATGCTGCAGCCGTTTTGTATAGGCCATGGCGATGTGCTTTGCGTTGGTCGTTGTTCTTTACTGAGGGGAAGGGTGTAGATCGCGTCGCATGTCTTGAGACGTTCTCAGTCGGTGAATCCATGCCTTCTTAAGCCAAAGGGCTGCATATCGGTCCACCGGCGATTTTCGATGATGCTATCTGTCGAAGACGAGGGCGTTGACCACATGACCCTCTGCCCAGCCCTGCTCCGCGAGGGAGAGATTGTCCTTAAGGATCTTGCCCATGTAGGCGATGCGAATCTTTTTGGTGCTGGCGAGCTGGGAGCTTGTTAGATGGGGTCCTCTCTAGGATGGGTAGGCTGAGGTGAAACTCGAGATATGTTACTTACTCCTGATTGCTCCTGAATTTTACGAGCAACAGTTCTGACGCTATCGCTCTTGACGAAGCTGACAGTGACATCGCGCGCAGTCTCGCTCAGGCGGGCTAGGACGGAGAGCTGGTCCCGGGCGTCGACGACGGCCTTACCCTTCTCTTCTCTCCGGCGGACGTTATCTTCCTCGTCTAGCTCTTCTGTAGTCTCCTCTCCTCCCGCAAGATCGTCCTTGAGATCTCTAGTCGAGAGCGCTTCGTCGGCGCCGTCGATCGTGGCATCGTCCTCAACCAAATTAGTGGGATCAGCGACAAGCCACTCAGACAGTGGATAGTAGTTGCCCAATTGATCGTAGGCACCCTGAGCAAGATCGCCCGTGGGGAGAGTGATCTCTGCCGCATTAAGGATGCCTTGCGCTGTCGCAAGACCACCAGTGCCATCGTCGGCAGCACCCTGGCCTACAGGGTCCCAGATAACCTCGAGGGCTGCGCGCAAAGACTGCCAGACCTCTGGGCGGCCAGTGACGCGGGTGTCAAAGAAGTCTCTTCGCTCGCGGTCTACGGCGACGCGAGTCCAGGCGCGACCCTTAGAAGTCCAGACATGGCGGCGCAGAGGCTTGTTGATGTGCTTGTCGAGGGGCATACTGGAGTGGCGGCCCCGACGGCGACCTGAGGAGGTCTGTGTTGTCTCGGCAGGGGAATCATCGTCGCGATGAACGGAGGCGGGCGCAGAGTTAATAGCTCTCGCGGAGCCCGTGTTGGTCGGACCCGGGTAGGGGGCATTAGAGCCCTGGGGACGGGAGAGACAGCAGCCCTATGCGAGAAGGATCATCAGTCTGAGAACATGCGGGAGGTGGTCGGACGAAATATGCAGGTTTGGCAGGAAGAGAGCGCTTTGGCGTTCGGAGTAGTGTCCGGTGGTGGCGGTATGATACAGAGATGAGGGGGAGGGGAAGTCAATATTTACCATATTCTCGACGCCTTCACTTGGAGGATGGGGTGTTTGGTGGTGTATTGGCGGGGGAGATTGATTCTAGCAAGTTGGTGCGTCTCGTGCCATTGCCCAGGTTGTGGTTTGCGGCGTGTTGGTGATGATCAGGTCGCTGTTGACCTTGAGATGAAAGGCGAGTTAACGCAAGCTTTGGCTAGTTGTACTGAACAAAGATGTAAAAAGGTTGGCGGGAATTAATTAGTGGCTTTGCCGTAGAGAATGGAAGTCGAGTGGTGAAAACGGGGGCGATGTTGAAAGAGGAGAGCGAGCGAGCATGGGCTGTTGGATGGTCTAGACCCTTGTGTCGTTGACGTGACGATCTGACGCTGGTTGGTCGACGAGCTGCGGCTGTCGTGTATTAAAAGGTGTGTGTGTGTGTGTGTATGTGTGTGTGTATGTGTGTCGTGTTGGTCCCGGACGGAGCGTGGGGAGAGTGACGGGAAGTGGTGTAGCTGAAGTCAAGAAAGGTACGTATTCGAGGCGAGGGGGAGGCGTCACGAATGGAACGAGAGCAGAGAGAAGGTGGGTGGTGAGAGGCACAGAGCAGGTGGGAGCTCCTCAAAGACGTTGCAGGCGGCAGAAGGAGGGCATAAGAGAAAAAAAATGAAAAGTGACGAGAGAAAGTGAGGGACAGGGACTGTGTTCAGGAGGGTGGGTGAGGCACCTGGGGACCAGTGGTGGTGACGAAAAGAAGGATTACTGCGAAAGGTAAGGTAGCAGGTGAGGTGAGAGGTTGGAGGTGAGATGGTGAAGGCAAGGTGAGAGTGGTGAGTGAAGTCTCTCCGTACCTTATCGGTGCCGTCCTTTCCTTCCAGTTTCCTCTACGGATGGATAAGGTACCTCAGTACATATCTCAAGGTCTCAAGGTAAAAAATGGAAAGAATGCAGCAGATGATCAGTGGTTGCAGTTCCCCGGAAGAGGATCTCGGCAGCAGGGGTGGTGCTAGTCCAGGCTACCTTAGTCCAGTGGGTTGCTGCTGTGAGACGCCTAAATTGTGCTTGTTTTTCGCTTCCCGTCCGCCTCGCTTGCGAAAAGATAAGGTAAGAAAGAGAGCAGTGGACCTCGACTTTTCGTCCCTTTTTGCCTATTTCTCTGTACTGCGTACACTAATACCCTTTGCTCTCCTGGGATCTGTAAGGTTGGGTACCTTAAGGTATGACTGAAATGCACGCACCCGTGGAATATCTTCTCTCCCGGGTGCAGCATCTCCAAATCAAGACATGTTTCGCTCCTTCGAGTCTCCGTTTGCACGTGGATTATCCTCTTTCAGAAATATTCGGTAGACGCTAAGAGACAATGGATCGAGACATTGGATCGGCCCAGCCTGACGGTTCCCTCTCCTTGAGTGTCTCTCTCTCACACTCTCATACACTTAGGTAGTGTGTGCCCGTTTCCATGTCTTTTATTACTGTAAGCTCTTCCAGGCTTGGCCACAAGTGCCTTGGCAAGATCCATCCGACAAAAATCGGCCCAATGCAGGGTCCTCCCCGGTATCCCTCAGCCCAGCCCACTCGCTTCATGCCGCAAGACTCCTCCCAAGGCTCCCCTCCATCGGCCTGCTTTCTTTATCTTTTGCTCTACGATTGACCCTCAGTATTGGTGGTGAGGGGATCAGTCCAAGGTTCTGCTGAGCCACCATGGATTGAACGCCTGATCAATAACACGGACAGCGGCCAGCAGTAGACCGATGGATCGTGGCAGGCGCCTCTACCGACACATCTTGATTACGCACGCGAATCAGAAACACCATTCGTAAAGGCAATTCACTAATCACTTCATCTTTTCCTAAAAGATTTCTTAGAGGTCATAGCGGTGCTCGAATTGGCGCTTCTAGAATGGATATCGACCGGGGCCAGTCTCGTATTACACCAATTGAGACGCTATTGCCGAGATCCCGTTACTTGACTTCAGACCAATTTGGAAGCTTGCCTTACTAACACATAAGATCTGTGTCTCCATCGCAAACACTAGATCTGACACCTCAATTTGCGTCCGGGGCTCAGATGCATTTCATCGCGTCATGCTCCCTTCGACATGACAATTAACATGTGCGCCGTGCACGAGTTGGACGTCAATAGGGTCATGCTTCATATCCCAATCCAGGGCATCCCCCCTTGGCATCCCGAGTTGTCCGCCTCTTCAGACGAACCGGGCGCACCGGCCATCCCTGAAGATCCAAATTGTGGGCTCCTTCAAGCTTGAGGCTTCATCAACCCACGGAGCCTCCGTGTCATGCCGTTTCGGCACCTGACCCAGTCTTCCTTGCCCGCTTTCTCCCAGTACTTTCAATCTGGGCCCATTTTTTGATGCCAGACTTCCGTCCGTACCTATCGGCAAGGTTGGAGGTAACGTCTGTAAAAGCCCAACATCGATGACGTTCGCCTCTTTCGTCATTGGAGGCTCCTTGACTTCCACAGATCCCGCTACCACCGACGCTATGTGGCACTTCACGGCTAACATCGATTTGTATCCGACCTTCCGACGACCCAGAAGCTAGAAACGTGATCGAGTTCAGACAGATGTCACTGTTACTGAGCGACTACCACAGGAACTGGCGACAATTCTTGCTACCGCAAAGACACGGAACCATGTCGCCTTGCTTGCTCTTGTCCTTTGCATCGGCAGCGTCGTCGCTCACACCGTCGACATAGTCGAATGTGAGTTGCTCTCCGCGGGGAATGTCGCGAAGCGCAAAGAAGGCGAGATCGTGGATATGCTTGTCGGCGTGATCTCCCACGCGCGCAAAGATGCGCAGATTCGGCTCGCACGAGTGATTGATGAAGCGAGTCGGGCCAGACATGAATTCACCGTCTATCTCGAGCGGGGGACCTTGTAGGCGCATGTCGGGGGAATCTTCGTCGGTAAACTTATCGAGCGCGAACAGGTACACGTCCTTCTGTTGCGCAATGTTTGAGGTGTTCCGTCGACGCTGGGCTTCCTGTGGAGTAATGATTTCGCCAATGTAGTTATCAACGAACTGCCCTCGTCGAATGTCGAGCAACGATCGTACACCTGTTGTCAGAGAGTAAGCTTCTCTCTAGCCTAAAGCCTGCCTTCCAGCTGAACTCACCCCAGCCGGTCTTCTCGGTCCGGAAAATCTGAAGAGGAACCTGTCGACCTCTCTCGACCACCCTGTTAGGACAGGTCACATCGCATGCGCAGCCTTCGTGGCATTCGTAAATGGGCCGCGTCGAGCTCAGGAACTTTGACCGCAACAGACCGGCCTTGGCGCCGTGCATATGGTACATGTAGGCCTTTTTCCTCGCTTCGCCCTCGTCGTCCGAGTCGTCTTCTTGCTCCTGCAGGCAGAGACAGCCCGTGTACTGGCATTCTTCCTCATCTTCACATTCGCATCCACTTCGGAAACTATCCTCTGCGGCCTGTACCCCGTGACCGAGCTTCGAATGCTGCAGGAATCGAAAGTTGGGTGGGATTACTTCGTCATCGACTTCGTTGACTATGGTGATTGGGTATTGTTTGTGGTTCGGGAACGCTCGTATTTGGCACCACTGGCAGTCTAACTTTTCTCTCTCGATGGCCTGCAGTCAAGCACAGTCAGATTAGCTCCCATCATCTAGCAATGCTATAGACATAATCGCAAACTGTAGTATTGCAGGTTCCCTACCCGGAGAGCTGTCTTGGTTGCGCCCGGCTTAGGAGCGCCATGGTGAAAGAAGTGGCGTTCAGTTACCGCCTCCATGTTGTCAGCTGTTGTATGTCCGTAATGGCTTGGAAGCGTTGAAAGGCATCCCGAGAGTGACGGAGTGCGAATATGTAAGTAGGTGGAGGCGTTCGCAGCTTAGGTAGGTTGTCCATGGTCACGGAGCTGGAACCGCGGGGCAACTTGACCATCGGCGGCAGGCACCACCGACCACTTTACGCGACGCGTCCAAGCTCCCTGTTCTGCTGACTCAGCCACCTGTCTAGTGGGGCATACGTTCGGAAGTCCTCTCCGGTACGGGAACCTTCGTCTGCTTTCTCTCTCTGCCACTATCCATTTTTACAACTTCATCTTTCCCTAGGACAGTCGCGATGCCTTACCAAACATGATGCTTCACGGAAATACCAACAGAGCGATGGACCAAAAGAGACTGACAAGACTCGACGCATGAAAGCGGACTTCTATTCTCTAGGCAACTTACACATTCCTCGGCTTGTTCTTACACTGAGGCTTGAACGTAGATCCAAGCTCGCCCCATTTGATATTGCTAAACGTCACAACCGGATTAGGCTCAACCTTGAGAACGTTCTCTGGGAATCCCTCCGTCTCATTGCATGGTCCGGCTTCCGGCGCACCGTCCAACCACCTCATCCCGCCGCCGGCATCCCACCAGATGCTAAACGCAAGCACCACCCCGCGGTCAAACGACTCGCCCGTCTCCCGGTGCGCGCCGAGATCCATGAACCGCCGCGAGCCCGTCGCCGCGCAGAACTCGTCGTTGAGGTAGTTGACCTGTGGTAGATCTGTGTTGTTGACGACTTCGCTGCGGATCAGGTGGCCGTCTTGGATGTAGAGGCGGTGGATCTCGGTGAGGACCCCGGCTTCGTTGGCAGGGAACTGTGTGATGACTGTGAAGGGGCGCGTTGTGTCGACGTCGAATCCTGAGCCGCGGCCGTAGTAATCATTTTGGTTGACTCTGTCTCTAGGGTTAGGTTCTGTTCTACACTTTGTGGTCGCAACCTTGGCCACTTACCGGTACGGGTTCCAGGCGCACCCGTTCTTATCGCAGACACCCTCAAAGGCACAGTCTTCGCCCTCGCATAGATACACACCAGTCTGGTTGCATGGGTGCGGCGCCATATGAGCAGAACGCGAGTTGGCCTCCCAGATGTCCTGTGATGGCATGTTAGTTGCTTTTGAGGGCTCCAAACAAGATCCAAGGATAGACGACTCACCATCTCATTGCAGCAGGCGCCGTATCCTTCGATGTTGGCTTCACCATTAATAAATGGCGTAGTATAACACTGAGCATCGCAGTACCCCGTCCCATGACGGGCGCCACCGGTGTTGAGCGCGCTCTTCCCACCGTCGGCTTCCATCTCAGAGGTATACAATGCACTATTCATGCCACACGGCAACTTCGAGACATCGACGTCAAACGTAAACTCCTTGCCCGTCAGGTGCATCGTCTCATACTGCTCCTTGGAAGGGTCAAGAAGATACACGCGCGGAGACACCTGCACGCCATCCTTGAGCTGGTACATGGTCATGGCGCCGCCGTTCGTCGTGACACCTACGCGGCTGTAGTCGTCGAGACCCTCCTGGACACAGTTCTCGGCACAGGCCTCCTTGGTAGGGCACGCCGTCTCGTTAGGCGGGCTGCCCCAGGAGCCGCAGCTTCCGCCGCCGTTGGCCTGGTAGACGTTGTGCGCAAGGGAGTCGAGGACGATGTAGTTGTTGACTTCGGTGCAGCCGCCGGCCTTGGTGCAGCGCCATGTTGTGAGAGGCGGGTGGTTCTCTTCGGGCCCGATCTGGCGCTGGGCCGCTACCAGGCCCACAAAGAGGGCGGCGAGACCCAAGCGGGAGAGGGAAGAGGCCATCATGACTGATTAGCAGTGGTGAGGATTCTGAAAAGAGATAATGTGACAATCGCACCGGGAGACAGAACAGCGCCCGCCTCGACAAAACATTCGAGAGAGCAGGCTATTCATATATGCTCACGAATAGACACCTCTCTCCAACTTGACCGCGGTTGTCGGGTCCCTCCCCCGTACCCATAATGAACTCGCTCAGGGGTGCATTGGTATCGGAACGCGGCCTCCAGACAACCAAATCTCCCTGCCCGGGCTCTATTCCTTCTTCCTGTCCCGTCTTGCTCCCATTGAGGCGAAGGAAGGTCACCCTCCGAAGCCTTTGTCTGGCCGTCTGGGCGCTATACCATTGATTGCCGACAAGGGTTCGCAGCTTTAAATCAAAGGTTATCCGCCACGAGGTATGTTGAAAATAGGCCTAGTGTCATGCTAAATGTGCTTGGGTAGTCAAACATTCATTATCCTCCAGCTCCCTTTCCTCGTGGCTTCACGGTAGAACGGGCCAGGAACCGTGCATGGGGGGGAAGATCTGGCCGCTCGCTTGGATGCGACTCTACCCTCCCCTTCCATCTTTATACAGGTGAACCTGCATTGGTAGATTGCTCGACTTGATGAACCATCCAGTCAGATTGCCCTTGGCAAGTCCGTTAATTAGCCATCTACTGTTCCTGACAGGGGTGCATTTATAATAGTCTTTCAGTTATTTCGCTCGTGGTGTTTGTTGGAGTCTAGAGATGACCAGAAAGCGGGGAGAACCAGAATTAAGGACGGCGGCTTGCGCTCGATTACCCCATTTCTCCGCGTGAAGCAATTGCAGGGGTATCTGACCGGGGTCGATGATTTGATCCATCTTAAACAGTCAAAGAGGGGGGGCAGCTTTTCCTGCTCGGATTCTGGTCCTCTGGGGTGGATGCCAAGTTATTCTGCACCCGTAGCAGAGAGGCATGCCATGCAACCTATCTCTCGCCTTGAGTCTTCAGTCTTGGTGTTGTTGTAGGCGATAGAATCCGTAAGCTCAACCTGGGATCGGAAATATTGGACATCATCTGTGGCCTCATTGTGGAGATGTCAAGTATCGCTATCATCAGCGCCAGGCAGCAAGATATCGCTAGGAGATGATTCGTGAGTCGCGTCTTACTTGCATACATCAGTCCACAATATCGACGAAAGGGGTTGAAAAGGACTAAATCCCTGGCATAACAGAACTCAAGACTATTGCGTCAAGCAATACTAAAGCGATGTATGGACGAGGTGTTGTCGAGATGGTGCGAATGCCAATGCCTCATAACCCAATGTCCTGAGCACAAGAGGGCTGAAAATCCCTCATTTGAACAACAGCGATTGAACTTAACCCGGTCAGCAACGGCGACATCAATTTCAACTGACGATAGGCAATCACGGCCGAGTCTAGATTCTTTGTAGACACTTTCTAACCAAGACGTAACAGCAGCAATGGGGTCATCATCCACCGACATCACCGCCAAACTCACCGAGTGGCACGAGGAATGGTCCAGCGAACAGACTGACAACGACATACGCATTTCTTACGTCTTCTCCCCTGAGTGGGAGGCCCTAGTTCCCCCTCGATGGGCTGCATACGATGACCTGGAAAAGAGACGTCTGGCCGAGGGAGCCCCGCGGCTGGAATGGCAGGACACAGTTGACCAAAGCCGAAAGGCGTTGTCAGCTATGAAAAACTTGCACTTCAAGCCCCTCGAACCTAGGCTGTGGCCGGTATGCCCGTTATGGGTTCATCTAACTAGATATAAGGGTGGACCGGATTTCGATCCTCACAAAAGGCTACACGGCTGGGCCTCTCTCCCCGATGACTGGGAGGAAATCCAACGGCTGGTTCGAGATGAGCCCGAGTTCTGCGCCTCACTCTCGCCGGCTCAAAGAAGATCGTTTGGTCTTCTCCAGTACTGGTGGAAGGCGGCCTACTGCGACAAAGAGCTGTTGAGTGCCACCGCCGCGCGACTGGAAAAGAACCGGCCCTTTTGGACTATATCAGATCCCTCCGACGGATATGATCTTCGTCGCATCGCCAGCGAAGTCAAGACGGACACATCTCTATACCACTCACACCTATTCAGGCTCTTCCTCTTCGAGTTCCATCCGATGTTTTGGGAGCCTTTCCTCTGCCATATGAAGCTGTCTAGACTTCAGCATGCCCGCTATCGATCTTCTTGTATTGCGACCATCCAGAAACTTTCCTACCCAGTGCTCCACCCGAGCCATCTTCCTTCTGATGAGCAGATTCCGTATCCCATTGTTGTTCAGAATGATGCGGAACACCAGAGAATTACTTCCGCCCAGGCGAGCATCAATCCGTACTATCTCTGGGACAACGAAAGTCAACAGACGGTCGCTGTGGAGGACTTGTCCGAATGCCCCCCATACGTATGCATCAGTCATACTTGGGGTCGCTGGCGAACGCGGACCAACACAACTGTCCCTGGGGTACCTTGGCCGGTCCCAGAAAACACGATATACGACGTACGCGATCTTCCGGCGCAGCTCAAGGAACTAGGATACCGCTACATCTGGTTCGACCTGTTCTGCATTCCGCAGGACAAGAGCGACCCTAGGGCCGCCCAGGAGATTGCAAACCAGGCGTCAATCTTTAAGGGATCAAGCCACTGCATCGCCTGGATCAATGACGTCGAGTCCTGGCATGGCGTGCTGGCTGCTTTGGACTGGATTAGTCTCAAGTCGCAGTCAATCTTGTCGAACCGTGACACCGACGCAATCAAGGACAGAATGGCAGAAGCAACACAAGCCGCCACCGTGGCAATGGAGCTGCTTAAGAAGAAGCGCCGTGAAGGAATGGAAGATCTGGTCGATCTTGTTGACGATGTTACGACAGGCGAGCCAACTTTTTGGATGTCCTCGTTATGGACTTTACAAGAATGCATTCTCTGCCCTGAGATTCAGCTATACACACGCACCTGGACCAGGCTGGAAGATCGGAGCGGTACGGCAATCTCGTTGAGAACCCTCATGGTGGTTCTCAGAGACACTCGAGATTTCAACTTGCTGCCAGAGCCCATCGCAGCCCCCTTCAGCGAGCCCCTGCAATACGATAGGAAAGTCATGACCGATCAAGACAGGGAGTCTCATAACAAAGCCAGCAGACGGACGTTCCCAAGTGCAGTGAGGGACCTCTACCAACTCTGCATAATGACCCGGCTTGATAACGCTCTCACCGCCGGCTCACCCACGACGATCCTCACAAATGCAAACCTTCGACACTGTTCATCCAGCCGTGCTCCCGCTATCATGTCTGCTGTAAGCGTGACGGATTGGTACATCGAGAAACTGGAGGCCTCAAAGTCCACTAGCAAGCCTGCCCCAGTGGATCCCATGGTTTACGGAACCTACCCCCTCGCCTTCCTCCGTGAATGCTCACGAAAGTTCGGCGCTATCTTTTATGAGAGCATGGCCAGGGACCTCGCTCGTTCCACGGGCACTGCCAACGAGATGCGGCGGGTCTTGAAGCGCAACGAGGCTGGTGGGACCATGCTACCCGTGTCCAAGACCACGGGCTGGGATGCCAACATATCAGGATCCTCTGATCATACCTACATTGACCGGTACGACCACGAGTCTGTGGCTGACTGGCTTATCAACGAAGACGCCAGTATCTCGATGCGTGCGGTAGGCATCGTCCTGACCTCTGATGACAAGCCGGGGCCGCACAAGTTCTCAGGGAGCATTGACTGCTTCCTCCCTCAGGATGACGAGAAGGCCAAGCCGAAGAGACATACTGCGAACGTCCAGGACATGTTGGCGACACTGAAGGACCTGAGTCATGGGTCTCGGCGGATTTATGCAGTTGCGCTCTATGAGGACTTGGGCGTTGTGCATGGCGTTCTATTGGAGAAGTTGCCCTTGTCTATGTTTGGGAAGCACAATCTCACGAAGATTGGCCAATTTATGTTGAAGAATGAGTCTCTTCCTCCGACTTCCAAGGTCGACTGGAAGGTGTTATAGAAGTTGTGCAGTCTTTGCGTCTTGCATAAGTCATCGGCCGGCTAAGATTGTAGGATACATGGTTCGAGCTCCTGTATCTAGAAGAGTTCTAATGCTCCTTCTCTTATGTGAACGACTGCTGAAAATGGAAAAGTGTATATATGCGTATTTCTCTTTACCCAAGCGTTCCCCCGGTCGTTGAAATCGACACCATAGGCTTAAACCCCTTCCAACATCTCTTGCACCCTCTTCCTCCCCTCCTTCACCGACGTAACCTCCTCCATCCGCAGCCTAGCCTCAACACATGCCTTCTTTCCAGCCAGAATAACCTTGAAGTCCTTCACAAGTGCAGCTGCCACTGCCTCCTCCGTCCGCGAAGTGCCCTCCCATCCGAAGAGACGCACAAGATGCATGACCAAGACGCTCCACAGCTGCTGACCCAGCCAGAGGTACTGCATGGGCTCGTTCATCCACGACAGCAGTAGCAGTCCTGCGGGGAAGTAGAGGACAAAGGCGTACACCGTCGCTATGCTGGATACCTCCCTTGCGCGGTCGAGCGCGCTGTCGCGGATCGGGTGGCCGTAGTGGCGGAAGAACTGGAAGCTTGCCGGGGAGGCCGGGGAGGGGGTTGAGATGAGGAGGAAGCCGATGGAGGGTACCTCGACTTCGAAGATCTCTGTTTCCTGGTGGCGGGCAGGGGAGACGGGTGCCAGGTCGTTCTTGGTGATTGGGGCTTCGGCTGCTGGTGAAGATGGAGCTGTCGCGTCGAGAGTTGACGATTCGGGGGGGTCTTCGTTGTGTATTAAACTCTCTCGACGAACGCGTGACACCGCGGTGAAAAGCTTAAGGAAGAGAGGAATGCACAGGAAGCCGATGAACCACTTTGCCGGGGCATCCTGTCCGTCTCTGCTTCGGTTGGACCATATCCCTGCCGCGACTGCGAGCAGAATTGAGGATAACTCTGATACAACAATACCTAGCAATGTTCTGAATCCGAAGTTTTCGTTAAAAGTCTTGAATTGTGTAGACGCTTCGCTTCCTTGAGGGGATTGGAACTCCAGATCAAGTCGGTATATTCGCCTTGTAGTCCGGACCGTATCTGCCAGCCCCTCACTTCCCTCCTTCAGTCGCGCACTATCCGGGGGACCGGCCCCGGTCCAAGACCCGCCCAGACCGATGCGGTCATCAATATGCTTCAGGACCTCAATCCAGAAGCCATTCCGCACAGCCCGTGGCAATTTGCGGCCTTCGGGGGTGTTTGCCGTCTTGTGGAAGTAATGAACGCTAGCTTTGTCGGAAAAGAAGGTAGTCCCGAGCATGTCGCCCCGCCGACGACCCTTGTACAGGCCATGGTCGCGGAACTTATCCAGCGTCTCAAGAGCTGCGCGGTGGAGGGGCCCGCCCATGGGCATGAAAAGGGCCAGGCGGATGAGCGCGATGGCGTCGACGGCGTTGTAGAAGCGTTCTGGCCATAGCAGGCGTTCAAAGAGGCTTATGCCCGCGACTTCGGCGCCTAGGTAACCCAAGACTGCGCCGAGGGCTGACGATGTTGCTGACATTTCTTCGTTGTTGTTAACACTATGTAGTCACAATGAGGGGATCTGAGGTATGTTTGGCGGGGTGAGAGGGTAGATGAGCTGAAGGGGCTATTGAGTGGACTTTAGCTCGTTCTTTAATATGAAAAGTTTTCGGTGTGCTCGACCTGAATCCTTCTCTCATTCAAAGCAAAAGTTGAAGCTCAATGAGGTTGGTTTGCCTTACTGACATTTGGGAAAGCTGATGTGATATCGGGTCCTGCACCAGACCCTGGTCTGCATGTCAGATTTGTCTGCTCATTCGTTCCAGGGGTGAGCCGTGGGGCTTGACGCACATGAAGTGTAATAAGTACTGTAGGACATTGCTGCTTACGTCTGACATTCTTCGCATCGCGATTGTGCCTCATTTGGGACTTTGGTCTTCCTCTTCGCTCAGTGAAGCGCTTCTATGAAGATTTCTGCCTCGTCGAGAGCCTCACAAGTTTGCTGCGCAACACCTACTGGGGTTGTTGATAATGTACGCTGACATCGGGGATTTAACACTCTGACTTGATAACACGCTACCACTATGGTAAGTGCAGGCCGACGACGGATTTGTCCATCATGAATAGTAATAATCACTGACATGCGCGACGTTCAGGAAAAGTTAACTGCCTTGGAGGACATCGACGACTTCTGGCCGCGATTGACCGCCTCGGAAAACACCGATGACTACTGGCCCCGGCGGCTACTACACATACCAACGCTGACATCAGTACAGAGAGACGAGCACAACGTCTATGGAACAACGGATAAGCCAAAGTACAGCATCCTCACTTACACTTGGGGTCGGTGGAAAATCAGACATGACGACCACGCCGTTCCTGCATTGCCGGTGAAAGGTGTCCCGTGGAAGATTCCCTCAATAAAAGAGTCTCATTTCACGGTGGACTCGTTCCAGGCCGTTATTGACTCCATGGCGTTTGAGGACGTTGAATGGGCATGGGTTGATATCGCTTGCATAGATCAAGAAGACGAGATCATGAACGCGGAAGAAGTCGGCCACCAGGTCGCCATCTTCGATAAGGCAGTCAAGGTGCATGTTTGGCTGTGTGAAACAACCCAGGAGAGTCTCACGAAGGCGTTCTGCGACATGAACGAGGGCCAATTGGAATCCATCACTTTTAGCACCTTCAGCACATTAGAAAACCAGCTCATGCCCTCGTACATGACTTGGGAAGACGTTCACCACAATGGTATCAGGATGACAGCCTTACGCGAAACTGTTGACCGTATCAGTTCCGGACTCCAAACCGTACTCAATGATCCTTGGTTTTCATCTCTATGGACCTTGCAAGAGGCAGTGTTGCGCAACGATGCTGTGATTTTGAGCGCAGAAGGGCTTCCCTCTGTTTGGATCACGTCCGATGACGGCAGAAAGTATCAAGCCTATCTCGCAATGTTTGTCAATTTTTGCAACAACATCTACTTGGATGTCGTCAATATACTACGAGGTCTCGAACACCACGAACAGATGGGTTATACCTTACTGGACTGGGAAGTAGACATTAAGACCAAGATCGAAAACATTCAATCACTTCTCATCCGCTCCGGCATGTATAACTTGCCCACATCGAACCCCAACATCCCTTACAGCATGGCATGGTCTAGGCAGACCTCGAGGCCGGTAGACCGTATCTACGGCATCATGCAAGCCTACAACCTGCGTGTGGGCAAAGTCATTCGGCCGCATGAGAATCCTTCCCTGGCAGATCTCGTTCAAGAATTCGCCGTGGCAATAGTCAACAAGAATCCCGTTCTCAGCCAGCTGTTTGTCCATACGGAAAAGCCTAGCGAGTTATCAAGTTGGCGCATCACAGAGAACTCGTTTGTGCCAGCCAACTTCAGATCGCCAAAAGGCTACGTGGTGAAAGCTCGATTTTATCTCCAAGGACAAGATATCATGAGGGCACGCGGTCGGGTCTGCCGCTTAACTGATGCTCTTGAAGTGCAAGATAAACTGGTTAAATTCCTCAAGGAGACAGATACGTCTGAATACGCGAAATTTAAAGACGTGGACCATGACAACGACCGTATCAGAATCATGACAGATGCCGGGTTCACACAAGAGCATCTGAACCTTAACGGCCACTTGTGGCAACTGGATTTACCAGGTTTCCGTTGGCTGTTTCCTCAGAAAGCTAATTTGCCATCGGTTCTCCACGACCTATGGGTATTCCACGTTGGAGACATTGACTCAACTCGAGCAGAGCTTTTGAACATCCCTGAGAGCATAGCTGTGCTGCTTCGTCCCGCAAATCAGTCAGCCAATTCAACCAGTGACAGTAGCGAATGGGCAGACGTCCCTTACATGCGAGTTGGACTTTGCACCTGGGGTCCGGAGGAGGAAGAAGGGAAACGGATGATGAACGAAGACATTGACTGGAAGTCTGTGGATTTTGAGTTCCACTAGAGCTCGATTCCTGCTTTTATCTTGACCTCTTCGGTGGATAATTCACTGAGCTCTTCTACCCCATCAATCACTAGATGGCATCGTTACATACTTGCTTATAAACGTACTTTCCTGAGAGGCAATAAAGAAATGAATATCCGTCCAACCCAACTTCTCTTATTTCCACCTATGGATAATTTCGAACAAAGTGGAAAATTGAGGAAATAATGGAGATGGACGTATTGAATCCGACGTAGCTTGCAATGGATGTTACAATGAAGAGAGGCCGTCGATTTTGAAGTTTATGATTCCATGCTGTAGCTTATGCATCTCGACCCGACATGATAGGCGAGTCTCGTGGCCTCCGAAATTACATGCATTGAGCCTAGTGCTCAATATCTTTCAAATACTTCTCATAACCGCTGATTTCTATTTGCAATCATTGGTAATGAGTCTTGATAACATCAACAATCACACCGTGGTCCTCATCCTGCTTCAACCCACTGACAACGACAACAGCTACGACGCCCTCAACTCCCTGCACACGGATAGGCACGCCGCCGCCGTGGATGGCGTACTTTCCAGCCTGCTCCGTGCTCATACCAAATTTTGAGGCAAAGAGCTGCTCATCGCCGCCCAGCTTGTTGTGGAGTAGCCAGGTGCTGCAGCCCCATCTGAGCACAGCGTTGCGCTTGCGCTGCACCCACGTTTCGTTGTCGGGAAGAGAGCCGGATCCGACGGCCGTTTGGAAGAGTACCTGTTGGCTGTTTGCCAGTGCGATTGAGATGACTGTGGGCTTCTTGTTGACGAGGGCGAAGGGAAGAAGACGTGCGTGAAGGAGGTGTCCTAGTTCAAACGCATCCTCATACGTAAAGGACTGAAAGGTGATGGAATCACACTCTTGTTGAATCACCTCGACCTGCAAGCTTATTAGAGTTCTGCTACGGCCTCATTGTCGTTGTGCTAGCTCATGTTGGCAACCGGGCTCTGGGGTAAAACTCACGTCGCGAGGCGGCGAAGGGATCGGAGTCGGAGCGGCGGCAGGGTCGCGTACAGCAGCGAGCGACTTCTCCAAGCCGAAGCCTGCGGGGTGTTGGCGGGTCCAGATTTTTTGAGACATGTTTGGTTGGGGCGCTGAAGCTTGCGGTAGCGGCCTTAATCTTTCGAGATATGTGTTGAAGAGTGAAGACTTGTTTCGCGGTGCTTTTGGCGATGAAGCTGCTGACGGAATGCTGTCTGATAAGTCGTCGTCGTCGTCTCCGTCCTGCAACTGAAGAAGTAGTCAAGTTATTAGAATAGTTGTTCTTCACCTTCCGCGTTCCGGGCGAGCGAAAGCGGCGCATTGTGCTCTTAATAATTCCCTAACGAGAATGCATCCCCCCCAATCCGATCCCACATCCGCTGGGTCCCAACCGTCATGCAGCCCACTTGGTGCCTCTCAACTGTTACAATTACCCTATTGGGAATGGAGAGTCCAAGAACTTACGGAGCCGGGCCTCTCTCCATGTTGCATGATAGGCTGCAAGAGGGGTTGTGTGACGGGTGCCGTCGCGCTCGGTGCCGGGGTTTGTGCTACGCTGCTGTCCTGCGCCGTGCTCTCTGCCGCTGCCGCTGCCGGCGCGCTTGCTCGCGCGCTGAAGCTTGACTGACCTACGGCTGCTGCTGCTGCTGCTGCTGCTTCGGCTGTGCTATGTCGTCCATTCTTCCTGTTGGGCGTCTTGGAATATCGGTATAGGCCCCATTCTCGGAGTCGGCGCTGGAATGTCTTGCCGTTGACTTCGTATCCCTTTGCGGCGAGGCCCTTCAACATGCTCTCGACGGTTTCGCGCCGGTTGAATGCCGCAATGATTTCATCCTTGAAGGGCTCCAGGTCGAGACGGGGCCGTCCGGGAGGCATTGTCATTGTCCGGAGTGCTTTCGCACCGAGTGCATGTATACTTTCCACGGCACGGCCCTTTCAGTCATGGGTACATATGTGATTTGGAGGTGCGGTTCAATGGGTGTAAGGTAGCCGATGAGATGTCCGCGAAGAGATGGCGGGTATTCATCCTAGGCACACGGGCGCCGCTTTCGCCAGATTGACGATTTGTCTTTCTGGTCAACATTGTGGCTGTCAGCCACAGTGGCTGATATGCCGCCATCAACTCCTATCTCTCCCAACCAGCAACTCTGTCAAAGTTCAGAATTGTGGTTAGCAAATTAGAGCTGACTGGAAGAATTTCGTCTCGCTCGCATGATATAAATCTGATTATTTCCACTACTAAGCACTTCCTTGTGGATTCGGGGCGACCAACTTTCTCACTCACCCAACTACGCAACAATTGTAAGACTATGACCGTTCATTACTTTTATGATTTGATTTGAGTTACCGCGGGTACTGAGTTCAACAAACCATATAGCCGTCTTGAAACTCCGCAAGTTGACAAATGCAACATTTCGGGTTCGCTTTGATTGAAAAGATAAGAAGACAGACGCCAATGTGAGAAACTGCCGCGGTTCGTATTCGTACTCAAAGTCCGCGGCCGTGGCGGACTCTACATGAACCCGTGCGGATCATACCATTACTCTCCACCTGGAAGGCCAACCTTAAAGTTCAATTTCTTTGATCAATTTCTGTTGATATAAAGCACATGTAGCCTCTGATTCACTGTATCATCCGAAGGCATCGAACCAAGCCTAATCATACCGGCAACAGCGCAAGCGATTTCATATTTTCGCACTCTCCTCTCATTTGGCTGCCTACGTTAGGTACTAGTAGTACCGTTTCCTGATAACTTAAACAGGCTGAAGCTACCAAATGATATCTCCTGTCGATGGGACCGCCCTGCCCCGCGCAGTCCAAACCATCATAGACAAGGATGAGATCCGAACTGTCATCTATCGACTCGCTCGTGGCGCAGATCGCCTGATCCGCGACGTCGTCCAGTCCGTCTACCACGAAGATGCCACAGATAACCACGGAACCTACAACGGCCCGGCCAAAGACTTCTTCGACTCAATGGGCTCTAATTCTATCAAGGTCGCTCACCACCAGATCGGTCAGTCTCTCATTGAGATTGAGGGGGATGTTCGCAAAGCGCATGCCGAGACGTACTGCACTGCCACAACGATCGTCGGAGATGGACAGGAGGAGAAATGGACTACGTTCTTGGTGCGTTATGTTGACAACTTGGAAAAGAGAGATGGTGAATGGGGGATAACTCATCGTTTCTGTGCGTTTGACGGCGCATCTGAGGCTGCTATTATGGGATATCTGCCAAAAGAGAACCTAGGTACCCGTGACGAGAGTGACTACTCTCGACGTGTCTTCAAGGATTAGAAATCTTCGACTCTTGCGCCTTTGCCGGAAGTCATGTCAAACAATGAAACGGAGGGACTAATCCTCGAAGTGTTCGATGCTTACCAATTGCTTCGTGCCTCAAGGTTCAAGTCATGTCATTAAGTCTGACAAAAGCAAAGATCGTTGAGAGACTCACAGAATGTGATAACGAACATAGCCTGACTGAACATGAACTTCTTTAGCCTAAAGTAATGTCCGCGTTATGAGATGCTGAAGAGGCTATTGCGAACTCACAATGCTACTGTCAGTCACGATTGAGTCAATACAATGCTCCAATAGTCTGGGTCGTCTTTGTCCAAAACCTTCAAGATTACATTCAGGAAGAGAAACTTTATTCTTGCTAGTATGAGGCTGTTGTGTGGATGTCATGTCGATGGTATTTTGAAGTGGGGGTTTCTACTCACAGCCCCAGAATAAAGATGAAGGACATTGATATCGCGTAACCAAGATTTTGTTTGTCCAAATACACGACAGTTCACATATGTTTGTCATGAGCTGAGTGGCCAATCCCTTGAAGGCACACCAACATCGGCCTCGCTGATTGGATGTCCTGTTGGTACCCTGGCTCAGGCGGAGTGCGGTAGGTGGCTTAAGATCTCAAAGAAGATTGAGGCATGGTCCAAAGATTGAAACTGGTCTGCTAGCCGGCGCCTTAAGTTGGAAGCTACCCCGACTAAACTTTCTCTCGACACCTTTCCTGTTCTCAAGCATAAGGTTGTTCACAATGTTGGTTCGTAAGATCTCGGTTCAGGCACCAGCCAACAACCTCGGATCGGGTGCTAGTGACAGCAGTCCGTCAACTCACGCCCCCCTTCTTAATCATTTTCTGTCTAATAGCGAAGCACAAAACCACGGTCAGCAAAGTGCAAGTTTGTCTCTGAGCCCAGCTGTGGTGCGAACAACGACAGTCATTGAGCTTGGTAGGAAAGCATTCGTCATTCAGAGACAGCCTGATGTAAGTCTGGGCGACCCCTACAACAATCATGGCACCTAGCTTGCTACTGGAAGCCTTTTTGACAGAAGGGGTATTAGTACAAGATCCAGCTCACGGACTCGTCCGATATCAACACGTTGTCATGCTTTTCTTTGAGTAGTACGTCTAATTTGAGAGATGATCTTCAGAAAGCCTATGTCTCGTGGGTGCAGAACGACGATGTATTCTGCAACGTCTTTCTAAAGCACGTTTGAATTTTCTCAAACCAGTTAGAGATTGGAGAATCTGTCTTGCAGCTCCTCGCATCGTGGGGTTGCCAATTTCTATTCCACATACTCGGCAGCGAACGTATCAATCCAGGACCGTATTTCTTCTCCGACTGTGGAATCTTCAGCCCTTGGCGCCTCTTTCCCGACGACACCGAATCTTTTGTTTCAAGCACAATACCAAATCAAGAAGATCCTCAAACGTAAGGAGGTCGGCCAGCCATCACTTCACATAACCCCCCTGCCTCATCTCTTTTGTCATCGCGGCACTAACATAATCAAAGTTATCAAACATTGGACGCCGCTGCATTTGGGACATCGTCGCTCTATGTTGCAGTTCCTTCGAGGATCGAGTCTTCCAAAGCTGGCCATAGGCCACTAGCTGGACTGAGAGTTGCAGTCAAAGACTTGTTTCACCTCAAAGGAGTTAATACGGGATGTGGAAACCGCAGCTACCGTAGGCTGCATGGACCTGTAAATGCATCTTCTAGCGCCGTACAGCATGTCATCAACCTTGGGGGAGTCATTGTCGGCAAGACCAAGACTGTCGAGTTTGGAGGGAGCCAAGAGGTTATTGGCGACTGGTGCGACTACTTTGATCCCATGAATGTCCATGGCGATGGGTATCTCGCTGGAACGGGGAGCAGCACAGGATCTGCTTCAGGCCTAGCAGCATATCCGTGGCTTGATATCACTTTGGGTACAGATGGTAAGCTAGAGCATTCTACATCGCTGTGCTCAGGCTTCTAGAGGCTAAGCAAGTTGATGGACCAGCTGGTGGAAGCTTTCGAGACCCTGCAATCGCTCACGGCGTGTTCGGTTTCCGTCCTTCGCATGACGGGAAGCCAACTCCAGACGTGGTTCTTCCATGCGGGTGAGTCTTTGTGTTCATGTCCAAAAGACACAAATTGATAAGACGCCTAGCATCTTTCGCACTCCCGGTTTTCTGGGAAGAGATATCCGCAGAATGCTTGAATTTGGTCGTCACTGGCCCCAAAACTCCTCTAAAACTGGGGTGAGCATCACGAACGCCATTTGCATTGCTTGTACTGAAGGCGCTGCAGATTCTCAGGCCGACACGTGTGCTGTTCCCGCGGGAGTACTGGTCTGACCATTTTGGTGTTCAGCGGATTGCTGAGAACTGATAGTGTCTCTGATCGAATGGCTTGGAGCAGACAAAGTCGACATCTCCATAGAAGAGACATGGAAAGCCACGAAGCCCCCTAGCGCTGAAAAGGGCTTTTTCGGCACATTTAATGAGGTGAGATGATAGACTCCTAGCGTGCTCTCGATACTTTTGGAGTTGTGCGTCAGCTGAGTGGGCTGCCTTATTTGGACTTTCATGACGATGATATACAGCGAGTTCTGGACCTACCTTGCAGATTTCAGGTCGGAATACCAGGAGAGATTCAAGGCAGATCCTTACGTGTGCAAAGTCACACAGTGCCTATGGTAACATCAAGTTTCACTACATTATGCCACTAGCGCTGACACCTTTGTCTCAGGAATAAAGGGAAGTTGATAAGTGATGACTGTCGCCAGGAGGCCGTGAATGAAGTATCGCTCCACAACACCTGGTTTCTCGAACATCTGCTCAATGATCAGGAGACCGTCATGGTTGTCCCTCGATACAAACTGGACTACCGGGATGAGTACTTGCCGTAAGAGATGCAACTTACTCTCGGTGTAGTAACTTTGGCTGACCAAAGCTTCAGCGTCCCCGAAAAGCGAGGCTTTGAGGGCTTCGACTCCAATCTTCACGCCTCGTTATCAGGTGTGCCCAATCTGATTGTGCCCGGTAAGAGTTGACTGTACAAGGACCAACGATAACTGGAAGCACTCTGATAGAATAATACAGTCAGCCAATATCAATATCAGTCTCAAATTTCCGGGCGCGAAGAGTACTTTCCCGTCTCTCTTTCGATTATGGGGCCGAAAGGTAAGTATCACCTTCCTTGCCCCATCGCAGCACAGAAGAAGAAGTTCTCACAGGAAGATTGAAGGGATGGATGTCGGCTTATTGAGTCTCATACATGGCTACCTGACTGAGAACGGACAGCCTACCTCTGTCATGACCGGCAGTACCGCATTTTGACGTTCTTCGACATAGGCAGCGGAATATTGATCTTGGTACGGACATTTCCCTGGCAACTCATCCCAAGTAACGCTCAATCCGGGACGGCTAGTCCTCTCATCATCGCGCAGAGAAGTATTGGAATTCATGCAGTTGGGAAAGGGAATAGTTCAGATCCAAAGTCTTAGCCGTGCTTGCAGGCCTGCTATGCGGACTTTTCGAGTCGGCGGACTATGGATAGCGAGACGCGAGGGCACCGCCACTGTCTTATGGACTTTCAATATGCAATCTCTCAGTCATCATGGGCTATTAACTTCGATATGAAACTATGGTGAGTAAGCGAAGGCGAAGTCGTGAAAGCAAACTTTCCGTCCGATTCTCAATATGGACCATCCTAGTTGAGATTGGAGACAAAAACCGGACGAAGAGATAGACTTTTAGTGGTCTGTGTTGTGTTCAACTCACGGATCAACTCTTGAAAATCCTCAGATGGTAGCCAAACGGAAACGCGAACCTGTGCCTCGACGAGAGCGCAAGTTGAGCTATACTCGAAGCAGCAGATCACAACCCAACCACAAATACTTCTGGATAATGGCCGGTTGGCCCAATGGCAAGGCGTCTGACTACGATTAAATATGTTATCAGGAGATTCTGGGTTCGACCCCCAGGCTGGTCAAATTCATTTTTGAAAATGGTGGAAAATGGCTCCAAAATGCAGCCGAAATGCCGCTTAGGGCATGACTTTTGGAGATTCCAGGGAATACCCCACATGACCGTTGGCAATGGGGTGGGCCGAAGCACGGTTCGTTGATTGTTCTCGGGGCGAAAAGCTTGCGTTCACCGCATCGTCACCGGCTAACCGGTGGGAGTTGCCGCTTGCGTGGACTAGGTGGCATTACCGTGTTAGCGACGATCCGACGCGTGAGCAGCTTGACGCGGTCCAGAGTCGGCCATACGCGTTCGACAACTCGGATAGTACCTCGATGATGGTGATACTGAGCCATTGAGTTTAGGTCCATCGTCAATAGGTAATCGAGTGCGAGAACGAGCGGATGCCATCATGTTTAAGATCTGGGGAATGGCGGCTCAGAGTCAGGGGATGCTCGTATCTCGTCGGCACCACCGCTCCGTCGGCGACCCGTGGGCGCCGGCAACGCCGTGGGACCCCGGTCGGCACTCTCGGCTTGTGGGAGAGCTCTTGGCTTAGAGGCTCAGTTGCGCAGGGCTCGCTGTTCTTCTGGGCGTTCTCCAGGGCGGGCTTGACGTCCCGGGATGACGCCAAGGGCCTCTCGCGGCTTCGGCAAGTCTAATCACTCCAGGTCTGATACATCATATAAGGCAGGGCAAAGCCAACAACTTTGATAACTGCAAACCATTCACAACCACATTGTGAAGTAAGCACAACGGCGCACTACAGGCGCACTACAATCTAAGCAAGACGATCAACAACCAACGCATAAAGTAAAATCAAACTCTAATAACCGGCAAGTGGAACTACTCGCAGCTCTGCCCCTGGCTAGCAACCAATCTCCCCTTGGTGCCTGACTCGTATCTCGACCAGGGTGAAGGTTTCAACCGGGACTCGGGTCTCATGCTGCCCCCACACAATATCGAGTTCCCCTGGCTAAAAGACCGCGGACGAGTGATCACGACAGACGTCAACGGTGCTGCGGACGAGCCAGGTTGGTCCCTCTGACCACTGGGTCAAAAGTGCCCCTAATCCCGCAGTGGCCGAGCCTCCGGGTCCTGTCTCGTTTGGGCCCCGAGGAGGAGAACTGGAGTTTAAGGATCTTTATCAATACCAAGGCCCAAGTGAACCGTGCCATCTTCAGCGGCGCGCTGTCGTTCGAACTTGTCCCCTTTCAAGTAGTGTCATCCCCCGTCCCCTCCTCCACAGTTACCTAAAAATCTTCCTCATCCCAAAATCGACCGCTTTTGACCCCCGATATCCCGCCCCGGTGAACGCATTGAACGTGTTGGACATATCGAAAAGGAAACCAATGTTGAGAACGAATTCGGCCAAGGCGTTGCCCTGCTAGAGAAAACAAACAAGAAAAAACCAAACCCGATTTCCGACGCGATCGTGCGTCAACCGATCACGGGACAAAAATGTCTCCGGGACATCGGAATCGAATCATCCCGACTTCTTCAGCGATTCTCATCTCATACCTCGCCTCGATAACTCATGCCACATTCACCAATGACTTCTCAGCGTACCCAGCAGCAGCAAGATCATGTCTTGACTCAGCTGCTGCAGCGTCCGGGTGTACCGGCAACACGGTAACAGAGATGAACACATGTCTGTGCGGGAATGGCGGAAACTTTGTACTGGCGACGTCGAAATGCGTGGGAAAAGAGGCAAAAGACAAGCTTGACGATGTTTACGAGATGCTTCTGACCTCCTGCACGGATTCGAAAACGCCACTGGGCATTTCGCAGGCACAATTTCTAGACCCCGACGACGATGACGAAACCAAGTCAACGGCATCTTCTTCCTCTACTTCCCAAAGTAGTAGCACAACGTTATACACTTCCACGACCGCACCGCCGACCGAGGTACCAGAATATTCAACAACATCGACAACAACATCTCTCACGACGTATAAGAGCGTTGCGCCTGGAGGAGTCACAGTCACGGTGACGAGAGGAGTTGAGACAGTGCAGACGGGAACGGCAAGTGGAAAGCAAGGAAGCAATTCTGAAGGGGACCAATCTACTACCGGCGATGAGGGACCTAGCCACACAGCTCTTGCGGCAGGACTTGCAGGAGGACTAGCAATCCTATTGGGCGTGTTGGCGTTCTTCTGCTACAGGCGCCGGAAGCAACGCAAGGAGAGAAAGGGACAGGTCGGTGCAGGTGGAAAATTCGCAGCCTTATCTAGTGCGACTAGTCTCACCACGATGTCGGCCTCACCGCCGCAGGGGCAGGCGACGACGGCATATCACGGCGTGAACGACAGACGACCCGATACGGCAAACACGATGAATATGGCGGTGGGCACTCCGGGATGGAACCGCCAGCAACAAGGACCACAAAGCCCACAGCATTGGCAGAACAACAATTCTCCTGGGCACTACGGACAGCAAGCAGGAACATGGCCGTCACCAGTCGCCAACGGGGACGGGGTCACCGGAACATGGGGGGTTTCGCCCGTCTCTCAGTACCGTCCGAACTCATCCAGGGGTCCCGAACCGTCACCACATACCGAAACCTGGAATGCGCATGCCGCTGAGATGGCAGCCGCTCCGGTTCCCGCACCTCATCCTTCACATCCCTCAAATAACGGATACTCTCCCGTCTTTGAGTTGCCGGGAGATCAAATACAAGCCGTAGAGGCAGACTCGACACCAGTCGGCCAGGCTCAGCCGGTGGTGCAACCCCCCTCGCGCTCAATACAATCGACGCCGGCTCAGATGCAAGCACAACCAGCGCAACCAGCACCAGCTCATCACGGAATGCCGAGACAGATCGACGACGCACTTCAAATATCGCGAGTGGAATTACCACCGCCTCGGTACTCAGGCCCATCATCACCAGATTGGGTCAGCGAGGATAAGAAGTTTGGCTAGATCAAACTTTGGGGGGGCCTTCTTGGCCCAGATAGCTCTTCAGCATAATGATATTTTATAAATTTTGTAATATTACCCACATGTAGACTTCAGGGCACCACTGCCGACATGATGCATGAGCCTCCAAATTTCACATAAGATCAGCAACCAACCTATAAGAGGATGTGATGTCATGACCATGCCTTCACCGACCAGGGTTCAAGAAGGACCGACCGTACGGACTAAAGAAGCCGCGCAAGACCACCAACCCAGTTCATCGACTCCGTTGCAGGCAAAGTGTAAAAAGCAAGACTAAGCAAAAGCAACTGACTGTCCCTGGCAAGGCTCGAACTTGCGACCTTTGGATGTCCCAGGCTTCAAGCCTCGTCATATCAATTAGGTGGTGATATGAGACCAACGCTCTTCCAACTGAGCCACAGAGACGATGATTGGTGGATCCGCAAATTGTACGACCTGAAGACAGGCTTGCTAACGTAGATCTGTCGCAGTCCGCGGGTTCATTAATTGAGGTGAGATCCTTTTATTTGATCCAACTCGAGCCACGAAATCTGGTTCTCGAACTATGTCTCACGGAAACGTCTAGTCTTAAGCTAGCACAACCAAGGTAACCAGCCCTACGGTTACAAAAAACGTTAGCTTTGTCACTCACGTCACACGTGTTTTCCACACTCTCTGCTTCTCTATCCATCTACTTTCGTGGCGTTATCCAATGAGATCCCTTCAACACTGAAGCCAAGTTGGGTCGAAAGGCAGAATGAGCGGAGTGCTTCACTCAAGAGGCCTCTTGTCAACCTTACCAAGCCACAGCATGCGGGTGTCGTGTTCCGAACGCGCGTCTCAACACCGCTAGCCAGTTCTCTTGCCTTGATTGGGTCGGCCGAATCCTGCGGCTGAGCTACCAAACCTGCCAGAATGCGGCGCAGGATTCCTGCCTAGCATGATGGCTGTGTATCCAATCAAGACTTGGCATCTGACTGTTCATAGCATCATCCCACTATTTGACTGATTATCGGCGGGGTCAGGCAACCCCCTGCCTTTAGATTTAACCATAAATCACCCCCCAACGACCATGACCAGCGCCAAGAGTAATAGTAGAGTGTAGACGTGATTAACACACTATCGAAACTCCGTCTTCAATTGGAGATATCATATCGGGCTTGATGATGGCGGGCTTCTCTTCAGCTGCCGTGACCACGAGTTGTGATGACATCACTCACCGAACTGTCTCCACGTCCGCTGAGCTCGACAGCCTCTTGAAGGCCATCGACCCTGGGAGCACCGCAGCGCAGCACTTGATTTCAGTTTCGGCAAAACTAGACCAATTTAGAGACACCACAGAACAGCTCCGCCGGTCTCTCAATGACTCCTCAGCCATATCTCCCGGATTGCGAAATGCCCTGGCCATCGCAATTCAGCCTTGCGCAGATGCTGCGGCAGTCGTGGACAAGCAGATACATAGGCTGGATCCAGGAAACGTGACGGGCCTCAATTCCGACGTGATTTTGCAGTACGAGACCTATCATTTGACGAATACTCGCTTATTCGCACAATTCGTCTCCGTGGTGCACATGTGAGTCTCTGAGATGATTCACTTTCCGTATGGCTACTGATCCAATCACTCAGGTCAACTGTCGCCCAGCAAGATGCAAGACTCTCATCTTCCGATGGGCATGGAATGTTAGAATCGGCAGTAGAGGCGTCTCAGATTGTTCTGACCCGTAGTGACATACTGGGACCCTCAGATGAAGCTGGCCAATCTGCCATTGATATTTCAGCCTTTGCCGGAGAATTTGGGGACGACCAAGCCGATGAGCCACCTCCAGATTACACGTCTGGTAAAGCCAACAAGGGGAAAAGCAAGGCGTCCGGCCAATTCTTCTCCTCAATTTCAAGCTCTTTCAAAGCGATGACGGCTGGCTTACGCGCCAAACCGGAACCCATGGTCATCGCCATGTGCCAGGCCGCCAAGAGCGGCGACGTGGGACACCTCAAAGGCTTCGTCTCGGAAGGGGTCAATATCAACGGCCAGAACGAAGAAGGATATACGCCGCTCATATGTGCCATCAGAGCCAACCAGAGGAAAGCCGTCGAATTTCTCGTCAAATCCGGAGTTGATCGATCAATGAAAGATTCTTGTAGTGGCAAGAAGAAGCCCCCCCTATTCCATGCCGCCGAATGCGGCTTTGTGCCAATCGCTGAGTATCTCATCAATCATGGTTTCGAGATGAGAGAGCGTTCGTGGTCAGGGCAACCGTACTTCATCGAGGTGGCGAACAGCGACCAGCTGGATATAATCAAACTTTTCTTGCGACGAGGCTGCGACGCCAACACAGCTGCTATCAGTGGCCGCACCATCTTCATCCACGCCATACTCAGCGGCAGTCTTCCACACATAAAGCTTCTGAAAGAATATGGCGCCGATGTCAATGCTCGAGATATCAGCGGGCAGCCTGCACTACATATGGCTTTAGGTCAGAACCGGATGGACATTGTCACATTCCTCCTAGAGCACGGCGCAGACCCAAACACCATGGACCTCACTGGAAGCACGATGATCATCTCCGCCCTTCACAAAAAGAAGTATGATCTTGTCAAGACTTTGCTATCCCGAGGCGCCGATCCGAATGCCACAGGGTTGATGGGCAAAGGTATACTATGGACCTTGCTGCAAAATAAAGATATGGAGGAGGGAATTAAGATTGAACTCATCAAGTCGCTCCTGGCACGAGGGGCCAACCCAAATCAAGTCGATAATTGGGGAGAATCCATTATGAGCATGGTTATCACCTTAGGCAACACCGAACTTCTGCGCATGTTTCTTGCTCACGGCGGCAGTCCGAACAAGAAAGTCAAGGATACAACATTCTTACTCTACGCCATCGATCAGAATAGACACGAGGACGTCAAAATTCTGCTCCTACACGGAGCGAACCCAAACGAAGCAGATACCAAGGGCAGAACCCCCTTGGTTGAAGCGCTTCAGACGGAAAACCACGCCATTTTACAAGCAGTCCTCGCCCACGGCGCAGATGTCAACAAAATGGGTCAAATCAAGCCGTTGGCATTGGCAAGGCTGCTTCAGAATCAGGAGACCATCAAGTCGCTGACGGACCGCGGTGCCCAGGCCCCAGAGCGGCCGGCGGCGGCGAGAGCACCGTCAACGCCTATCAGTCCGAGGCGGCCAGTCTCGTCGTCTACCCAGAGCAGACCAGTTGAAAGTGCGACAGATATGCCGCCGCCCTACGTGGAGACCAGTGGCTTGCAGGAAGCTGGGGCATCGAGCCCGCCAAGCAGCGCCAGGGGACTCGTACAAGTTGGCTCTCTCAGCTTGCAAAAGTCAATGTAAAGGCCATGAATTCCGTATCAAGGTAATAAAGAGTTGGAGTTCCAGGTGGTGCTCGAGGCCTGAAAGCCTTTGTTCGAAGGGAGGGGGGATACCTATGGACAGCCATACTTATTCTACTGTAATAATACCGAACTCCGAATATCGCATTCATCAAATGCAGTTACGAAGTATTCTCAGCGTCGAGCAAACTTTGCTGAACAATAGCTCACAATTGAGACATGATTCGAGAACTTTGTTCTGAACTTTTTCTTGAATTAATCACTACCCATTGGCAAGTCACACGTTGATCCTGGCTAGAGCTCAACTATTTTTAACTCACCATGATCGGCCTCAGTCTTTGATGGCAGTCTTGATAATTTGCTCTAGCCCCTCTCTGCCTATCGGCTCGATGCCGAGCAGCTTGTTGTCAGTCACAGGGAAATAACCGGCTTCTGTGCCAATAAAAGCGCGATTGATAAACATTTCAACCACTTCTTCGCTGTGGTCCCCCTTGTTCCATCTTTCGTGAGCGACTTTTTCCAAGTCCTCAGTTATTGAATACTTGATTTCCCATTCCCCTGTTGGATCGATGTTCTTGGAAATCTCAATAATCTCATTTTGCGTCGTTACAACACTGCTGATCTTCACCGGACGATTCGCTGTCTCTTCAAGATGAGTGAGAGTGCCGATGACAGCTTGTCCGATATGTGGCATGGTCGTTGCGCAGAATTTGACGTTGCCACCATCCTTGATGTGGGCTTTCTTGCCCTTGACATCCACAAGGAAGTCAAGTGCGTACCCAGGCGCCAAGAAAGAGACATTCATGATGATGGTGTATGAGAATGATGGCCTTGCAGCTACCTTTTCATCAAGGTACTTGCGAATGGCAATCTTAGGCTGGTATATGGGTATGACGGCTAGCTTTGGATTCATGGTATCATTACCATACTCGGAAGGAATCATCCTTCGTATGCCAGCGTTGAAAGCTGCATCGACAACGTTCCTTTGAACGTGGATTGCGTCGAACGCCAAGGCTGAAACAAGAGCGTCCTGTCCTCTGAGGGCAGCTTCAAGACTGGGGACTGACTCGTAGTCGACTTCCTTCACTGTAACGCCAGCAGGGAATTCGTGGCGAGACCCCTCACGAGTGAGAACAGTGAGCTCGAATAGATTCGACTTCTGTAGGACATCAAGGAGAACACGTCCTAAGAAACCATTTGCCTGTAACCCTCGTTAGTTTGTGACACCGTGATTATTTGATCCTCGAAGGGGCATCATTGACTTACACCTGCGATGGCGACATGTTTGATTGGAGTTGTCATATTGATAGATAGTCTGTGCGAGGAACACCCAAAGCGGTAGTGAAGGAAAATTTGATGCTTAAAATGATGCGCCTAGCTAGTCGTGGGATGAACCCGTAAAGATCGGAGAGTAATAAAGCTGTGAAGAGTAGGGAACTAGATTAATGAAGCAATACAGCCATATTTAACAACAAACGGCTATGACGGCTTCAGTTTCTCGACTTCATTCTCGATTGATACACATGTTCAGACCCGACGTCTCGGCCTGCATCACGCCGGGGTCATCACACAGCCCGTGTAAGCCCACACTTTAGAGTTCACCGGGACCGCCTGTCGGACAGACGGGTCACCGGCGACGGGCTTCTGCCCGTTTGGAAATACCGCATTCAGCGGATCTCTGGAAGCAAGGCCAAGGAAACGACGATCTGAAGTCTCAGGAGCGGGATTGCCCCGGTGGAAAACGCGCGCTGTGCGGGCAAATGGGAGGACTATCGTATGATTGTACCAGGCAACGAAGCATCGTACCAAACAAGTGACAGCTGACGACCCTGGTGTCATCCCAGCTTGATCCAGCTTGGCTGGTACGAAACTAGGACGAGGTCAGATTGAATAGAAAGAACCAAGGCCTCAAGTACCTCCTTGTTAGAACTAGGTTATTGACACGTCAGGTGAGCACTGAGCACCGAGACCGAAGGTGTGGGCATGGACGTGCAACGATCAAGCAATTGAGAAGACGAAAGTACTTGCCGTTGAAGTCGAGGATATGCGAGCCCGATGGTGTCTCGCTTCACATAAGGGAATTAATGTGTCTAAGTCTATTGATGGGGACAAGACAATGAATGAGTCTGAGGTATAAAAGTCCTCGTACCCTTCAGCTGGTGCCCTACTGGTACAAAGGTGTTGGTTGAACCAAATTTGCATCAAAAGTCTTGACAGGCACAAGCACATACCATCATAATATCTTGAAGCTGACTCTCATAATCATGTTGATCCCCGTTTTGACGCTGGTTGCGTCTCTTGCAACTGTTCTCTACTCCCTTTACATCATCGTTTCTACACACATTCTCCGTCACCGGATGAAGAGAGAATATGGCACACTTCCGCCCAAGAAACTGCCTCAAAAAGATCCTATCTTTGGAACTGACGTAGTCCTTCAAAATCTGGCTGCTGCGAAGAAGTTCGGCTTCCTTGCTCTCTTAAAGAAACGCCATGCCGAGCAAGGCCAGACTTTCACCACGAACACATACCTCCGGACTACCATCAACACTTGCGACCCAAAGTTAATCCAAACTGTGCTATCTAATCAGTTTGAAGACTTTGGAATGGGTCCTCTGAGAAGAAAGAGTGCATCCCCTCTTCTTGGCCGAGGCATTTTCACCACCGACAACGAGATCTGGGCCCATCAGAGGGCACTCATCAGACCAAGCTTCATTCGAGCTCAGGTGACAGACTTTAGCATTTTCGAAACACACGTCGATCAGCTTATACAGCTCATCGCCCGAGAGAATTACACCGTAGACCTGCAACAGTTATTTTTCCGCATGGTATGTCAAATTTACCGCAACGGCCACTTCTGTCTTTGACTTTTGGATCGCTGACATCTATACATATAGGTTCTCGACTCAAACAGCGAATACCTTTTTGGAGAATCGGTTGGTTTGATGTCAGATCACGCTTCCGACTCCGCCCATACTTTCCACCATGCTCTGGATTACGCCCAACAAGGTACAATTCTCCGACTTCGCCTCGGCAATTTGATGTTCGCGCATAGAGATGCCAAGTTCAGGGATTCGTGTGGCATTGTTCACGCATATGCCGACAAGTTTGTCAAGCAAGCCCTCGAGTTCCGCGAGCGCGAGAAGCTCTACCCTACGGAGAAGAAAGACGAGTACGCTCGCCAGAAATACGTTTTTCTTAACGAGCTGGCCAAAGACACCGACAACCCCATCATGCTGCGTGACCAGATTGTGAACATGCTGCTCGCGGCCAGGGACACGACAGCAGGACTGCTGGCATTCGCCTTCTTCTTGCTGGCAAGGAATCCCAAAGTCTGGGACAGACTCAGGGCGGACGTGCTGGAGAATTACACCGAGCCTTTGACCTACGACGCTGTTATGCAGATGACATATTTACGCTACGTGCTTCAAGAAAGTAAGTTTGCGGGCCGCCCACTGATCTTCCCTGCTCCATGACTTCATCTGGCTAACCTCAATCTCAGCTCTTCGTCTCTTCCCTCCTATTGCCACTAATAGCCGCATGGCTAACAAAGACTGCGTCATTCCGGTTGGCGGTGGCCCCGATGGACGCTCACCAATGTTCGTTGCCAAAAATAATGTGGTCACCTACAGCACATTCGTTATGCACCGTCGCCCAGAACTCTTTGGGCCTGATGCTGAGGAATTCAGTCCGGAGCGCTGGGAGACCCTCCGACCAGGCTGGGAATATCTGCCCTTCAACGGTGGTCCTCGCGTTTGCCCTGGTCAGAAATTCGCCCTCACCGAGTCGTCATACACCATTGCAAGGTTGTTGCATGCCTTCTCCGGGATTGAAAATCTGGATCCGACTGACTGGCGCGAGCAACTCACCTTATCCCTGACGTTGAACAATGGGGTAAAGGTGCGACTCCACCCGGAAGCTTAGGGACCCCGAAGTTGTCTCGTTCATAGCCACGAACAATACCGGGTTTTTTTTGCATGGAACCTTTCTTCGCTTAGCATGCCTTGTTACATAGACATTTCGAGAATTTAGACCGGTCATATAATCCAAGAAAGGTGATGGGAAATTCATGACAGTCTTCGACCTTTCCAGTCAGTCTGTCAGTGACATCTGATCTGATCTTCTCGGACAATCGATAAGTCCCACAAGATTACACGGTGCCTCGCTGACAGTGCAGTCTACTTAGCATGCCATGTAATGCAGGTCTCAGTTCCTGCAGATTAGCTGGGAGACAAGTCTTGTAAGTACTATATCGTAAGTGGAACATGGTTGTAACGGACCCTGGGCTTGACCATCGAATGTTGCCACAAACAGGCAGCTGCGACTCAATGAGTCGTCCAGGTATGTACACGTAGGTAAAAACTAATGTAGCATTTTCCAAAAGACGTTGAATGTCATTCAGAGATTCCGATGTGTCACCAGGATATCGCAGCATATTCAAACAGCCTAAGAAAGCGGGTAAGGAGAACGCCAAGGCGGGACCCTAATATGCTAGAGTTACGGATGTAGCAAGGAGCTAGTCCGAAGAGCATTACATTCATATCCCTGAGAGCTACAAATCTTCACCGCCATGGTAAACTGACATGCCACCTAGATGGTAACGTCTCGTCCCAAATTTAGATGACACGACAGGGCTTGACGTTCTCGAACAACCAAACACTGGGTAGCTCCCGATTCCTCGCCTCGACTTCCCCGTTCACATAATCTTCAAGTCGAAGCCCACCAATCAGAATGAACCCATTCCCTCTGCTATTGTTCGAGGTACCTATAGCTAGACGAGTAATGACTACCACGATGGGTTACACTTCACCTTTGGAGCCAAGACTTGTCGCGGGAAAATGGGACAGCAAACATCTATGAAGGCAACCCTTGGAAAGTTTAAATTCTTTCCCCGCTTCAGAGCAGACTTTAGGCCACCTCTACTTGGCTTGAGTCAGTTGAAATAAGCGAAGGCCTGCGACAGGACTCAGTGAGTCTCCGAGACGTTGAGATGTTCCGACCATCTAAAAATTTGACTCTCGGACAAGTTAGAGTTTTTGATGTGGTCTTTCCTTTGACTGCCCAGCCTGCTGCGCTTCGACTAACATTCCGCAGGGTGTTTCGACCGAGCTCAAAGACTTGCTCGTACGTAAGTGCATCGTTAATCCGGTCTCACCTCAACTCTTCCCACCGCCTCTGGCGCGTCATTTGCGGCTTTGGCCAAGAAAGTGTAGCATCATGACCATGTATGCGCAATGTAGAAGGTCGTATTTGTCCCTGTGCAGCAGTGGAACTCAGACGAGCCAAGAGAATTGAAATTGTTTCCACAATGTCGTGTAAGCCGATCAACTAAGCGGGCTCGCCTCTTATGATCGCTGGATCTTGCGTGTGGTTGTACATAGTTCACTAATGTGAACTCTAAAGCAATTGACTGAGTTCGCCCTGGTTCCGAAGCCCTCGACTGATGATTCCGAGAAGCAGCTTTAGTTACATTACCTAGTTGCTGAGCTCTCTGCACCACTCTTTTCGTTTTATTACTCCGCTTTCCCTGGATTCTTCCACGAAATAGCAACATGTGCGGCATTACGGCGACTGTCAAACTACGACGAAGCGGCATACTCCCCAAAACAAACGGACATGTGATTGTTGATGGGCATAGCCAAAACGGCTCGCCAAGTCACCAGGCTTTGCACAATCAGTTGGCGCAGAGCCTTGCAAGCATTGCTCATCGAGGGCCGGATGCCGAGGGCACCTGGATTAGTGAAGACGGAACCATTGGTATGACCATATGACTCAGGCTAGATGCCTTTGACTGATTTCGGAATTGTAGGCCTCGGCCACCGTCGTCTTGCCATCAATGACCTGACGCCTGACGGTGTGCAACCTCTGCATAGCGATGACGCAAGAATCCATGCCGTCGTGAATGGAGAGATCTATGATCACGACGCTATTCGAGAACGGTGCATTCGAGATCATGGATATCAGTTCAAGGGCTATTGTGATAGCGAAGTGTTAATCGCGCTGTATAAGATTTACGGAGCTCCTGGGTTCTTTGAACATTTAAGAGGAGAATTCTCGTTTGTCATTTTCGATGAGAGAGATGGGCGGGTGATCACTGCCCGCGATCGCTTCGGCATCAAGCCAATGTACTGGACTGTTGTCGGCGACGGTTCAGAGCAACAGCTTCTCCTGACATCTGAGGTCAAAGGCTTCTTGCCCCTTGGCTGGGAGCCTGAGTGGAATGTGTCTGGTCTTATCACCGGAGTTTCTCTGCAAGCTGAACATACGGTCTACAAAGATGTCTGGAAATTGAATCCAGGTTCTTGGATGGAGATTGCGGAAAGTGGTGAGATCCATCATCATCAGTATTGGGATCCTGAGTACAAGGATAAGGTACGTGTCGACATCAAGCTCTACCTACTCAAAAATCAAGCTTATAAACAACAGCATGAGGTAGAGACGCGTAACTTGGATGATATCATCCTGGAAGTCAGAGAGAGGATCGTTGAAGCTGTCAGACTTCGGCTGCGTGCCGATGTACCAGTAGGCATCTACTTATCAGGGGGCATTGATTCCTCTGTTGTTGCTGGAATTGTAACAAAACTTGTCCGAGAAGAGGGTGTTATGCTTGGCAACCAAGATGCCACGAAGCGGATTTCCTGTTTTAGCATTCAGTTCCCCGAGAACTCTGGTTTCAACGAGGCTGGTTCGTTTCCTCGTGAAGTCTATGATGGACTTAACTTTGATGCGCACAGGTGGGCTAATGTGATTTACAGACATCGCGCAGCGGACAGCGGACTGGCTCGGAGTGCAAATCCTCAAAAAAGACATGAACGAGGAAGAGCTTGCAAACAACTTCGTAGAGTGTGTCTACCACACCGAGCACCATCATTTCGATCTCAACTTCGTGGGCAAGTTCTGTCTTTCCACGCTGCCCCGACAACATGGTGTACCGGTTGTTCTCACAGGTGAAGGCGCTGATGAACATTTCGCCGGGTACCCATTCTTGATGCCGGACTTTCTCCTGGAACCGGATTATGCGTGGCAAGACTCAGCTTTGGCAAAAAATAACCAGGCGAGAGAGGCTATGCAAAAGGAAATGGCAGACGACCTCAATAACATGTTCACCAGAGTCGGCATGTTTGATCACAAATGGGAAACGACGGCTCCAGTATCCCGACATCTCGGCATTGGAAATAACGCTCTAAAGTGGCAGCCCCACTCGGAGATGTTCGCCCCTTGGGTCCAGGACTCCTATGGGCGGAAGGATATGAGGGACAGTGTGGCTGAGACCATGTCCGCTGAAGTACGCAAAAACATGGACGAAAAGTGGCATACGCTGCACTCCTCGCTCTACTACTACACTCGCGGTGCCCTTCCCAATATGATCCTTACCTGCTTGGGTGATCGTACCGAAATGGCACACAGCATCGAAGCACGGCCACCATTCCTTGACCATCACTTGGTCGAATACGTCAACGGTCTTCCCCCAAGTCTGAAGATTGCATATAATCAGCCAGAGGGCGACACGGACGGGACGGGTTCAAGTTTATGGTGGAAGAATTTAAGTGCTGCCCGTCAAGCCTTAAGTGAAAAGTGGATTTTGAAGGAGGCTGGCAAGCCTTTCATCACCCAAGAGCTGTATGATCGTCGGAAACACCCGTATTCGGCCCCTGTCAAGTGGCCTCGGGAAGGACCCATTCACCAGCTCTTCAAAGAGCTAATTACAGAGGACTCGGTGAACAACTTGGGGTTCCTGGATTGGGAGGATGTCAAAAGCTGGCTTGAGCATGGGTTTGGGGATGATTCTGACCCCAACGCCTTTAGAAAATTGGTCATCACCGGATCATGGGTTGTCCTGAGCCAGAGGTTTGGAGTCAAAAAAGCGGTCCAAGGAACCAAGCCAAACTGCACGTGAATGTTTAGATTCAGTAGCATCCCCATTGGCAGTAATTGGCATTTAAGTAGACAACTCTATATCTCGGCCAGGTGTAATCGTAGAAACCCGAGTTCGGACGCCGAAGAGTAGGACTAGGCGTGCATCCTCGAACATGGGAGAACGAGTGAGAGAAAATGTGTGTATACGAATAAGTATGTACGTAGTGTATCTACATGTGGTAATGTGATGTTACAGGTTGAAGAAAACCCTCTTTCATCCAGACGTATACGAGTAGGTAGTGTGCGTATGGAAAACGTAAATCCAAGCCAACCCGGTTAGGATCTATAGGCCAGACAGCAAGTGGTTGCCCAGTATAGATTTTAGCAGTCAGACGCACAAGTCAGCCTTTCCTGATCCTCAACTGCTTTAAGGCAGGCTCAGAGCTCAATAGTAGCCGCCCTTGTTGTCCTTGCCGTTCTTGCTGTCATCGTTCTTGTTGTCATCGTTCTTGTTGTCATCGTTCTTGTTGTCATCGTTCTTCTTGTCATCGTTCTTCTTGTCATCGTTCTTCTTGTCATCGTTCTTCTTGTTGTCGTACTTGTTATCACCATTCTTCTTCTTGTCATCTTTCTGGTTGCCCTTCTTCTTCTTGCCCTCATCGTCAGAGCAGTCACCCTTCTTGTTGCGCTTGCACTGCTTCTTCTTCTTCTTGTCCTTATTCTCGTCGGAATCGGTGCAGTAGCCCTTGTTGTTGGTACGCTTGCACTTCTTCTTGCTGTTGCGCTGCTCAAGTGCGCTGACGGCACCAGTGAAAGCAAGTCCCTCGCCACGGGCCTAATGGGTCAAGAAGTTAGTTGAAGTGTCCAGCAGATCAAATCCCATGCACTGGGAGGCAGGCAATGGTGTTGTCAATGCTTCAAAACTTACAGCTAGATCGGTAGATCGCTGGGAAACGTGAGCTTATTCGTACATGTAGTCATGGTCGGAAATGGAGGGATGTTCTTACCTCGACGAGGTCGGCTTCGCGGGGCTCAGTAATGGGAGCAGCCAAAGCAGCGGCGGCGAAGAAAGCCATGCCGATGGTGGCAACCTGTCCAAAAGTAGGGATATGCATTTTGAGATCGGATTGAGAGTGAGTAGGTCTTGAAAAGAAAACGGGAGTTGGAATGAGCGGTGTGAGTGAGCTGTGTAGAATTGACTGTGATCTTGAGTGTGAGTATGATGAGGAGGAGGGGTCTTCTTTTCAAGGTGAGTACATGGCTTATTCATGAGTTTTCATCTTTTTCTTCCAACATAACGATTTGTGTACAGCATCGATATCGAAGGCTTCATGTTGTGAGACATGGCCTCACTTGCGACCAGAATCAGGTGAAGCGAGAATGGGATTAGCTTGTGTGGCTTGAGGATCTATCCCTGGCTCTTGGTTCACGGGCCAGCACGTTCGTGAAAGTCAAGCCAAGGCCGCTGGTGTCTTCTTGGCGATGGGTTTGCGGTGGCCAAAATACACCAGACCGAGATGCGCCAACGAGTCTGCTTTCAAGATCTTGGGTTCGAGGCGCTTGATGCCAAGCTTCGCGGCTTCAATACTACCACAACGCTCACCCCGAAAGTTTTGGTTCGAAGTTCTAGCCCAAAGTTCGATTTTATTTTCGAAGAAGGCTGTGCACCATAGCTAAAGGTAGAACAAGCAATCGAGTTTGAGGTGGCTCAACAGAAAGAGGGCTGAAGCAAGCCGAAAGTCTGGATTTGTCAATGGGTTTGAGACTGTAGAAAGCGATTAATAAGTCCGAATTACTCATTCATGCAACCAAAGGCGGCTTCTCTTGGGCCGACATGTTGTCTCATGACGAAACTAAAGTGACATTGTGAATCACACTCGGAGATACTGGCTGATGTCGTTTCGTCGAGTGAAATCAAGATCAAAATTTACTTTGGAGGCCTCGAGTGTCAACCTGTGCATGGATGAAGTGGTAGTTGAGTATAAAAGTCTCGAAGATGTGTGAGACTGCTGGATTACGGGTCAAGTGAGTATCGAGTAACAGCTCACAGACTGCGGGTTCACATCTGAGGGCCGCATCGCGCGAAAGCTTGTGCTGAAGCTGAAAAAGGAATGTGGAAATGGAAGAAGGGGTACGCACGAGCGTTGCGGGGTGGCGTACATAGTCGAAATCCCAGTCGCTAAGTTCGGCCCGGCGTGACGCTGCTGGCGGGATATCCGTCCGGCTGGTTTCACCAGCCAGAGCGGGAGGTCAAGTTCGTCAAACATGGGGAATAAAAACAAGCTTAGGGTAAACATCGATTTTAACTTTAAAGTTGATAGACCCGTTGTGCTCACGGCGACCAGACTTGGCACACGTCAATGATTTTCTCCGAGAAGTTCTTTCAAGTATGAAAATACTAGATCAGGCGAGTCTCGACGGTGACTTGGCATTCATATAGTAGGCTTTGACAGCCACTATTGTTGCTCAGCTGACGATAAAATATTAAGTTCTCGTAGTATGGTCCAGGCAAACGATCAATGTGATGAGATCACCGCAGCTTGAACCATTCAGTGAGCTCAAATGGGCATAATTCGGTTGCTATGGAAGGAGGCTATGATCAAAATGCTTTCTCATAATGCTAGCTCGTCTGTTGCTGTGTCTATGGAGCGAATAAAAGACTTTTCTGCCGCCCCTCTCAGTCCTTCTCTATGTGAATGCCCGTCATAAATGCATTGATGAAGACAAGTTTCCGCCTGTTGCCACTGGTTGGCGTCAAGAGAGTTCCTGGAAACTATGGGTTCGACTCTTTCTCACTCCTCAACCATGTTGTTCCGGTCACTGGAAGGTTGTAAGTACAGGTAAACGACACATCTTGAGCTGATACAAGATTGTGTATTGACTCACGGTAGCACAAAGTCTGGCAGGAACCAAGCCAGAATAACCCCTGGAGCTGAAGCTCCAACTGCGGTGTAGACCATGAATTTCATGACATCCGTGAACTTTGGTGTTGTGATATGGAGTTAGCGTCATCAGACAGAGGCGCGAATACTCGCTACCAAGACAGAAGAACTTACCGCATGGTTGATCGCGTTTCTTTCCGGAGTACCCCATGCAGGCGCGGTGCCGACAATGGAGTCGAACAACGAGTCAACAAGCTCCGGCGAAGCGCTGGCGCCGAGATATTTGTACAGCATCGGCTTGAATGTGTTGGTGTAGATGCCACCAGCTATGCAACCCCCGATACTTCCTCCAATAACCGAACAGCAAATGACCAATGCAGTAATCTGGGGCATCTCGCGGTGAGGCACGACGACCTGCGCAGGTACAAGAATTGACAGTTGCATGATACCAGAACCTAAACCCTGAATCATTTGCACAATGAAGAGTTCGGCCACGGAGTTGTCAGCCCCGCGAAGGCGAAGCATGATACCATAGCCGATGAGACGGATGATTGCGCCGCCGATAAGCAGCCACTTGTATCGGCGAGTGTATGCCATTGCCAAGCCGGCGATGATTCCCATCACACACTGCATCACACCATTGGTGTACTGGAAGAATGTGGCGTCTCGGGCGGCGAAGCCGCGGGCTACCGTAGACCAGGAGTAGAGATACGTGTGCGTGCAGGCAAACCCAACCGAGTCACTCGCGATGAGCAAAAGGCAAAGAACGATTGTCTTGTTGCGGAAGTATCGCGTGGGCATGATTGGGTTGCGAGCTAGATGCTGCTCGTAGAATGGTAGTGCAGCGAGGAGCATGACGCCAATCACGATCAAGACGATGATGTATGCCGTTCCCCATCTGCTCGGTGTTGATGCCGCTAACGTCAGCGGTATCAAGACCAATGAGAAACCCGCGCAGAGAAGGGCTGAGCCGCCTAGGTCGATCTGAGAACAAAAGCTGTAGAGCGTTGTCTTCTGTCTCGGGGTGAGACCCATGTCCTTGGCCTTCTTTTGGTAGTAAAGCAGAGTCGAGATGATGAACGCGGCGCCGATGGGCATGAGAATGGCGAACATGCCGATCCCCCATCGCCAGCCGATACCACCGGGCTTGACGACATCGTCGACAATGAAGGCAGCGGCCCAGGGCGTAATGAGAAATGGGAAGAAGGAGAAGCTGAGAGCGAAGCCACGCCAGCGAGCCGTAGTGATATCGGCAATCACGATGTCGTTCATGATGTTTGTGCCTGACTGGCCGACGACGTAGAAAACAACGCCTGCAGCATAGGCGTTGAAATTTGTGGACGTTGCCATGAGGATGTAGCCCAGGACGTAGAAGGATATACTCATGATGTAGGTTTCTCCTCGTCCAATAACGTTGGAAAGCTTGGCGACTGGCGGTTTGATGACTGCGAAGACGATGCCGCTGGCGGTGGTTAGGGTTGCGAGCTTGGAAAGAGCTGAAAAGGAGGATGTCGCATAGTTGTTGTAGATGTACACAGTGGTGTTGTCGATTTCGCTTCATGATGATTAGCCAGGCCAATTAAAGGGGAGAGCTCATTGATCTCATGAGAAAGGGTTAGCATAGTACTTACTACACAATCATCACCAATGCTAGACTAGTATGGATGTTAGCAATAATGTTGTGCATAGGCAAGTGGCAGTATGGACTTACCCGACAATAACTAGCCATCTTCCCTTCTTCCCCCATAATGTCTGAGCAGCTTGAATAGTGCCGACACCCGACTCAAGAGGCTCGGAGGTATCGAATTTTTTGACATGGTCGTGATCTTCAATAGTGTTGTCCGTCTTCCCGGCCATCTCAACATCCCGAGGTGCTTCCGATGCAGCTATATCCCCGTTGGCGGGGTCTGCTGATGAGGACCCCTCCGCATGGAGGTGTCCCCTCAACGACGTGACAAAGCCCATTGCTTCTCTCTGTTCTTCAGACGTCGGCAGCAGACTCGTGCGCTCGTCATTATCGTATGAAGACGTACGGCCGGTTCGTCGGCACATGCTGGGCGAACTGAGAGCAGATGCGAAGAGCTTTAACTCTTTTTGAGTCATGCCCGCACTGCAGAAACTACCGCAAACTTCTTGACCAAGGTTCAATGATTATCAGTTGAGACGGCTCCCTGAACCTTGTTTGGAAGCAATTCGAGAAACAGAAAAAAGCACAGATGACTGGTCAACGATTGAAAACATCGGCTTAGAATGAACCGACAAACCTCCCAACGGCAGAAGGATTCTAAAGGCAGTGCTTACTTTGCCTTTGCGGGAAGGCTGTTATTGTTCTTCACGGTCGTTATCTTGCGCCCACCGGCCAATTGCTCGCGCGGGGTCGGCGCGGAGAGGGGAGGAGCCTATCAAATCGGGGACATTGTCATCCCTCGTGCATCCTCCGAGGTGTCGTGTGATAGCACTCGGTGATAGCGTCTGAACGATTCGGTATCCGAAGCTATCTGTACATCGTCCGATGTATGGGGTAGGATCAGGCACCATGTCTTCCCTTACAGTAACGATGTGCGATGAGAGGCCCCAGGTGCTTCTAGACGTTTGCCATATAGAGGATGGGGATGCTTGACCCTATGAGAATCACAAACCGGTGGGATTCTTGGTGTTGAACTTCTGTTGGCTTTAGGATAAGGTGCCCGGCAAAAATGGACCGACCGGCCGGGTTAGACCCTGAAGCCAAATTCCAAAATCGCTCCACTGATCCCCCCGAAGCCGCTCGCAATTCAAAGTGGGAATCCCCCCGAGCTCATCGGCGACCGAAGTTTCGACTCGACTCAGATGGGGCCGCCCGCTCCGTCATTCTGGATCCGCCCGGCCGGTCAACCCTTCTTGGGTTTAAGGTAAACTGCCAGAGAAGGAGGATGTCACCTCAAGATCTCGGGGGGCCGTAGGATTGGCCCTGGGACCCGTGTCACTTGATCTCAAAAGTGCGGGAGATGGCTTGGGAATTAGCGTCAACGTGGCCAAATGAGATGCCCAGAAACTGAATCAAGGGTGTCGGCGCCCTGTAAACTCTCTTCGCCCGACAGCCCTGATAATCAGATGAAAAAGATAATGCACAAACGTTTGGGGGATCAGCATTGCACAGCTGCCGCAGCACCCCTACTTTTCCCCTTATCTACCCTTGATTCGTACAAGCCAAGACTGGGCTCACTCGAGAGACCACTCACGCACAGGACAGCGCTAGTCCTAAACAAGCCAGCAAGATGCCGGCTTTCACAGAGTCGTGTTTGGCCGCTGAGTCGGTGATCCGGGAACCATGGGGACCCCCACAGAAAGATCAGCTGGGCTCACTGTGAAATATAGCCGGTCCGGGTAGCTCAACGCTTTCTTATCCCCCTTTCCTCGCTGTCTAACTGGAATTCCCTCCGAGGCTATCACGAAGCAGAACATCGTGCTGACCTGACATGGACAGCAAGATTTCGTCAAGATTTCCCGCGCCGAAAGAGGCTGTCAGGCCAGGGAGTAAGTGTAGAACAGCGGTCACCGCTGCTCTATCAGTGCTCGCTTTGACGGCGCTTATCAGGGGGAACTTCTTCCCAGCTCCGTGGTCTCTGGTCGGGCGCGGAAACACTTTCGAACAAGCTTCTGATTCAGAATGGACCTGGTCAAGCGTACATTGAGATATCAGCTCCAACGTTGCTCTCGAAAAATAACTAACAAGCTTCATAGATCAAGCCGAGTCGGACCCTGGAATGGCACAGCTGCTTCGAGAACGGAGAATATGACTGCGCCAGACTAGACGTTAGTGCCCGAAAGTCCGTCTCCACAAAACTTCCAACATGCCTAACAGAACATATCTCAGGTCCCCGTGGACTGGCAAGAACCGTCAGATGACCACCGCGTTGTTCTTGCAATTACGAGAATTCGTGCAACGGATAAGTCGGACTATAGGGGACCAGTGATTTTTAACCCTGGTGTAAGCAAATATGTCAAGATCTCTTCCCAAGACATCAACGGTACGCTAAACCCCGGATCCAGGGTCCCGGTGGCTCAGGGGTCTGGTCCCTGAAAAATCATGGCAAAATGCTGCAGGAAATCGTCGGTGTAAACCACGTACGTCTAAACACTTGCCTATCTCTTCAAGATCCTAGGTTCGGAAATACTTACATTATATAGGACCTTATCAGTTTCGATCCCAGAGGTGGTAAGTTTTACTTCCTGATACACAAAACGTGGACAACTGCTGATATGCGACTGGGATAGTTGGCGCATCCATCCCTAGAATCCAGTGCTGGTCAACACCACAACAGCGCCAAAACTGGGGTCTTCAAGACCCCGGAGTCCTCGACTCCCACGAAGGCATCGTTGGAGAACTCTTTGCCCGAGCGACGGCATACTCCCAAGCATGCGAGAGCGCAATGAAAGCCTCTGGCATCCTCGAGCACTCGAGTACCACCCCGACCGCTAGGGACATGCTCGAGATCGTGTACCAGACCGGGTACAGCAAGCTCAAGTACTGGGGTTTCAGCTACGGCACCATCCTCGGCGGCGTTTTCGCGGCCATGTACCCAGACAAGGTAGAGCGTTTGGTCAGCGATGGCAACGTTGACTATAGGGAGTGGTTTAACTCGGAACACGTCAACTTTATTCGCGACACAGACAAGGTTCTCTTCGCTTTTTACGAGTTTTGCTATCAAGCTGGGCCCGAAAAATGCGCCTTTCACGGTCCCACTTCGGAAGCCATCATGGGGAGGTTTGTTGACCTACTCAACGCCCTGAAGAGTCACCCAGTCATCGTTCCGGCCGATCCAGAGGAAGGTCCTGAAGTACCCATGCTGGTCACCTACTCCAAGGTCATGCGTCTTCTCTCGACAACGCTCTACCAGCCGCTGGAGCAGTTCGAGAATTTTGCCAACATCATTGCCGCGCTAGAGAAGAAGGACGGGCGGCCTTACTACAGACGCTATAATCCCAGCAAGCCTGCCCCGGCCCCGGCTTGCGCACCGCAGCCGGTCTCGCCGTTCGAGCCGCCCCCGGGGATTGTCGAAGGCACCGGAGATGCCTTCCCCGTCATCATGTGTGCCGATCACCCCGCTGTCAGTAACATGACTCTCGAGGAGATTCAACGAGAGACGGATGGAATTCTGGAGCTTAGTCCAGGAACTGGAGCTACGGAGGTGCCGTACCAGATGACTTGTAACCAGCGAACTACACGTCCCCGCTGGCGATTTAGTGGTAAGTTTTAGCAGTGATTCTAGGAAGAAATCTGGACACCTCCGTGCTCACTTAACCCAGGGCCCTTTGAGGGCAAGACCAGCCACCCCATTCTGTTCATCGCCAACCAGGCCGACAACATCACTCCGCTAGTCAGTGCTCGCAACAACTCTGCTGGATTCCCCGGATCAAGGCTTCTAGTCCAAAATTCATTTGGCGTTAGTACCCTTCAAGAAAAAAAAGAAAAAAAGAGTCGCATTCACATTGAAGGTCGACCACGTAGAGACTCGAGAGCTGACATTCTCCCATTGTAGCATACAACTCTCGCAGCCCCCTCAGAATGCACCAGAGGGCATATCAGGGCTTACTTCCAAAACGGAACACTGCCGGAGCCCGATACAAAGTGCGAAGGCGACTCGCATCCATTTGGGCCCCTTGCCGAAACCGGAGTTCAATTCTACCAACCACCGCTGTTCATATAGCTCGGATCATGCCATTTGATATTTAGATCTAGAGACTAGATACGTAAAGTACAGTCTGCGTAGATATAGAATGCTTCTTTCTTCCTTTTCAGCGTTGCGTTTTTCTTCATGTTGCCACGTCGCTGGCTGGTTATTGTTCAGGCCTCTCGGCTCGACTTTCTCAATATTCGTTATTTTTAACAAGACAAGCTGACTCTGGGTATTCATGTGACAATCAGAACGATTTAAGGAACCATCTACCACGGGAGTATCTTTTCTTTGACCTCCACCACTCATTGCCACCACTCATTGTGTCTTATGCGTTCTTTCGGAATTCGCGGGCATCTCGTATACCATGTGGTCGTCCGGTGCCTCGTGCCTGACTGGATGATGATTCGTTGAGCCAATCTCATGTGACAACGGCGTCCCCAGCTCAGTGAGAGGCGACCGCGAATCCAACTCGCTGACGCGGCTCCCTTCCCTCAGAACCTTTGGTTCCGCTCGATGCCTCGTATGCATCTCCCCGTTTCCTCCAATCTCGGCCATCGAACTCGTCTGGCTTGCCACTTGTGTCCTCTGAATTTTGCCTCTCTTTCTGTTGAACCATAAAAAGGCCTTGTCAACGGCATCCGGCGGAGAGTCGGGCCCATTCTTCTGCTTTCTTCGGCGGCGCAAGAACCATACCAAAGCAAGGACTGCGCCCATAACCCCGACTGCGATGCCAGCCTTGCCTCCAGCTGTCAATCCCTTATCGCCGGTGTCGAAGCTTTGGAAAACTTGTCCTTTATCCCAGGCATCGCCCCATGTCGTGACGAACGACTCAGCCGGGTTGGTGCTAATGGCCGAGCCGTCAAACTTCTTGACAATGCTCTGCTCCATGCGTGGGCCCGGGGCTTGCGCCATGTAGGTGACGTTGGATTCGTAGTCGACGGCGAGGAACGCGGCTTGGAGAAAGGCGCGTCCCAGCTGCCAGAAGCCGTAGCTCGAGTTGATGGATTTGCAGGGGAAGTAGTTGGCTTTCTGCTCGACCAGCGGTGGCTCCAATATGAGATTGAGGAGCTGGAAAGGGACTTTGATTGTCATGTTGGTTGCGCTCGAGTCGGCCAAGACGAAGCCGAGGTACGCTGACTGGTTGACGAATGGTTGGGCGCTCAAGTCAGTATCCCAGAGGTAGAGCCCTGACTTGTTATGGTACGTCATGTGAAGATTCTCTGCTATGGCTTCGCAAATCCCTGGCGGTAGATAAATGTATGGTGAAGCTGGATTCGGAACCACAACAGCCGACCCAGCAGCGCCGCCAACGTACTTGGTATACTGCATGCCGAGGTCAGTTGGATTCGTCCAAAAGCTCACGTTTGACTTGATAGGATAGAAAGACTGGTTCCGTATCTGGAAATCAAAGATGATATCCCTGAGGAACATCATCGGTATCAAGTCCTGTACTGCAAACGTGCCAACTTGACCGAGCGCCCTATTCTGCTCGTACCCGCCAAGTACTAGCGATCCAGGAATACCGAGAGCGGCACTCCCCATCTGCACGCTGAATGCGGTCCTATCGATATCGCCCGAGGCCTTGAGCTGTTCGAGGATCCCTGGGGCGGCTGTCACGTCTCTCTCGCTCCTGGGCCCGAGACCAAGTGTGCCGACCGTCGGCGTGTAGATCGTCGTGTCGGAGGTGGTAGAATTGTTCCACGACGTCGCGGCGACCAAAGTCACGTTAACCTTGATTTCGTGACTGGTTCCCATCCTCGAATCGATGACCATGCCGTCAGAGGCCTCCATTCCTGCCCAGCCCGCCCCCATAAAGGCGCTGGCGAACCAGCCATCAGACCAAGCTCTCGAAGTCCCCGTCTTGACGGTGTCAGCGCGCGGCGTGTAATCTCCGCCTACGGATTTCGTCAGGATCTCAGAGATACCAGAGCCACCCGGCCAGAGAGGCATCTCAGTGCCGTTGAGCTTGAGGAGTGGCGCCTGCCATGGCCCGTCGGGGCCATAAGTCCTGTTCGCGTTTCCCCCGAGATCGGTCGACCAGCGGAGTTGAATCTGCGCATTGGCGCTGGCGACGGCGGCCGCGGCGAGCGAAACATGACGCAGCAGCATGACCGGCGTTTGTCAGACGTCTCGAATGATACAGTGACTGAACGATTTAGGTTGACATCTGGGATTGTGTTCAGGGTCCACGCGTGAATGGTAAGAAATGGTTGACAGAGAGACAAAAATGTCAATCGGGATCAGAGAATCGGAGTGAAAGTCCAAGTGTCGGGCAAAAAGCATGCACGAGTGAGGGTCAAGCAATACTGCGCCGCCGCATGCTAGTCTTACAGTAGCATCGACAATTTGATAAAAATATACGGTGGCCCTCTGGGCAAAGACTCCATCGCAGGCAACAGAGCTACCGGGATCCGGATCCAGATGCAGGCTGGCGCCGCAATTTCCTGGCTGCCCAGAGCCCCCAAAGCACAAGTGGATTTCGAGTTCAGCCAACAGGATTCGAGGCGTTCATCAGTGACTCAGGGGCTGCTCTGGTTTGATCCATCACCTTTTGACGGAGTTCATGTCCGAAGGAAGGGCATAGTAGACTAGTAGTAGGTAAGAAGAGTGAAGAGATACGCGAGCACTAAGAGTCTGACAAGCGAGCGTCGGTCGTCAATTTCGGCGCGTTTTCGTTCTCGTAAACCTTAAAACTCAATTGAAAAGGTCCCACTTCAGAGCATCATCCCCCCAACGGGTGCTAGGTCAACTCAGCAGCGAAGATAAGCGCGAGACTGGTCAGGGAAGGCAATCCTTCGGGATCCAACGCGACACTGGACTTTTCAAATACGAATATCAAGAGTCTTGTCTCATGATACAAAAGGAACTGGAACCAAAAGAAATAACTATCCAATTGCAGCCAAAACGGCTTTTGGTTGAGCCCGGATCATCCTCGAGACTTGAACAGGCCCCATCACCGGGGCCAATCCCCACTTATCCCCCGGTTGCTCCGGTGTGAACACGGCGCGTGGGAGATGTCGATAATTCGATTCTTCACATTCGATCAGACCTCTCGAATCGCATTCCGCAGACGGGAGATTTGAAATCTCCAGAGCCCTATACTAGATGTACAATCGATTCGCAGTCAGTGGATTGGCAGGCTCCTGCGCCATTGCTCTCGCAAGGCAGTTTCCACAGTGACTCAATCGCCCTTCATCTTCCCCATCTCAACTGTCTCGGGCCGGATCGTGAAAGAGCCACGCCAAGCCCACGACTTTCCAGTATCAGTATCCAGGCCCTTGATACAAAGCAGCTGTTCATCCGCAAGCTGTATATGCCACTTCTGCCTACCGGCCCGCGTCTTCTTCATGCCTTTGAGTAGTCGTCTTGTCCTGGACCGCCACCAAGGCTTGTCCTGGCTTGCGATGCACTGCCGCAAAGGTATCAACAGAAAGCAGATTTGGTCCAATCTTCCCTCGGAGAGCAGCATCTCACAAATCGTCAACAATCGACTCATTCGAATGCTCCTCTCAAAGTCGAGCTTGGCTCCAGACTCGCGCGGGTTTCCACCGGCGGCTATGGTCAGCGAGATCTGATGCTCCAAGTAGAACAAGATCCAGTGAATGTTGATCTGTAATGCAGGTAAGCTGAGAGCTTGTACGTAGGTGGGTCAATATCACCTCGGTTTCAGAAAGAGATTCTTTGCGAAGATCTAGGTCCTTGATAGTGCCGTACTTTGCTGCCATTTTCAACAGCTGAGCTAACGCCTCCTCCATGGACCCCTCGAGAACAGCACCATCGCAGTACCACAACAAGACCAAGAGGTCCTTCTCGGGCTCGTCAATCAGACACGTATCAGACGGTCTAAAAGGAATAGGCAGGTTGTTGTCGTCTCCTGAGGTAGAGGCTGCCTCCAGTCTTTCCACATCAGCCCTTTGTGACCCGAGGAATGGATTTACGGCACGAGCAACTTCAAGCAGCTTTTGCGAGATAGGTCTATTATCAGTCAACAATCGCAACAGAGTTTCCTCTGTACAGAGTGCGATGTAGTCCCGAATGTGGGCTGCGTGTCGAGCATCCTCAATCAAGACATCGAGTCTCTCAATGAGCGATGCCATTTCCTCCGAGGCTACGCTCGGAATGCCCCCAGTCAAGTATCGACTGCGAATCTGCCTGATGGAGAGAATGACTTCACGGGTCGTCTCAGCTATGAGTGGGGGTAGATGCTGGATCCAGATAGTGGTAGACGACAGCGTCTTTGGGACGCGCGGTGGCGGCGACGGACTACCTAACGTCAATTTCTTGTGCCCATCGCAGGCACAGTGACAAACTCACCGGGACGAACCTCCACCCATATTGCGAAGCAGCTTCGGCGTTGAGTTCTTGACCGACGGAAAGTCTGGCGCTCCCAACGATGCGTAAAAAATCACATCCATGTTGGCATCTCACAACACCGCCGCATCCTATATGAAATTGAAGAAGAGCAGAAAACGAGGCTCATCGTCAACCAGGCTGGACTTACGTATCTCGCATGCCTCGCATCGTATTTCGTGTCTGCATCATCCAGCCGAGCTGAAAGCCTGGGCAACACGCGTTATCAGACGTGGCTTGCACCGGCGAATCAAGATGAACGGACGGTGTGGCGGCAAATGTCCCCCGGACTGGGGCCGTTCTCAACGTTGTGAACGCCACCGAGGATCCCGTCCATCATGGGACGCGTGCGGGGTACTGGGGTATGACCCTCTAGTCTGTGATCAGTTGCACGTGGGAAGAGCAGCAAACATCGTGCATCATTGACGTATCTGGGGTAAACAGGCAGTTGTTGTAGCTCTAGAGATGTTGTTTTGAGTACCTATTCAATATGTACTCGGGTTGCTAGTATTTACACCAGTGCATGACGAACTTGACCATGGTGATGCGCTCCATGGAGAGTCGCCTACCCAAACGCCTTGCCTCCGTCCCTGAAAATGCAAGCTGTCAATTTGTGCAGCTCCAGCGCCCGTAACGTGTTAAAAAACGTTTCCTTATAATCCCGCCTAAAGATATCCTTGATCGCTGTAAAACGCCCTTGCCGATGCTGAGGTTGATCCATTCTTCGATGGTATTGAATGTTGTGGTGATGTTGTGGTGATAAAAGAAAGGTTTAAAGATTGTACGGAGACATCGAGGTCGGCCAATCTTTAGTTCTGGGATTCGTAGACTGCCATCGCCTTCTCGAGCTCCTCGAGACTCGACCGGTCACCGTAGGCATCCATGAGTTTTGCCGCTCGTTTGCGATCTTCAATTGCCTGCTTCTCCGCTGCGGCATTCTTAGCTTGGCGACGTTCAACCATGCCTTCTCGGTAGGCGTTCAGGCCGTAGCCAACGGCGGCGACTGCTACTGTGGGTGGGATCCTGTTATGCCGGATTCGTCAGTTCTAAACTCTCTTGGTTGTGGTTGTGCTGTTTCCCCAGGATTCGGGGAAGCTGGGAAGAGGGGAAATGGATGCTAAATTGGGGTCTTAGGATGGGATCAGAGATAAAGACGTACCATCTCATGGCGAGTCGACGGGGAGTTTGCAAGAAGTAGCTCGGCGGCATGCGAGCGTTGGTTGTGAAGTTTCTTGAAGCTTGTCTGAACATTGTATGTTGTGGAATCAAGTATCTCAAGCAAGAAGTGGTGTGGGATGAGGGGATGGGGGTGAAATCGGTATTTGTATCTTGGTTACGTGTGGGTTACAATCGCAAGGGATGATTAGATAGATCTCTCGGGCTAAAAGCAAGCGTCTTGGTGAGTAGGTGGCAGCGGCAAGCAATGTATTCATATAACGTCCCGTCTTGACCCTTCGCGCCGCGCCAATCTTGTGTCTGAGAACCCCGTCACCCCCAGCCGTTCCATCCCCCATGGCCAAGGGGGCTAAGCATGGCATGGCATGGCACCGTCCGCCCACACAGTACCTACCTAAACCGCACTTGCATAGTGCGTAAGGTAGGTTGAGATGAGCATTGAGCGGTACACCGTACGGTACAAGGCATTTCCGCAGGGGAGGGAGGCAAAACGGGATTTGCGGCCAGAAATGAGAATCAGTGTGACACCAGCATCGCACCACGCTCAGCAGCGGCCCCAATTGGGCATGGCGTCGACATCGTTCCAGAGTGTCGATTGTGGGGTGATGTCGACCGATATGCGGGGTGGAATCGGCACAGCCCGGGTGTAGTAACGTGATGCCGCTGGGGACAAGATTGGACCTTTGCTTCTCTTTCTCATCATTGCTGCAGAGCTACGGATACAGTGCAACACGTTGTCCTCAAGGAGAAGAACTCTCATCATTATTGGAGTGCCAGGGGAGTTCCTGGAAGACGTCTGGGGAACTTGGTGTTGAAGGCCACCGCTGGTTCGCTGAAGCTTTGCAAAACGCTCGAGTTGGTTGAGGAAGCCCCTTGTTTGTGCATCTTCCGTCCATCTCCATCCATCTAATGATCCTGGGCCATCCAAACACAGCCCCCGCAGACTTGTTTTGGCTTTGGCTGGTGTGGTAGCTACTCCTCACGTGCCCGGTGCCACCAGAGTTCATGCTCTGAATACCCATGCGTGCCGTGCCTGTGTGGTTTGCAGCTTACTTACTTGCTCCTAACGGCACTTGGAGTCGGCGTCTCGCCACACAAGACCGACTGACTACTTACTGGAAGCATTGACCAGACGGAGGACGGCCAGCGGAGTCCTCCGTTGCCGTAATGTCTGCTGGTGCTGGTGGCAGCTGTTGAGAACCGTGAGATTATGACATGTGCGGATACAACCATCGGCAAGTAACTTCGGGTGTGTGTGGCTTACCAGGATCATTCTGTTGGTGATCGAATTTCGAATTTTTTTTATTTTTTTTCCAATTCCCAATTTTTCATTCCATATTCTTACTCAACATCGGAACCCGAAATTATTATCGTGACCCCGTTCGCAAAGCCTATCTGTAGCCCGTATCTCTAGATCTTCTCCATCATGGACTATGGAAATGCCGATTCCACCCGCGAAAGCCAGTAGGCTCCACCCAAGTTTATCCCGAAAGCTCGTCACATAGCCGAAAACCCTCGTTGATGTCATCTCTGGTCCCTGGATTTCCATCTCTAATCCCAATTTCCCTATTTCCTTCTCTGTCAAACAACCCTGTTGACAACTTGACGCTTAGCCTGATATTGACACCTTCTCCATCTACGCTACCGCTCTTTGGGGGAGAGCTCGAGCCCGACGCGTTCTTCTGGTGAGAAGGCGAGAGTCTGGTTGCCAAGGTAGAGGGAGGGAGAGACCCTTGTCAGCCGATGTCATTCAGCCAAAATTCCATCAATGAACTCAACGCATTTTCCAAGCTGAGTCTCCACCAACCAACGCCAACGCTTGCTTCCGCGCCAAGTGAACCCCGGCGGATGTGTTTCACGACGTCACAACACACGATCGAATGATGATGCAGCGGATAGCGGCGGTTCGTTGTCGTTGTCCCCGACTCTGAGCTATGACGATGGCCTCACGTTGAGCCCTTTTGTCAGGATCACTCGATTTAAGCTTGATCAACTGTCATTTTGCATTTATTTCTTCACTGCATTGCCGTAATGACGAGCACATGCATGCTTGCATCGCGACATGCTAACCACCCCACAAGGCGTTGGCTGGGGCCCCCCATGACCCCTTTCTCAAGTGTCTACGGTCGCTCGAGTGCAGCGCATCGTCAACACAACACGGTCCACCGCACAACTTCGACTTCAATGAACGGGAGAACATGATGTTTAACATAATTCGAGTATTGTTACTAGATTCATCTATAATTGACGACGTAACATCCTATTGCTCATCTTTTAATCCTTTGAAACCTAGTTACCTTGGATCCATCACTGAGCTCTTGCTGGATTTCTTGGTGTCTATAACCAAATAGTCTCGGGGCGATCACAAATCGCAATGCGTAGTAAATGATGCCAAGAGACAGGATACTCAACGCAACAACGGAAGAAAGCCAGTATGGCAGCGAAGTACTGCCTTTACCATTCGGCGGTCTTACAAACGGCATTACAATCAAGAACTGGTTATCGAGTATCAGCAATCAACCCTGACGGTAATCAAGTCCATGGGGGAACCCACGATGTTCGCCGCAAGATAGACCATAATCAGGATCCAGGGTGCCCGGAGCGGCGACTGGAAATTCTCCCGGTCGGTGAAGCGCAACTTTACCAAGCCGATGGTGATAGCTGTCAACAAGACCGTAGTCGGGTAGCTAGACAAGCTGACGACGAAGTTGAAGGCGTCTCCAGCTGGCGGTGCGCAAATGAAGAGAACAGTTACCCCAAGATGTAGAATCAGGGCGTAGATAGGGGTGCGGAACGGCCTGTTCTCCATGAAGAGGTTGGAAAAGGGGAGCACGCCATCCTTTGCCAGCTCTTGTAGCAGGCGAGCTGATTGGTGAAGTCAGTTGGTTAAGATCCCAGTGCTGACTGAAGATGCGGAACTCACGAATGGTAAATGCAACACCTAGGAGATGTCCCAGTGCGGAGAGAGCCACCAAAGCTGGAAGAGCTTTGGCTCCCGCCGAGGGTCCAAAGATGTTCTCGAACAAGGTCGCGGCTACGGTAACCTTTGCCGCAATAAAAGCCTCTTTGGGCACGGCGGCAAACTAATTGTCCATATCAGCCAGCGGCTGCCAGTGCGATGAAAGTTATGGAGCTTACATATGCGACGTTCGCCAGCAGGTAGAGTACTGCGATGACGCTCATGGAGAGAGGAAGCGCGATCCGCAGAGTCTTCTGCGGATTACGGACTTCAGATAAGACCTGGGCATATCAGGTGAGTAAAGCACGAAAACTGGCTCCGGGCCCAGGAATCTGATGAAACTCACAGCATTGACATTGTCATAGCCTTGGAAGGAGAAAATGACGTTGAGGATAGCGGACCCGATGTTGTATCCGCTGTTAGAAGTACCCTCGAAAGCATTGGTGAAGTTGTGCGGACTCTCCACCCTCAGATGACCGGATAAAGCTGCGAAACCGCAACATACGATGAAGAGCAGCGTAAACAGCTTCACAGCGGATAGCAAATCCTGGATCGCTCTTCCTGTTCGAGGCGCAACCGTATGGATCCCCACAGAGAATACGGCGCCAGCAATCGCAACTCCACGGAGTTTCCACGTTGTCGAATCGGCACCTGACGCAACAAGGATATATGACGAGAATGTGATTGCGTTACTTGCGGAAACCTCTATGTTGTGTGTTAAAGATGTCCCAAACCCAGTTGTAGTATGCGCGTAACGAAGATCAAAGATACTTACGCAAGAAGACGCAGTAGAAGACATAGATGCAAGTCTGCATTATCCGTGGACTGAAAGATCGCTCAAGGTAGTTCTTGATACCGCCCGATCTGGGGATCGCGCTTCCGAACTCGAGCATGACAAAGATACCGCACGTCGAAATGATTGCCCCGATCACCCAACACATCATTGCCATCCCTACACTACCTGAAAGCTTGAAGATGGTACTGGGGGTCGAGAAGATGCTGCGTTTGTCAAAAACGGGAAAGTTGCCAAGACGCGGGATCTTGAGACGTACCCTGCACCAATGATCTTATTAACAATCAAGGAGACAGCTCCGAAGAGTCCAATAGTCCGCTCTTGCAAGACGTTGATTTCGATAACGCCAAGCTTGACATCCTTGTCTGAATCATCGCCGCCATCGCTAAGAGAACGAGTAGCAGGCGCAACTAGATGAATTTTATCAGAAACAGCTTATCTGAAAGGAGGGTAAAACCTTTTACTGACTTTGAATGCTATCTTGTCTGGACGTCATGGTCATAATCACGCCAAGGCGGACCTTGGAATCGAATAGAAAATCGGTTGTTTGACGCAACACCAAGACTTGAAGCAAGTGAATGCAAAGGTTTTACTCTTATGAGTTTGAGGCTCATTCAAGCGTCGGTGGTGGTATCCGTTATTCTGGAAAATGTTAGCTAAGAGCGTGCGTCTACATTTTCGCAGCTGCGGGAAGCGAAGCACGCCATTATGGAGCCAAGATGTCGTGTGAATATCCCCAATGGTCAACAACGAAGACACGGCAAAGTGAAGGCAAATGCCTGAGTTACTCAGAACTTGATAATCCTTCTCCGGAGGACTTTTTCAATTAGTCCTAGTGCTTGGGAGGCAATACCGAACGCTTAACCGCTTCTGGCGACATGCTCTTACTCGACACAAGTGTGCTGTTGGAGTCGGGGATATTCCGATGATGTCGTGCTTTGCTCCGGTGATTCGCCATTCGATTTGGACAAACTATTGGACAGCAACGACATGTAACGTTGTCTGGGCTGAACAAAGACCCGGCGCACATCCGACTACGGACCGAACTGCTCGTAATGCATCCGGTATGTGATAACGATGTAGCATAAGTGTAGAGCCTCATCAGGCATTTCAGTATGCTACAACATCGTGCCATACTTATACGGAAAGACGACAGGAAGTTGAAGAGAGCAACAAAATGACAGTCGAACTCCAAACCTTCGAAGTCCCTGGCGCCAGGACCTATTTTGGCCATGCTCTGCCCTATGGGCTGCAAGTCAAGTCGAATGATACGTCCAGCTCTGCACCTCCCGTCGCCGAATCTGCAGCAGCACTGAGGGCACTAGGCGAATCTGGAAGACTACAAGACCTGTTGGAGAAGCACGGTGCCGTCTTAATCCGTGGTGCCGGAAACCCTTCAGCCGAGACTTTCTCGAAACTCGTAGGCGCAGCTGAGAGGGGCAGAGGGTCTTATCCTCATGTTCAAATTGGACTGGCCGGCAAGAGAAGTCCACTCGCGGACAATGTCTGGACGGCCAACGAAGGATCGCCAACCACTCGGTTCTACCAACACAATGAGGTGAGGGCGTTCCGGCTCGGCCTCAGGTAACATGTTTGTGTCAGCTCACATACCATCGCCAGTACTCCAGATACACTCGATTTCCATCAAACATTCATTTCTACTGTGTGAAGAAAGCCCCTAAAGGTGACTTCATCCCGGTGTTGCGAGTTCGCCAGGCAGCTTGACCTCGTTGACCTGAATGCTCGTGATCGTTGATATTGACTTATCTGAGGCTGTAGGTGGCGCGACACCAATTGCAAGCAGCGCCAACGTATTCGAAAAGGTCCAAGCTGCGATCCCTGAGCTTGTGGAAGAGATCAGCAAGCGTGGCTTGGGAATGAAGATGGTCTTTCGTGCCCCCGGGAATGAAGCTAAAGTCAATCAATTCAACTGGGCTGGTGAGCACAGTTTCGGACAGGAACTTACCCCAGAAGACGACGAAGCAACAACGAGACAAAAGGTGGAAAAACAAGTTCGCAAGTTGACGTCAGATTTCAAGTGGAACGAGGATGGAAGTCTTGAGCTGACGCAGCATATTCCTGGTAAGCCTTCCGCGCAATAATCTCAAGGTAGCACGAAGAGCACGGAGTTCAATTTTGACATGACCTGCAATGTAAGGTATCCGCAGACTGCCCGCGAGCGGCAGGCCAGTCTGGTTCAACGGCCTGGTCGGACGCCATGGTATTACTCGAGACATTGGTGCTCTCGACCCTCCTTACATGGGCCGCGACGGAATGACTTGTAAGTACCCGTAAAAGGATTACGTGTTGTAAACTCACTGACTTGCTGTTAGACCTTCCGAGTGTCTACGGAGACGATATTGAGATCCCGCGCAGGCTTCTCGACAAGCTTATTGGTGTGATTGATAAGGAGGAAATTAGCCTGGTACTTGAAGAGGGAGATCTCTTGTTAGTTGATAACTTCCAAGTCTCCCACGGGAGAGAGCCGTGGGACGGCGACAGGCAGATATTGGTCTCGATGTGGGACTCGCCAATCCCAATTGGCAAGTACTGATGGACGTCCCATAAGTCTCGAATAATGGCCAATATCAAGCCATAAAAAGGCACCTCTTCATAGCTCGAAGAAAGAAGATGCGTCACAACGTTCGAATTACTATGCAGTCCTCAAGTGATAAGTGATATGCAGTGGGCTAGTTATAGCACGCTCGAACCCGTCCATTTCCCAGTATCAACAACCTTAAACTACATTTCCTTTTCCTCGAATCTCTGAGCTCTATTCCATGATTGAGTTGGTGTAAAGGGTCATGCCACAATGACTCTCGGGGCTACTCCAGAATTTTGAGCTCCACCTACAGGGTATACTGATACGCAGGGTGGCATTGCCATTTTTCACCCAACTTCGTTGACCGTGCTCCCAAGCGTGTGCTTTCGTTCAGAAGATCCTCGTCTCCGGCAACGCGGAGCTTACGGTTACGCCAACGAAGGTAGAAGTGCAGCGAAGTGGCCAGAAGAATGCACATTCCAGAGAAGGCCACATTAATGATGTTCGCCTGCCAGTACTGTGGGCCATGCGACTTTGGGTAGAAGTAGCTTGCATAAATGGAAGCCAGATTCGATCCGGCGTTTACGACAGCGTATGATACAGCTCGTTTGGTCGCCGGCCGAGGAAGTGTGGTCGAGACCCATGACAAGATACATCCGAATGAGCCATATACACTCATCATCATGAATGTCGCCGTGTATCGGGCTGCAACGTTGAGAGTAGTTGCCGAGATGATGAAGCCGACGCTGCAAAAGACCTGCGGCCACACGATGTGCAGCCACCGCTCACGATGCTTGTCACTGTGCCAAGAGTTTGTGATGCCCAATACGGCAGCGAAGACGTACGGCGGAGCAGAAAGAAGCAATGTATTTCTTTGGTTGTAGCCGAGTGTCGCTACAATGGTAGGGAAGAAGTTGGTAAAAGCGGCAGCAGTATTCAATCCAAGTTGCATGAGCCAGATCATGTAGAGTGCTGGGTCCGTAAACGTCATCTTCAGACCTTGGAACGCTGATGCTTCTTCTCGATTATCTTCTTCGACTGCTTCTTCGGTGATTCGAAGGATAGCAAGCTTTCTCTCATCGTCGGTGAGCCATTTCGTAGTCGCTGGATAGTCTGGAAGTGTGAGATACGTTACGATGGCGACCGGAATTGGGATTGTTCCCTCAATGATGACTGATTAGAAGAAGTCAGAATATTCCCGCGCATTCAATTCGAAGAGAGAACCCACAAAGCCATCTCCAATCAGCGAGGCCCAGCTTTCCATCCATCCCTCCCATGATTGCGCTACCCAGAAGGCCACCGAAGGCACCTGCCATCTGTCCTGCAGCATATAGCACTGAGATGCGGACTGCCAGCTCCTTCTTCGTGTACCAAGAGCTGAAGAGGTATAAGGCGCCAGCTTATGCCTGTTTAGCCACGGCGCCATGTACGTACATAGTGGAAACTCACGAAAGAATGGTGCCTCGACGAATCCTAGAAGAAATCGAAGAACTACAGCTCCCTTGTAGTTCTGAACTGCGCCGGTGGAGGCACTGACAACAGCCCAACAGCACATGACGACCGGAAGAAAGATGCTGGGTCTCATCTTATTGAGAATCATGTTTGTGGGAACCTGGGTGAGGATGTACCCAACGAAAAAGACACTGATAATGGTATTGTACTGAGTTCCGACCAGACCGATATCCTTTTCAAAGTTTCCCAATCGGGCGGTCGCGATCTGATACCAATTAGTGTGATTCCTTCTAGCAAACGTCGCGTTGCTTTACATTGTTGCGGTCCAGATAATTGAGCACATGTACTTCTCATTAGACATGTCAGTGAGAGCTTCGCGATGAAGGGTCGGGATAAACTTATAGAGTAGCATCATCAAGGGCATCCTAGAACGTCGGTCAGAAACAGCAGACTTAGTACGACAAGTCATAGAGTCACTCACATCCGAACGTCAATTCTCCGCACAAGTCGCCTCTCTTTCAAGTCCCTATTCTCGATGGGAACATCGTGGGCTATGTTTCGTTTAACTGGATGATCCAGCGTTTCGACATGAAGCCCCAGAGTGTTGTCTTTACGGAGGTCATTCGAGGCCATTGTTTTGTGTAAATGAGAACTTAATACGTTCGAACTTGAGATGGAGGCGTTAGCGAATGAGGCTCGGCCATTGTTATATAAAGTACTTCTTTAAGACCGGCGGAGGAGAAGTCATCGGACTGCTTGCCGATATCCGCGCCCTACTTATGGATACAACTTTTCCATTGCCCAGACCTAGTTCTTTTCCCCGCAAAGAATCATGGAGAGTCTATTCTAGCAGTGGATCTCATGTGAAAAGAGTGGCAATAATAGTCAGATGTGTACTAAAATCAGGCCAGCCGAGCAGATTGGTTGGTCGGAACATGCTTATGAGCCGGTCGGTTCTCGCATGATCTTGGTTTAGTCTACCGTGAAAAGATAGATTGACAGGGCTTCATCGGAATGTAATCTCGTTGGCTGCTCTGAGACATGGGTGTTGATGCTGGAAGGAAGGTAGCATCAAGTGTGTTGTGTGGTACCTTAATCACAAGTTACTTTGCAACGAATGCAATTGTCACAACATCCGGCCTCGGAGCATCGAGCTCATTTTGCTGCAAGACAGTCATTCACAAGGCTCCGAGCCTTTGATGCGTTTACTAGAGTCACCTCACCGGAAGCTCAACATTACATTATGGCACCTAAATTTACATTCATGTCCGAATTTTGGTGATCATTGGCATTCGTCTTTGATGTAATTAGGCACTTACGCATCCAGATTCCCACTTCCCCCGCAACCCCGGATATCCATACCCGCTGGCGTCGACCCTGGATCGCGGGGTTGTTTACCTGCTTACACTGTACAGCACAATCTGTTGGTGCCGCTAGGATACAGCCAGCTGCACTGGTTAGTGTTGCGGCTCGGGAATCGGATATTCTGAGGGTTTGAGCTTGCATGGCAGGTCCTAGCGGTCGGCTTTTGTCTTAGTACGTCACGCTTCCCAATACGCCTCGCTTCGTCATCAGAGCTCAACCAGTTGAGCTGCACGCAAGTGCAGGGAAGAGGACGTAAGGAAATCAAGCGAGGGCTGGCATGATGTGCTCGGAGAAGTCCCCGATATCGCTGAGTATTGCGGGAACTTTGCCCGAATACCGTGTTTCTCTGCAGAAGGATATGAAGGGGCAAACATTTTGACACGATCCAAGACTTAAAGAGTTCGGATCCCCGTCTCGTGGGACTTTATGGCAAATCAGTTTTCAATGACCATATATCTTCGCCAATACAAGTCCTGTTATAAAATTAACCATCACTCTTCCCAGCCCAACAGTTTTGGAAGGTTTTCGAACCATAGAACGACCACAGAATGACTAGTGCTGTCAGGCCAATCGTACTCCATATAGGAGACCCAATCCAATACAACCCAGAGCGATATAAGGCGTTGGAAGAGATCGCTACAATCATCAGGCCAACCATAGAAGAGAGGCATAGGGACCCCTTCTTGAAGGCCCTGAGAGAACAGCAATGGGGCAATTTCTCAGCGATCCTACGACCCTTTTGGAACTCAGGCGGAGAGATGGGCCGTTGGGACACAGAGCTTATCTCACTGCTCCCTCCCTCCGTCAAAGTTTTCGCCTCCGCAGGTGCTGGATATGACTGGGCAGATGTGGATATCTTGGCTCAACAAGGTACGCAATCGCCCTTGTTCCCAACATCTTCGAGGCGTTCTGCTGACATGAACAATAGATATCTTGTATTGCAACGGAGCATCAGCATCGTCAGAGGCCGTAGCAGATATGGCGCTTTACCACATCATCTCAGTGTTCCGCAACATGCAATGGACCAATACAGCAGCACGTAGTGGTAACGCAGATCAGTTCCTCGATGCACACCGGCATAATAGCGAGACGGCACACAACCCTGCAGGACATACACTCGGCATCATTGGCCTCGGAAACATCGGCTATCGCATTGCACAAAAAGCATACGCCGCCTTTGGCATGAAGATAGCATATGTCGATCCTATTCCCAAGCCAGTGGAGCAGGAAGCCACTGTCAAAGCTGTGAGATACTCAGACCTGGACTCTATGCTCGCTGTCGCAGATTGTGTGGTTATCTCGGCCCCTGGAGGCGCAGAAGGCGGCAAGGCTCTAATAGATGCCTCACGCCTAGCTAAGATGAAAGCGGGATCTCGATTGGTCAACGTTGGGCGTGGAAACCTGGTGGACGAGGAGGCATTGGCTGATGCACTACAGTCAGGGCATCTTTTCGCTGCTGGACTTGATGTACACTCCGACGAGCCGCATATCAACAAGCGTCTGGTCTCCATGAGGGATGTAAGTCTGACATGTCACACCGCTGGTGGAGCTGTTGAAACAAGAATTGGCTTTGAGGATCTGGCTATCCGAAACGTCATTGAGGTATTACTAGGAAAGGAACCTTTGACTGCGGTGAACAAACATTTACTTGTGTAAATGAGACGCGAAAACCTACAGCATAAATGATACAAAGGAAATAGGGATTTGAAACGCTGCCTTTGTATTTCTTGGTGGAAATTCTTTGGGTCTCACTTAACTGATTTGTCTCCTCTTGCAACATCACGTACATTGAGAAATCGTGGTCTTTTCCACGTGCAGCTTCAACACCTGGCTTTGCTACTGGCTAAACATCGTCTAGATCCAGGCCTATCTTGGTAGATGAGACCAAGCTAAGATTCAGCGGCTTTGCTCCCCCATTTTCCGTCGCCTAGCATTATGCTGTATGACCCGGTTGATTAAACAATTATGAGATTACCATTCAGACGCTCTCGGCTCACAACAATGACTCAGCCATTGATGGGTGCAGGAAGTTTGTGTGCGCATACCTTCAGTTAGCTGATAAATATGCCTTATGGCCTCCCGCAGCTCCCCAGATTTTGACTCAACCAAATTGAAAGGATGTCTCAAAAAGAAACCTAGGGCACAGTCTAATATGACATGATCGATGCTGATTACCCCTCATTCTCTGACCAATAGTTATCTCGCTATCTCAGGATCGATCTTCCTCTTAATGTTTGATGCTCTTCTCAGTTTCCATCAATTCCCCCTCAGCCACGTCCGCACAGCTGACCATCGTCGATTGACCGCCAAAGACTCTGTAGTTCTCTTTGTAGGCTGTAGCCCCTTATCTCATCTCCAAAAGGCTGTTCGGCAATTCAGTCTCACGGATTCTCCGCGCGAATACATTGTGTGAGTGAAGTTCTCTACCGAGACTTAATCAGTATTTCGAAGTTGTATGAGTCTGAAACTGATGATTCCTCCCGAAAACCGAGACTCCAGTACTGAGTTAATCTTACGTATTAGCCAACATGACCAGCAGCATGCAACAACGCGTTGAGGAGAACTGCAAGACTATCTGGGGAGGTCACGATTATGAAATCGACTATGAGACAGATAACACCATGATCTTCCAATACTTTGTCTTGCGGGACTACGGAAGTTCATTTGGGCCACCGTTGACAATGACTTGGTTCCATGACTCTGAAGAGGCTGCACATAGGGAGTTGAACCGGATGCTAGTGATATGGGCAGCACAGGTCAGACGAGGGACGCAAGGGGCCAAATAAGAGAGCCCGGGAAATATTCGGTGGTCCGAAAGGGGAGTATAAGCGGCTATTGACTACAGTTTCAGGTGTACTTGCAGCATGTCAGCCTTCTGCTCAATCCGCTGCGTCTCAGATGCAGTAGGATGAAGGAGAGCAGGTACATGCGAAGGAGTTTCTCGATTCATATATGCAACGAAGTGGTGGCATGAATATCAATCTGGAAGACTGGACTTCTGTTAAGGCCAAAAAATGGAAACAGGCCACCTGTGGCCCGTTAACTAAAGATGTATTCTTCGATCTCGAAGATCCGTGTCTAACTCTCTAGGACTGGAGTGATTCCATCCTTTCACGTAATAACCTAGGTCTGAATCGGTACGCTTTTCAACCCACTCATTTACGTTGAGTTCTCAAGCGCTCAGACTCAACCAAAGCGAGCGCGCGAATAACAACAAGATGGCGAGTGCAGCCTTCGCAGACGCCGCGAATAACGCTGCCTCCATCGAGCTCAATAATCTTTTTGCAAGGTTCGGGGTTTTGACAGCGCTCAAACTTGCCGGGAAGGAAGACTGAGGCGTATGGCCTACCGCATTGCGTACAATAGAATGCAACGGACGGCTGATCACACATATCGAACAATGGGCGCAAGATACTCTGCAAAGGTTCTTCGAGTAGAGTTGATTTGGGTCTGGGAGGGCTGCGGTGAATCGGCTGTGTATGGGATGCTTTTGTCGTAGAAATAATATGCGAGCTGTGAGTAGGGGCTCTGTTGCGTATGTCACTGTGGAGGATTCCATACTCTTTTTTAAGATTTTGACAACAGTCTCATCTACGTTTTCAAGCCGGTCATCTTGATGATGAATGATGTGATATTGGGATGGTAACAAGAAAGATCATGAAAAGGTCTTTGTTCACCTTCTGAAACAACGAAATTGGGAGTTGAGGCTGTATGTCTGCAGAGAGTTGATCAAACCCAAGTACCTTAGTTCTGAAAGTAAATTGGATTTAGTTCAAATTCTTCAAGCTCAAAAATAGCACTTAGACTTCAAACAATGGAAGAATGATTCCATGGTAGTATCAGCATCGAGTTTAGCTTGCACCCACATCGTGTTACCGCTGGAATAATGAAATTGTCCCCGTCGTGTAAGAAGATGCTTGAACTCTTAGGCTCGGAAAATCGGGAAAGCACATTGAACACTTGATCATAAGGACACTTGCGTCAGTTCACCTATTCATTCGACCTCTTTTACTTAAGGTATCGCCGGGGGAATAGAAATTCTAGTATTGACTAACCTACGCGTTGTCTGGGCCAAATCTCAAGTTGGACGCACCACCCGAGGCTCTGGAGAGCTGATCATGGTGATTGAAGAGATTTGATGAATCTTCAGCCGCCGCCGACTCACGGCACGATGATACCCATGACAAGCCTGGGAACGGAAACCCTGAAATTGAGGATTGTATAGCATGGCTCTTCTGTCACCTCGGCTAGCATCATCGCGAAAACCGAATGGAGCCACTTTAGCCAGGTTCGTCCACTTTTAGCTTATATGCAATGTAACCTGCTACCCACCGGTATCCCGCCCAGGGTCAATTGAGCCAGGCATTTACCCGTGAGGGGTGCAGAACCAACGTCATTTACCCCGGATTCAATCGAGCGATATAAAGCATCCATACAATGGCAAGATTAGTCCGTGACATCTGGTAGATGGTTGGGTAGTACCATAGTTGTGTTGCATTTGGGTCGAATGACACTGAGACACCCGATATGAAGTCCACTATTTTCATGCGACTGGCCTCAGTCGTTGCATTGCTTCCGAGTGAGTTCACCATGTAATCAGCATCGACTAAAGCACTTGCTCAAGGCTGACCTCCTGGATAGCATTCGCGCAAGGACTTGTGAACCCCATTATTCCGGGGTTCAATCCGGACCCGACGATCATTAGAGTTGGTCAAGACTTCTTCCTTGCAACTAGCACGTTCGAATTCTTTCCCGGCTTCCCCATCTACCACTCGACCGACCTGTAAGTCTACTTCTTTCCAAGCAATCTTGCGTAGCATCATGATAGCCAGTGCTCACTCAATGAATACAGCGTGAAGTGGGAAAACATTGGTCATGCACTATCTCGGCCCTCCCAGTTGAACATGCGGGGTACCGCCCCGAGTGGAGGTATCTTTGCGCCAACGCTGAGACACCACGACGGTCTCTTTTACCTGATTGACACAGTGTTCGATGTGATCAGCCCTCCTGACAATGTAAGGTTGTTTAGGGTACCTTAGTGTGTGAGAATACTTTTGTTTACTTACTGATGGGCTTTTTGTTTAGGTTACACGGGTTCCCCGATCATTCTACGTCACAACCCCAAATATCTTCGATCAGACTAGCTGGAGTGATCCTACTTATGTTGACCAGTGGGGTTTCGATCCAGACCTCTTCTTTGACGATGACGGGAAAGTCTATTTGACTTCCACCTTCTCGGAATTCGTCGAGAACGGTAACTTTGCAAACTGGATCACGGAGATTGACATCAAGACTGGCGACTCTGTGAACAACTCCCGAGTTCTTCACACAACAACTGTACCTCCAGAACTTGGATACCCGCTTGTAAGTCTCATTCACCATAACTACCAGCATGCTATGGAACTATCCTAGCTAATCGTCAACTGAGCCTCCTTAGACTGAGGGAAGCCACTTGTACAAACTCAATGGGACATATTACATGGTCACTGCCGATTCTGGAACTGAGGCCAATCACAAAGCGAATGTGTATCGCTCCCAGACATTGGACGGACCCTGGGAGGGAAATCCGCACAACCCTGTGTTGTGGAATGGCGAAGATATGTCTCTGCCTGTACTAGCTACAGGCCATGCAGATATTGTCGACGACGTCGATGGAAACTGGTGGGCTGTTTTTCTAGCGATTCGGCCACAAAACCCTAGAAACAGTATCGGACTTCCTCAACTTGGTCGCGAAACCTTCCTGTGTCCTGTTACATGGGACTCTGATGGGTGGCCCATGTTCAACAACAACGAGCCAATTACGGAGTATATGCCCGACGTTCTGTACGACTTGGACCGGCCTAAGGTATGGCGTGACGATTTTGAGGGTGGACTCACTGATGAAGCCTACTACTACACACGAACACCATACAAAAGTTTCACAGACTTCGAGTCCAGCCCTGGGAAGCTTCGAATCAGAGGCAACGTTTACACCCTCAACGATCGGGAAACCCCAGCAGCACTACTCCGCAAGCAGGTCGACATCAATACCACTTTCAGCACCGAAGTTAGCTCATTCAGCCCGGTATCGTGGAGACAGGAGGCCGGTGCGAGTGTCTATCTCAGCATTCACTATCACAACGAAGTCGCCATTACTTACTCAAATGTCACTGGTAAGCGATGCATAGTCACGCACACCAGAACGGGCCCGGACGCAACACTCAACACGACCTACATTGAGGATGAGGATGTTGCCAATGGTGACCCAGTGAAGCTATTCATCGAGGCCAAGGATGTAGGATACCGTCTGGGATACTCTACAGGCGGTAAAGCGCCAAGTTGGCTTGCGACTGTCGAGAACCGCTGGCTTCAGTCATATGTCCAGGGTTGGCAAAACTTTGTCGGGACCCATTTTGCGATCTACAGTACAGGAACCAGACTTCCGACTCTGAATCCTGCGGTACGTTTGATCTCTCTCAAACCTCCATAACGCAGCGAGACTAAAATTAATGCTTTGTAGGACTTTGAGTACATCCAGACAGAACTAAATTAGCGTGATGATGCGAGGTCAGAGGAGTATTTGCAAGGACTAGCCACCAGTCAACCTGATGTAGTTCACTGGGTATATGTAGCTATCACCTTCAGGGTGTCATTTCTCTAAAAAAACAAAATATCTCAGTTGATACTTTGATATTAATAATTGGAATCTTGCATCAACACGCAGGCTGGTCTTCCAACCTTGCTATTTCGCACTAATCGTTTCTTGAGGTTTGCAACACAGTTTACTAGACGGAAGGCGCTCCTTCAGCTTTCTTAAGACAAATGCCCGGGGTTGCTGACTTTTGAGGAACGGGAATACAGACTACTATAAGTCGAATTGAAGATTCCTGCCATTCCATGAGTTGTGTAGGTTCTAAGGTGAGTCAAGCTCAAGGTGCCACCTTTCACGTATGCTACGCGTCCCTACCTCCTTTGCTTTTTTTAGGCATGCGGCAACTACACCGGGTCCTCAGAGGTAACGCCAGATCTTTGAGATTAGCCGGCATTGCCATTCGATAGACCCGAGGTTGAATGCCATCCTGGATGCGCGAGCAGAATGACCGTTATAAGTTGGGATTCCGTGAGGGAGATCAACTTGATTGGCTCACACGGAACGGCCCCTCTCCATGTTTTAGTGTCCACCTTCGAAATTCCGTTTCGACCTAGTAGTGGAGCAATCCGATTGGCCCCGACGGAATCATCGAACTGTATGAAGCAATTCCATGTGTGTTTCCGGAATTTCGGCCGCCCACACTTGAATGTGAAGGGACTTGGACTTGCAAGTTTCTGCACTGCCGAAGTCAAACGAGCCAGGCATATATTAGGCTTTCAGCATCTTCTCAGAGGTATGTAAATCCAATGACTCGATGACCCTAAACCAGTACAGAAATTGAGGCTAATATGAACACCAAACAGTTATTGCCAGTCGCAACCGCGAACCCTTTCACGTCGACAGCAGCCTCTTTGGCTGTTCTCATCGGTCTCTATACATTTTATTACCGTAAAATACATCCTTTGGCCAAATTTCCTGGCCCTTTTCTCGCGTCACTTACTAACCTCTGGAGACTCCGGGAGCTATGGAACTTGCATCTACCCGAGACTCTCATCGTATTACACGAGAAGTACGGAGATGTAGTCCGCATTGGCCCCAACATGCTTTCTTTCAGACAAGGGAGTGCCGTACCCAGGATCTACAAGGCCGGCCGAACCTTGGCCAAGACAGCCTTCTATGACGGCTTCACCTCTTTCAATCCTAATTTGTTTGGAACTCGAGATGACGAGGTGAGTCGTTGGAAATTTCGCAAGGTATTGGAGATCACAGACTCATTTTCCAAAGGTACACTCGATGCGGCGACGGCAAATGGCACACGCATTCTCTTTACAGTCGATCAAAGAAATGGAGCAGCACATTGACGTCCACATGCTTCAATTCCGCAAAAACCTCGACGAGTACTCCCAAACAGGCGAAATTTTCGATCTCAAGGAACTGATAGCCTTCTTTGTTCTCGATGTTTTAGGGGACCTCGCCTTCCGCTGTCAATTTGACTCACAGATCGAAAAGGACATTTCGAAGTTACCTCCCATCAATGATCACATCTTTCTTGCTTGCCTGATGGGCATGATCCCTGATTTTATGCCGTTCATTAAATCTGTCTCTCCCTGGATTCCGATTTTATGGCTGCAAAGACTTCTCGCGGCTCGACAAAGTCTCAAGAACCTGACCGCGCAGTGTGTCAAGAGTCGAATAGCCGACACCGGTGCTGCTCGGAAAGATCTAATCACTAGTCTGATCAACTCCGTAGACCCGGATACGGGTTCTAAGCTCACAGAGCTAGACATACAAACAGAGGCATTTGCATTCATGTAAGTTGTTAGACGTTGCCTTATTCCGATGACCTTCTTGCCTCCCCCCCCTAACAATCTCTCAGTGTTGCTGGCTCTCATACCACATCTGGAACCCTCACTCTTCTCTTTTCTCACATTCTACAAAATCCGGCCGTGCATTCCAAAACGGTAGAGGAGGTCGACACAGCTGTTGATGATGTTGGCTCGGCCATCGTACCTATCAAGGACCTTGAAACAAAGCTTCCCTATGTCATGGCATGTCTAGATGAAAACTTCCGGATGAACTCTGTTTTCACTATGCCCTTGGAGCGAGAGGTGACTGCCAAGGAAGGCTTCGAAATCGAGGGCCAAGTAATTCCCAAGGGCGTATGTTTTCCCCTTACTCCCAAATATGGCTCCCTAGACTTACTAACAAAAACAATAAGACCGGCCTGTTTAGCCTGAACCACGTCGTTCATCACAATCCTGCCATTTGGGGCAAAGATCATGATGTGTTTAACCCCTCCAGATTTTATGATCAAGAAGGGGAGAAGCTCCAGCGTTTCCTCAGCCCCTTTAGCATGGGCCATCGTATGTGTATTGGTCGGAATATGGCTATGACAAATATGCTCAAGCTCGTTGCGACAACATTCAAATGTTATGAACTCGAGATGGTGGAGCCCAAGCAAGTCATCTCTACTATCAGCGTTGGGATATCCGAGAAAGAAGGCCCGTTGCTGTGTCGTGTTCGTAGAAGATAGATCAGAGAAGAAAAGATTAAGCAACGTGACTTAATAAATCAGGGCCTTGATGCTATTTGAAACATCGAGAAATAAAAGGTTATGGACTCAGCACTAACCATTGAAGTTTGATTTTATTATTTCTGCTGCGAGTTCTCATTAACTTACCCTACCTCTTTCAACCATGGGGACTGTCCCTTTCGAGGCACCCCTACCCTACCTGAACTCGTTATCGAAATGCACTCGACCATACATGTAGGTAGCTCTTGAGCACCTTGACAATCTAACTCAAAGAAACAAGTTGCATGCACCTCTCAAATCTCATCACCGACTCTGGCACGTAGATCGAGTTTGGCGTGGCTCATTCTCAGGCATTTATTGATTGCTTGGCTATCCCTGAAACCTATTTAGCTGCGTTCTGTTCAAGGAAACCAATCGCCTTCCTAAGAGACTCTACAGCAATCACCGCATCCCCAGCTGGAGTCTCGACGTTGACGTTGCCAGACCTTCCATCGAATCCGTGCTCCGCATCAGTTGGGAACTCTGACAAGACACGCACTCCAGATTCCTCGAGCTTCTCTGCGGCTCTGGTGCTACACTCAACCGGTACAGCTGAGTCGTTAGCACCATGAAGCAGCATGACAGGTGGAAAACCACTAAAATCGCCAAAGTCAAGTGGGAATAGCTGCTGATGTTCTTTGGGTATTGCTGCAACTCCTTGAGTGGAAATTTGGCGAGTAAGGCCGGGGATACCAGTCATGTAGTCGGGGAACAGGGCGTCAATGTGCAGTGCCGAAGTTAGAGCAAATCTAGGGTCAGCAGACGGGTCGCCTGATATCGGATAAGCTGAGACAGGCTTCCTCTCTTCGCCCGAAGCCTTGGCCATGGGCCACTTTTCCAAAATTGGCCCAGTCTCGGTTGGTGGCCGGCCGAATATGTTCTTTCCGGGAGTTGTGTATCGAGCCCCAGAAGGATTGAGCATCCCGTAGATGAGCAGTAGTGCGCTGGGCTTTCTAGCAGCCGAGACAGCTGTGTTGAGAGCCAAATACCCTCCAGCGCTTGACCCAGCGACTAAGAGTGAGCCGACCGGACGGCCCAAAATCTCCGGCAGTGACGACCAGGCCCATTTATAGGCGTCCGCAGCATCTTCAACGGATGCGTGTGCGGTTGACTCGGGCATCAAGCGGTACTCAGGAGTTACAAAGACCCATCCACGGGAGGCTGAGGCATGTACAAGCCAGTGAGGCAAGAACGAATACCGATCTCCGACGATCTAGGGAACATCTTATGTTAGCTTCGAGTGGCGGAAATCAAACAACACCGTGAGACATTCTACCTAGATATGCGGATCGAGTGGAAGCAATGACTTACGAGAAAGCCGCCGTGATAATGCAGCAGCACAACGGCGGGAGAGCCATCCGACTTCTCGGGGTACACGACATCGGCGTTGATGGTTATTTCTGAGGTGACTTTGAAGGGTACTGTTCGCGACGTGTACCCCGCCAATGTCTCCATCGGAAATATGGGTCCCATGTTAGAAAGTGCGGTCGTAGAGAGACGATTGCTAAATATGCAGGGCCTAGAAGCTGAATACTAGAGAAGATACTGGGCTAGATCTTGATCACTTCAACTTCAGCATTCACTCGATGAGGCAGCGGGGTTAAATGCACTGAGCTGGCTCTTTCGCTTGGTTATTAATAAGTGATTACTTTGACGGGAGGACCGGAGTTAGTTTGACCCCGCTATTAGTTCCGGTTCGGAAGCGGCCGGAATTCGCTCAATCGCCAATCGGAAAAGTCCAATTGCCCGTTGTGCAATTTGTGGACATTGGTGTAAGATCAAAAAAGCCGTAAAGCTGGTCAAAAACCATCATATCCCCAATATTTCCAAACAACAAAGCATCAGACGGACTCCCGACGCCCTCTCTCTGCTCATCTGGCCCGCTGCTACTCGATGCCGTGGCTGAGGAAGCGGACAGCTGTGCCGTGAGTTTCCGAAGGCCTTGAAGACGCTCCCAGAGAGCCAGCAGCAGCGTCGACCTGTTGCTTAGTGTTCTGATCATCTCCAGCGCAATGTCAAACTCGACACTGACCTTGTCACAGAACATGGAGCTAGCATTGACAACAGCCAGCAATAGGTTGCCAAAGGCAGTCAGCAAGAGGTGCTTGAAAAAAAGCGGATTACGCTTGATAATGACGGTGTTATCGTTGAGGCTCGAGAGCATTTGCAGCGACTCCCTGGCAACAGCAACGGCCTTGTGGGCATGCCTCTGATACTGCGTGATCCGCGTAGCGGATTGTAGCACCGGGCGACAGATCAAATTGTGCAGGTGACTCTTGCGTAGGAAGAGCACGGCCTGAACATGCCGAACCTCTTGTCCCGGTTGGATGGGTTCGAGCTTTAGGTCGTCTGCCAGGAGTTGGTACCACTGCTCTATCCGGTAATCGAGATAGTCGATTTCGTCGATGTTAAGCTCACTCTCTTTCTCGACTTGGCTATTGAGGGCGTACCACGTCTTGCCCGCTAATTTGGTCCAGTCGAGAAGCGCAGTCATCACCGGATCATGTCCGTTCTATCGGCTTGTCAGCAGGTCTTGGGGGCATACCCAATGCAACGTCACAGAATATGTGTAATCTTACCATTGCAAGCAGTGTGGGGTCCACATGGCAGTCTTGTATATAGAACGGTATTCCCTGGCCTAGGCTCGTCCTTCTTTCCAACATGTATACACACCGGAATGTCTGTAGCCCCGCAGCTTGCTCCTCCGAGTCGGCAAAGCGATCCACGGATGCCCTGCGATGTAAGCCCATTTCGAGGCAGAGCCGAGCTGCAAAACCAATGATGCGACCGGTCCGTACTTCTTCATCAAGGTGATAGTAGTAAAGAGCCTATGTGTTCACCGGTCATTGAATGTCGCCAGGGACGAATCTCCCATTTGGTCTAGGTAAGGTAAGGACAATACGTACCATCAGCACCAGCATTTGTATGTTGCTGATCGAGTTTTTGCCCCACAGAAGCCCTTCGCCAGCTTCGGTGGCGCTCTGGAAGAGCCTCTGAGCTAAGTCATTGCAACTCCCGCTCTCCAAAGTTAGGCAAGTGGCTAGAATAAGTTTCAGTTTGTTGGTGTCACTGTGGAATAGACACTCTGCCAGATTTCCTCGACCCCTCGTCTCGTGGACGTTGACGGTCTGTAGAGTGTCAAAAACGTTACCAGCAACCTTCAGCAGCTGCTCCTCGCTGACAACGGCGTAGAGAAAGCCTGTGCCCGAAAACCACTGTTGAATGTGCTTCGTGGCATCTTCGAGGCTGATTTCCCACAGGGGATCTCGGGCTAAAATCTTCATGAGTGGGCCATACTGTGCCAACTGAGACGGCATATTTGAGGCAGGGTTGGTCTTCGGAGTAGACTTGTCTAGAATAGCTGGCGGTATTCCCATGGCCTCGAGATTCCCTTTGACAACTCCAAAAGTGAACTCAGAACTCGACGGGCCACAGAACTCTGGTGAATTGCTACTTGCGTCACATGGTATGAGATTTGGCCTAGACCCAAGATTGGGACTCGTCTCTTGGCCAGGCGGTTGTGATGATCGAGTTTGTGGAGGGACAGATTCTGAAACGTTAAGTGAGTTTTCATGTTGAGGGGAACAAGGAGAAGGTCTGGTTGAATTCGCCGGTCTTGATTCTTGTCAGCCTTCTAATGATGGTATAGTAGAAAGACAAAAAGAGGGGAGTTCTCGACGGATTCATGTGACAAAGAATAGAAACCCCATCACATTTGAAGAGGCGTACTCACTTTGACCTGAGTTTCGCAGTTACCACGACTCGGCGCTGCGGGTGGTATTGACACGTTACTGAATTCCGTGTGCATGCCGCGCAGGGGTTGACACCGTCACATTTGATCTTCTTTCTCTTGCATTCGATGCTTGGGAAGGAATTAGGAAAACTTCTATGGCTGGGCGGGTGTTTGTAAGGCTTACCATGCTTGATTAACGTAAGGGACTCTTCTGTTCCGTCGATGACGCAGTGCGGTAAACTGATCAGTGCTCTCGTCGGAGGGCACCATCGCACCATCAGATCCTGACAGTGTCAAGTCTGCCAAAAACGACGGGATGAGTTTTTGAGAGAGTCAGATCAATTCTGTCTGTATCATTGTCGTAATGAGAGTAAGGGGGCTTCAGGTGAGTGACGGGTTAAAACTAAAGAGCCACCTCTTATGTGCTTAGACGAGGTTCCCTGAGCATTGGCTCGGGTGTTCCGGCACTTCAATTCCAAGCTACCTTCAGTAGTCTTAGTTGCCCCGATAGCGAGACTTTACCGCGCGGGGACTTCTCCAGATTTACCCCGCATTTACGTCGATCACCCGCAAGTTCAAACTCCGGCAAAAGGGAGAGGGAGATAGTGAGAATCATACGGATCCTATTGATGCACCTACTCGAAACGTACCTCTATTCATAATTCGATACAACAATAAGACGCTAGTTCCGAGTCATGGCTGGAACTTCTGAGGTTTGCGTTCAGCACAATCTCATTTCTCTCCCGATTTTGAGAATACATGAGAAACTCAACACATGCCTACTAGGACTAGTCTGACCCTTTTTAGTCAAGCCACTGCTTTCAACAAGATGAAATTGTCTACGCACCCTCAACCGCAAGAAAAAAGACCTATAAGCTTTTCCTACGGACAGTCACACCCATAGAAAGGTATTTATACGCAAAAGTCGCTTGAGCCGCCACTCGGTGTGGCACTCCAAGGCCAAAGGATTCCTCTGAGACTTTTGTGGACGAAACTTTCCATCAAGGTGAGGTATATTTTGACACCAGTGCAGGGATTTCATCTTCCATTTCATGTCTTTCTTCTGCAAGAGCTTCAGGCCATCTGCTTTCTGTTAGTGGGTCATAAATCACATCTACATGATCTTCTGAGGCTTTTCCCTTAAATTCGGCAAAGTGAGCTGCGTAGCAATACACAACATGTTCACTCAAGTTGGCACCTAAGGCGTGCGGATACAATGGAGTGGGATGTTGTAGGTGGGTAAAATCGTTTCTTGTGAATACTAAGGTACTCATAATTTGGCTGTTGCCCCAAAGTTTATTGCGGCAGCAACTCTCTCCAGGTCAGTAGGCAACTGAATTTCATCTTACGAGAACCCGACACGAAACCATCCAGCTCCTCGTCTTTGAATTGCTACGTCGAGAGTTATATGTACACCATGAGGAACAGGAACATATTGATCCTTACATCGGCTTCGGTCGTCGCTCGATGTTGATCCACATGTCCTTGAAGAAACTGACGCCCCCCTTCACAACATATTTCCCGGGCTCTCTTTTATTGAGAATTTCTGGCTTGAACGTCCTGAAGAATTGAAGAGGCCCTTTAAACAATTCCATCATGGCAAGATCTTTGCCCAGGCAAACTCTGGCCCCGTACCCAAAACCCATGTTGTACTTGAGCATCTCCTTTGTCTTCTCCTCACTTTCTAGCCATCGCTCCGGTCGGAAGTCGCTAGCATCTGGGCCGAAAATGTTCTCGTCGCGATGCACCAGCCACGGGTTGCAAGTAACCTCAGCGCCTTCAGGTACATGTTTGCCGTACAGCTCCATGCCGCCTTTGCCGGCAAGACGAGGAAATATATTGGGCGCTGAAGGATTCAAGCGCATGGCCTCGCGGATGCACGCAATATAGAACGGGCAATGTTCCTGAACCTCCGTATACTGAGGCATTTCTGAAAGATTACCAGCTCGGGTTTGGGCGTCAATCTCGTTCATAAGACGGTCATAAACTTCGGGATGTGTCATGATATGTATCATGAAAGCCTGGAATGCAGTGCCCGTGGTATCAGCTCCAGCAAGCAAGACCAGTAAAATCTCGGCTTTGATGTAATTCAGATCAAGAGGGTTTCCATATTCGTCGCGGGCTTCAATGAAGCTGGGAACATGTGCGTAAGTCAGACTGAAAAATTGTGGGTAATTTCGGGGCAGAATACTAACGTTTGCAGTAAATCGATACGCCCACCTGTCGTTCCTTTCTCGATGTCTTTGAATCTTTGGGCGATAAGCCCATCTCGAAATCTCATCAATGTCCCAATTCCAGAGTCTTGTTCCGGCGATGCGACAAGGTATTTCCCCAAGAAAGTGCTCTTGACCCAATTCGTGAACGGATAGCAGCGTGCTAGTATGCCAAACGGCACAAGGCCATCGTGGAACCCCTGAATAAGTCCTTCAACATCATTTCCCTGCTCAATGAAGCCGAATGGCTGTCCGAAGCCAACTTCAGAGACAATGTCGTAGGCAAGGTAGACTGCCCACGGAGCAAAGTCCATCTTGGTACCGGAACTAGCGAACGCATCTAGTCTGGATGTCCAGCGCTCAATGTGTTTGTCGAGCAAAGGCTCCATCTTTCGAATGTTTGAGAAAGAGTAAGGTGACGCGGCGATTTTACGGAAGCGGGCATGAACTACATGATCTTGCATGTTGAATAACGACTCCGTCTTTCCAAAACTGCCGGTGATGTAGTGTTGCGACTTATTGGCGTTCCGGTGGTAGATTTCTGGTAACTTTGTTGCGTCACTTACAAGCAACATGGTAGGTGTGATGCGAATGACAGGTCCTGAGATTGCGTGTCAACTTCTGGATTCGTTCCAATGTATGTAGTTATTATCTTCATTCGGTGCAAGGCATCCTTGGTGCGATCTTGATGTCTTGATAGTCGGGCACTTACCATACTTCTTGTGCAACTCCTGATTCACCTGACACTCATCCTCCCTGACATTATGGTATGTTACCCAAAGACGAGTGACCGAACCCCAGAATGGGCCGGGAAAGTTGGCTAGCGGATGGTAGAAGCGATAATGCACGATTTGGTAGAGTATCTTCCACAATACATAGGCCGCGGAGAGCAACAAAAGGTTGCCAAAACTGAGCAAAGCCATCTTCAAGGCAATGGATGAACGAGTTGTAGTTGAGAGGAAACCATTTGACCCCAAGGTTTCTACTTGATCCGGAATTGGCGTTACAAACTCGACCGAAGTCCCAAAAATGCTGATCTGCCTCCGCAATTAGTGATGGCCCTGTTCAAATGGAGGCCTGGAAGTTTGTCTTACTGGGTCCCTTCAACGGCGCCATCGTCTCGTGGGTGAAGGGTGACGGGCATCGTCCGCCTGACGTTGCATCCACTTGGACTTCCTCGGCACCCTTCCCCGCCGCTAAGGGCCAAGCGACTAACCACAGCGCAGCTAGTTCTACAGACGCAACATAATTGTGGAAATGTGTCGTAGCGAGCAACAGGGACCATGATCGGCATTTATGGAAGGATTCACATGGTTGTCAGACTCCTGGGGGCTGGTACCGGCCGCGCACCTATCAGAAGAAATGATGATAATTCCAGGCAAGGCCACTGGAGCAAGAAGTGGGCGCAGAAGTATAGTCAACGGTTGGCTTTTACGCCCGAGAAAAGTACTATGGCGGCCGCCCACCGAAAGGCGCACTTCTTGCCTTATCTTACCTAGTTCAAGTATTCAAGGAAGCGAGTTACAAGATAAGTTGGACGCTTGTCAATAGATGATGCTGATAATTATTACCTTGCGATTGGTTCAAGACTTATTCTCCAATAGAGAAAGAGAAGATTAAAGATAATCGCGGAAATACTAGAAGTAACGAAAAGACCTAATCATAGTAGTACATGTTGGAACAGAGCTAGGATTTTGGGTGGCATACGATTGTGCTACACACTTCCAACGTCACGTGCTAAGGTAGGTACCGTCTTAAGTTTTTCGAAGTCGCCTTCTTTCATATCAATATACAGAATGACATAATTAGACTACAGCCCGCGAGTGCTCTTGAGAACTTTACTTGTGGCCATGATCATGACCAGCTACCCGGAAGGGTGCCCGATACAACCACGGCGTCCCGCCGCTAATGGAGGATTGCAATGCTAGACACATCTTCAATATTGTTCAACACTCATTGAATCCCGAGTTGTCGGACATCTCCTGCCAGTGGGTAAACTTGACCGGATATGGGAAATCAGGTGGCCCCCATCACCATGCAATCGACTGGCCAGTCTGCGTTACCAATTTTCCGGACGTGGACTCACGGCTTGCTCCGTCGATGACCTCGAGAACGCCAGTAACGGAGCTTTCGATTGTGTCAAGTCGGTTGAGATCAAAGTTCCACTGCTTCGCAGCATCTTCACCCATGGACGTCCGTACGAAGCCTGGGTGAATAGCCACACTGACCAAGTCTGAATGTTGCATATGCAATGATTTGACCAACCAATTAAGCGCGGCCTTGCTGGGACCATAAGCGCCGGCAGGAAGAGGCTCTTGTTCTTCGATGGATCCAAGTGATGACGTGATTCCGATGAACTTAGCAGGGGGGTCGTCTGCTCCATGCGGTTTTTCTAGGAGCGGCCAGAGACCTTGAAACACCATTAAGGGTGAGATGGTGTTGATTTCAAATGCGCTCCTGAGTTCCTCGGCGGTCGTCAAGACTGAGCGCGATGCTGTGGTGGATACGGCGGCGTTGCTGATGAGAACATCAATCCGGTTGACTGTGCCGCCAGTCGCCGTATCAAAGGCTTTGCGGACGGCAGTGGTATCAGGGGCGATGTTGAAGTCAAGCAACATGACAAAAAGCTCGCTACCGTTGCCTTTGTTTACGTCTCGGATGCTGGACCTCAGTGAAGAAGCAGCTCCATCGTTTCTAACGGAGGCAACGACTGTTGTAGATGGTCTCGCTAACAAGGTCTTGACTAGGCCAAGGCCAATGCCTTTGTTTGTTCCGGTGACAACATAGATAGTGTTCGCCATCGTTGGACAACGATGAATATGATTATAGGGGCTCCAGAGTGCGATCTGGCTCGGAGATGATTGGCCAGCGGCGGTACGTGATCTAAACTACCTTAACTGAAGGTGGTTGGCAAATACTTTAGTTGGTGCTACGTGGTGATATGTGGTAGTAGGGAGAGTTTGCGGGTAGAAAAGAAGTAATCAGGCGGATCGCGGCATCCACTCTAGATAAGTAACAATATTGGAAGGATCAGGACCCAGGGCAGGGGGTCAGGAAAAACACGTGAATATTTTAGGGCCAACCCATTGACGATACGAGCACCTCACGTCAGCAACACTGGGTGCAGAATGTCTTGTTCTAGACATGCATGTATATACGGCATGCTGCACAATTTGATGTGTCTACTTCTCAGGCTTCTACTACTCGAATATGTTTGTGTTCCGCTCGCGTTGACATTGCATTGTAACTCTTCGTCAACGTTCAAACGAACAGACTGGCTTTCTCATGTGCCGCATCCAAAACACCGGCGAAACCATCAGCAAATTTCAATGCTTCCAGACGTTCTTCCTCAACCTTTTTCCAAGTCCACCCTCCAAAGTCATTTGCCTCTGGTGTGACGTCTGCAATAATGGAACTTTCAGGTTGATCCTCTGACGGAAGAACTCCTGCTGCCTGAAAGAACTTCTGTGGTGGCACAGTGAGACGACCGGATTTGACAACGCATTTCGAGATCGCTGTCGCATAGATCAGAGGCGATGCCTGGACAGTTTTCCCGTCGTCTACTTTCTTCCATGGCTTGTAGTTGGGCGAATTGCCCCCCTTCCGCTTCTCGACAAAATGCGTCACAATGTACAGCCACTTCTTATCCCAGGCGAGTACCCTGCTTTGCACCTCAAACGCAGCACCTGGCTTGATCTCCTTCTTGAAGGTGCAGGAGGTGCCTGCGAGCAGAACCTGGACACCCTTCTTGTACTCCTTGTACAGTCCGCCATCAATTGCTTGAGCTCGCAGGGCTGCGAGAAGGTCTGTCCTTGCAACATCAAGGTCAAAGAAGTAGATGCTGTTTGACTTGTGCAAGTTGTAGTCGGTCTCCAGCAGAGCAACGCGAGAAGGTGTGACTACCGGCTGGAAGATAGCTCCAGGTTTGTGCTCGAAAAGACCAGTTTTGGGCCACCAAATGTGGCTGAACACACGAAACTGGCATTCAACATTAGGACCGATTCTTCCATACGGTAGTCAGTCATGTCCACAGCTGCAACTCACATGCCAAACAAACGGGATCCTCTTCAGATTCAGGTACAGCAGTGCAGCTGTGACGACTCCCCATGCTGTCTGTGCTTTGTTTGATGCGACAGATTGCACCACCTGCTCGAGGATCCGACGGAGGCACGGCTTAGCAGCCCCTAGCACATCTGTCATTGTTACCCGCAGTGTGGAGTTTATCATGTTGAATTCTTCTGTATATGGTCGTAGGATAGTAATCTGGTAAGTAAAGCTAGACTTCAGACAAAGCCGGATGGCCATGGAACATATTCAAAGCCTTAACGTGGCCACACGAGTCAGTCAATTAGCAGTGTCGTTACAGCGAGTCATTCACCTAGAGTTTATGGATCTGGATACTCTTATCAAAAGAGGAGGTTGCAAAGCGCTGCCTGGCAAGCGGATTCATACTGTAGTGATTAATTCTCGTCCCTCTTGAAGACTTAATGATTTCCACAAACTCCCAAGTTTCACTGGGCCATTTGGGAAGGTTAGTGCAAGGGATGTGGAACTTTGGATTTCATTGCATGAGTTTTGATATCTACATGTTCAGGTACCCAGTCAGCAGTCATACCATCGCGTGAATGGTGCACTCTTCTAGAAGGATGGGCTCTTCAGTAGCCGTAAGTACCTCGAAGCCGATCTGGAGCTGCTCGCCCTGTATGGACCCGCTCGGCGCCGAAACCGCGATCGGGTCCGATACAGAGTGGAGATAATTCGGCCGAGCTTACGGCAAACCCAGCGCGTTGAAATGGCTCATGTGTTACAAATCATTGAGAAAAGGACTACTTTAACATTATCATTGACCAAGACGCAGTCAGTTTTGTTTCATGCTCAAATTGGCTTTTCTTCTTTTCTGAGTGGCATTGTGGTATTCTGCCTAAATAAGTAGCAACTCTCCGTTTTCGAAATCGAAGACACCGGGTTAGGATACAGGTGCCATGCCGGTCTTACGAACTGCGCAAGCCCCGTCGTTGGGGAATGCTAGTTGTGGCATTTCCTTGTCGCGTAAATTCGCTTTCATCAATGTTTGAAGAATGTTTGGGGCTTCAATTTCTGAACCTGGGTAATGGTCCTGATTCGGGGAGCGATGCATAAGACGAGTCTAAGTCTGCTGTATGTCAAGTCAGCGGCACTCATCTGACGGTTATGAGGCTGCATGTCCGGTGATGATTTGGCCGCGATCGGTGTTTGGGAGAGAATCGTGCGAGTGTGGAAGACAATTTTCTGGTGCATTCGTCCAATTTCAGTGCAGGTAGCGAGCACAGACTCCACGTGTACAAGTCATTGCGTTGAGCAGATCGATTTTTCGGAGGTCCATACGGATAGATGAACAAGCGTTCGTCCTGGTTTGTGTTTTGCAGAGCAAATAAACAATGCACTAATCATCCGAGGAGAGACAATGTGCTGCAGATCCAGCTGTGCGTGCTCTGCATAACCCCTCGGGAATTTCCTGGCATCTCAGACACACCATCAATGACTATGCACCAAGGTGCCAGACCTTTCTGCTAGCTGAACACTAACACACACACACATACGCATACACAGGGTACATGCAGTCTAGACTCGGCCAGCTGTCTAGCTCCCTGAATCCAAGGACGGGTAGTCAGGATGACAGCAAGCTACACGCGTCAGTGAACTTGAGCATGTTTGTTCCATCAGGCTTTTGTCAAAGCACGAGGAAAAGGGATCATCGCCATCGGTAGTCCGTCTGCACCGCACCCAGTCTTACCCACGTTACTTCCGGCCCGCTGAGCTGACGCTCCACGCGGCCAACGGACGCCCCTGGCAAGTGCCGTCATTTAGCGGCACAACGCATCGGCCGAGGGCCCAAGTGCCAATCATCAACACAGGCTCATTTCGGTAGAAGTCGGTGTGGTTGCCAGCGGAAGAGCCGCAGCGCTTCGACAGAGGCGACCTTCCCACCCTCCATGACGTAGAAATGGCCAGGCACAGGCCCAGCAAGTTCGCCCGTCTTGGCTTAGAGCCGACTTGCCGGTTGTTCGTGGGGAACTTAAGAGCCCCATCCCATCCACATTGCCCATTCGGTCCAGCCAGTCGCCTAGTTCGAGACATTTGCTCTTGACGTCAACAGAACAGGGAATTTAGTGGAAAAAGAGGCTTACCACTTTTCCCGGCTCCTCAATGATCTCACCTATAGCTGGACGCAGCTAGAAGCTACCCAAATTGGACCAAAACGTCAACATAGCGGAAGCTATATGAGCTCTGTGCAGCTGCCCAAAATGTTTAGATGATTTTGAGTTTTGCTCCACACTGATTTTCATCTCCAAAGTGCGGACTTTATCTCATCACAATCGTTTGCGCGACACAATGGCTCGTCAACAGAGTCTGAGCTCTAAGCTCATCCACTTGCTGCCTTTCGTCGCATACTCTTCGGCATCAGCATTGTACTCTACCTATAGCTTCAACCCGTTGACACACCTTGGAGGCATTGCCCCGTACTTCGAATCACAAGACCCTCAATCATCACCCGACGCACCACAGGGATGCAAAGCAGAACGTGCAGCTTACCTGGTGCGACATGCGGCCATTTACGCAAACGACTTCGACTTCGAAGAGTACATCGAGCCCTTCCTTGAAAAGCTGGGCAACAAGACAAGCATCGAATGGAGCAAGATCCCCTACCTGAACTTCTTGTCGGGCTGGGACGCACCGGTATCTGAGGCTGAGGCCGAGATCTTGACGCGGGTTGGGAGACTTGAAGCGACTCAACTCGGCGTCGATCTCGAGTTCAGATACCCCAACCTCAGACTTCCCAAGAGAGTATGGACATCTTCCGCAGAGAGAACGGAAAAGTCTGCCCAGTCCCTCGTGCGTGGGCTTGAGACCGAAGACAACACTATGAACGTCGTCAGCATCTACGAATCCGAGGAGTCAGGCGCAGACAGCTTGACGCCTTACAAGGCCTGCCCTGCTTATTCTTCCTCTGCGGGCAGCAAACAGTCTGCCGTCTACCAGGAGAAGTTCACAAAACCCATCATTGCCCGCTTCAACGACTTGGCCCCCGAGTTCAACTTCACCACCAACGACGTCTTTGGCATGCAGCAGCTTTGTGGATACGAGACCGTCATTCGCGGAAAGTCCCCCTTCTGCAACCTGGAACTCTTCACTCCCGACGATTGGCTCGCCTGGGAGTACACGGAAGACGTCCGCTATCACTACAACGTTGGATATGGAGCAGAGGCGTCTGGATATGTTGGCCTTCCCTGGCTGAACGCCACCGCAACCCTGCTCCTGGGTGACTCAAGCGAGGAGGACATCTACGCCAGCTTTACTCACCGTGAACTACCTCCTATGGTCATCGTCGCGATGGGTCTTTTCAACAACTCCGAGTTCGGCGGCAGCGAGGCTTCCATCAATGACACTATGCCGCTTGACCGCATCAACTATCGCCGTGCATGGAAGGCCTCTAGCATCCTGCCATTCCTTGGCAACATTGCCGTTGAGCGTCTAAACTGCACCGGCGCCTACGGGTACGACAATGGCGATTACTACCGTGTGTTGGTGAACAGCGCTCCTCAACCCCTTCCCGACTGCGCCGATGGGCCCGGCACTTCCTGCTCCAGAAAGGGATTCGAGACGTATTTGCAAGACAGAGTGGACCAGTTCTCTGGCTTCTCCGAGAAGTGTGGTGTCGAGTACAAGAACAGTACCGATGTCCTGTCGATTTACACAGATGCCGCGGTTGGCAACGGAACCACCGTGGGCAAGCGTTATGCACCATTCGCGTAATTACACGTAGCATAACTTGTAATCATAGTATTAAATAATGTTTCATACTTCATTCAATATCCACCTTCTGAAGCTCGGAGTTGTCCATTTCCTTCATTGTCTCTGGATAGCCACTAAAAACCACAGTTGATGTCATGCCTGGCTTCTCACACCAAAGACCATACTGGTCATCCACGAACGCAACCAAAACCATAACCTCCGCGCTGTCACAGCATATGACAAAATGTAGAGAAAAGTTCGGTCGGCGATTCTAGAAGTATCAATTGTCTTGCAGTTGTCTACAATTAGCAATCACACTCCTCTCTTTTCATCACCACAGGGCGCTTACCATTGGATTCTTGCCCCCGCTCCTCTTCACCCATTCAAATGCTCGAGGTATGACAGCCTCTTCATATTGATTGCAAGCCTGTATTATTTCGTCCTCTCTCAGCCCTTCAGTCGTCTTTACCGTCTCTGCTAATCGGACCAGTAAAGGCAAGGCATCGGCTGTATCTCGCATGGCTTGGTTGCCACCCATTCCCCTATTGATGTCAGTCCTGGAATTTTCCATCGTCTATCGAAGGACTCACCTTGAAGGAAACATTGAATGCATAGAATCTCCTATTAGCCATATGTGCGGGTTCCCAAGCCGTTTATCATTAGCTGATACGACTAATTTTCGCCATGTCATTGACGGGCGGGAGGACACTCGTGGTGCCCCATAGTACATCTCTTGACCCCGGAAAACTCCAATGATATCTCGGCTATGGAGAGAAACACGTAAGCAATACAGTTCGAATTTAGAGAGGGCTTTGCGCAAACACCCTTACTGTTTCGGAGACCAGTCCTCAAAGAGATCGTCAACAGCGTCCCACTTTTCCGCTTGCGACAAAGATTCAAAGCTGCGTAGGGTTGTCATGCGGTTGACGAAGAATCCAACACCGAGCATGCACGATGCTAGCTCTTCTTCGTTTGCGGCATCTGCATTTTCAACACAAGCTGTCATATCACCACCAGGTAGGTAGACTAGGAAGACAAGCATCAACACTAGGTTCCACCGAAAAGGCTCAAATAGCTGTACAGGCACAGAATACCTTGGAAATATAGAGTCTTGCCATCGTGTAAGGTGGCTATGGGTGAACTGAGATCCGGTGACAGCCGGCGGCAGACAGACAATGGAAGATCGCATCTAGTCATAAACGACCTGAAAGAGGTCAGTTCCTCAATGTTGTTCAACCCTAAGAGGTTATTGATCTAGAATGCATAAGCATTTGCCGCTAAATCGAAGAGTGCGTGAACCGTTGGTGAGTTACCCGCGAGTTATTGCCATCTGCAGCAATCAAGATATCACAGATATCAGAGGTGCCATCATCGAATTTAACCTCAACTAAATCGCGGCCAACTTCTTGACGGATTGTGTAGTCCACGAATTTTTTTCGATAATGAATCTTGCCCATGCTGTTGAGTGGCTCGCGAAGCGCATCCTGGAGGATGACGCGGCTAATAGGTGAGGATTGTGTGTAGTTCGGGTCTCTGCCTGGTTCGAAAATCTTACGGAAGTGCTTGTCATATAAAATCGGTGCTTGTGATGATGTCGACCGGCCGAAGTGCTTGAAGATCGAGTCAATATGGTCCTGGTCAAGGCATGTCCGCATGCCTATTAATGTAGCTTCGCCCAAACGGATCTGGTAACCTTCTCTTTTCGAATTCTTCTCCTGTCTTTCATAAACCTCGAAGTTGACCTTGCTTCGAGATAGGCCGTTCGCCAGAAGGCTGCCGGCGAGACCGCCGCCAATAATGATCACCTTAAAAAGGGGTTGAGTGGTGGAGTTGCTCATTCCGATGATCAATTGAAAGTGAGACGGCGTGAATATGAACACTTGCTGTACCTGGTTTTAATCAAGGAACCTGTTGTAACCTCTTCTAACAGCTCACTGCTCAAGCACATCGAGGCAAAGGAAATCTGATAGCTGACACTTAATACTGCGCGACTACAGGAATTCGGTAGTCTAGGTGTCCGAACCCACCGCTTCGGCCAAGAATGTTCACCGAGTACCGACGCCGAATACCTGATATCCCAAGACTTGCAAGGATTCAGTTCGTCTGAATTTCTACTTGGCAACCTTCACTGCTGCTCTCCATTGGCAGGTAACATCTTTAGGTGAGTGTTTGGCTGATATGATTGGTCATAGCAACAGTCCAAAGGTGAGACGGGATGAGAACTGGCTCCCCAAAAGGGACATTGATGGCCGAGTTTCAAAACCAATGGCACTTTGTTTGAAGTTAATCGGGTATGAGACCGATGACATTGTCGCAAGCGCTGTTGAGTTTCATTCCCTCTTTCCCTTTTACTTTATTGCGTTGAAACCGGGGCACTGCTGTTTAGATGCTAATCACTGGCCGTAATATAAAGTGTCGTTCTTATTGTTATACTCTAATTTGATTGTTTCTTCACTGCAAAAAAACCCTGAATGTTTTTAATAGTTCGAAAAAACCGAGAATTATTTGAGTCTTATACTCGTAGGTACTTTAGATAAGAGTTGGATAATTTACCGCCAAGTAGTGTGGCTCATGTCAGGCAGTGAGTCCCTGACGGTGGCCCGGGGTCTTCTTCAATATTGGAGACAGGAGACAGTCTGATTCTTATGCTTCGAAGGATAACATACGCCAAATGCTAACTCCATCTCGTTTACACGGAACGGCAGGAGCGTGGAAACTTGGGCTTTAAAGATTTGGTTTTCCCCTTACCGAATCAACATGGATACAGCCTACATGTACGCGCCTCACTTATGTCTAGTGTAGACCTATCTCCTCATACAGTATTTATAAATTCTTATTCCCACAAGCATATTCATGTTTGCCTACCGATACTTAGTGTTACGCTGTCATGTTGGCTTCCATCCAACTCGAGAGACCAGCATGCTCAAAGCCATAATTTCGGTATGGTCTAGACCTTTTCTTCGCATTGTAGTACGTAATAGAAAGGGATATAGTGTACAGGATTTGGAAATGCCTGTACCAACATCCAATCCTCGGCGATCTTGCGGGAGCTTTCGCTGATAACGGTATTGCGTGGGCCATCGGCGTCGGCCGCACGCCGCTGCAACCCCCATGCCATCTCATCCTTTACTAATGCGTCCGCGTCCATGGAGAAGCTCCGTTTGATAGTGGATATCTTAACATTCAACTGCATGTGAATTCCCGCTGTGCCGGAGTTTATCCCCTTCTTGGCGACAGCTGAGAGGTGAGGCACTGCAGCACGCAACTTCGACCCCTACACGGAACTCCCGCGCGGCGCGATGGAGTCCGGCGTTGAATTGCGCCATCACCACTAACGCGTTGTTACGTACCATTTTGCTACTTTGCATTCAAAAGAAAGTGATGTTGGTTCGAGGGGCCGACCGTCGGCCTACTGTCTACCGTCTTTTGTAAGGTATTTTACACAACGACCGAACGCAATACATTGCAGATCAATTGATGATAGTCCAGTACCATATCGCCCAATTCGAGGCTTATAAGATGGCACCCGACTTTAAGACAGCCTTAATTCATAGCACGATGGCATGTCTCAATCTGAAGCCAATACCATTTCCAAACGAACCGTTTGTCCCTTTTGAAGCTTTTAGTGATCACACTCAACTCATGTTTTTTCTTCACGTTCTCATGCTTCCTTCTTCAAGTTGACTGACCGGGAAGATTCGCCATGCTGGTGACAGTTGTTGTCATCGCCAGACCCTGTTTGACCCCTTGGTCCCCCACATCGGAGGCCGGTTGTGTCATCCACCCCTCGGATGTTGAAATCGGGAACGGCCCGTTAGCGAACGTTTACCAAATTACGACCAAAGCTCATCGGCATCGAGAGCAGATGAAGACCGCAAAGTGCTTAAGCCTCTTCGGATAGCAAAAGCCAAAATGCAACGATAAAACTTTGCGGGAAGGGTGAGAGACCCTTGGTTTAAAAAGGTAGGTGAAAGCCAGCACGATTCCTTTGATGAGCTCACAGTGCAGCACCCTTGATCGAGAACTGCCCGTCTGACACCGCCGGCTCATTTTTAACGGAAGATTACTTTTTTTGAGACGCTATAATCAGCCCTACCCGTGTCCTCGCGTCTTGGTACTCGTTCCGATGGCTTGGCGACGTCCGTTTGGCGATCGCGCTAGCGCGCAAGGGACGGTTGTTGAGGGCCATCGAGAGCAGATCTCGAATGGCAGCACACAATACATCGGCGAGAAAGGAGGAAACGATGCGCCTCCAACCTATCAGGATGCTTCTGGAGCGCCTGTCGAGAACAACTCGCCTCTAGGATACGATGTTGGCCCTGTCACGATTACACTATTGAACATCACGATGATGATTGGCGCGGGTATCTATTCTACTCGTATGTTCGACCGATTCGATGTTTGCCCAACCTTCACTGAATTTTTCCAGCGGCTTCTATCTTGAATGGCACTGGCTCCGTCGGTGTCAGCTTCATCTATTGGACTCTTGGTTATTTTGTACGTTCTTATGGTATTCCCATGACTACATGCAACATGCTACGCTAGAAGGGAGCAAATGCTGACCATCTCCACCCCTAGTTGTGCCTTGCTTCCGGAGCGGTCTATCTCGAATTCACGGCGTACTTCCCTAGTCGATCAGGGTCTGAGGTTGTGTTCCTCGAACAAGCCTTTCCCCGCCCGATGTGGCTGTTTCCAACCACCTTTGCGGTCCAGAGCGTCATTCTCTCTTTCGGAAGTGCCAACGCCACCGTCATGGCCAATTATCTTATTGCCATTTCAGGACATGAGGGCACCAATTGGCAGATCAAGGGCACTGCACTGGCTTGCTACAGTCTGGCCACATTGAGTGAGTTCCCACATCACCAGACCCTTCGCATCAATCCGACATGGCGTAGTTCATCCACTAACAACCTACAGCACTGGTTTTCAACACAAAGTATGCATACTGGTTCTCCAACGGCGTTGGAATCGTAAAGATTTGTACCTTGCTCTTCGTAATCATTACTGGGTTCGTCGTCCTTGGCGGTGGCACCAGGGTTGAGAAGCCAACGGCCAACTTCCAGGACGCTTGGTCCGGGAGCAAGACAGCCAGTGCCTATGGTATGACCACGGCCCTTTACCGCATCATCTTCTCTTACGGTGGCTACAACAACGCCTTCAACGTTGCTAATGAGGTCAAGGTATGTACAATGACGCCAGACGGTAGATGACTTCATACTGATCCAGAACTTGTTAGAATCCTGTGCGATCACTTAAGATCTATGCGACAGCTGCACTGACAACTGTGTACATATTGTACATGTTCGCCAATGTCGCATTCTTTGCCGCTGGTAGGTTAATTACCCAAGTCTTGGTATTGGTATCTTGGTATCATGTCTAACGGAAGGATGCTGCAGTCCCAAGAGAACTCTTAGAGAAGTCTGGCCTCACTGTGGCAAGCTTATTCTTCACCCAAGTCTTCGGCAACAGTGGCACTGTTCGGGGACTCAACTTCCTCATCGCCCTAGCCTCCTTCGGAAACATGATTGCAGTTATTATCGGTCTGTCTCGACGCATCAGAGAGTGTGGACGACAGGGCGTCTTGCCATACACGAGATTCTGGGTTTCAACCAAGCCCTTCGGTACTCCCCTTGGGCCTTATCTCGTCATCTGGTTTCTCACGGCGCTGATGATTCTGGCTGTTCCTGCTGGAGATGCCTTCACCTTTGGTGAGTTGTACCTCTCAGTTGGCACTCGATGCAGAAGACTAACTTTGATCAGTGAATGATCTCGGAGTTTTCCCGTCAGCTGCCTTCAACTTGGCCATGGCTGTGGGGATCTACGTCGTTCGCTGGCGCCGCAGAAAGGCGAATCTTCCGGAGCCTGAGTTCAAGGCTTGGCATGTGGTTATCATCTTCAACATCTGCATTCAGCTCTACCTTCTCATCATGCCATGGTACCCCCCAGCAGGTGGACAGTATGCCGGCGATGTCAGCTTCTGGTATGCGACGTACGCAGTTACTGGCGTCGGAATGTGAGTTGAACCCTTCCCTCTATATCTGTTTCTTGAGCAGACGCTGATCCTAGGACACACAGTCTCCTTTTATGCGCTGCCTACTACTGGCTCTGGGCTTCCCTTCTTCCCAAGTGGAGAGGCTACAAACTGAGGCAAGAGCTGGTTAGCTTCGATGATGGGGCTCAAAGCAATCAACTCCGGAAGATTCCAAACGCCGAGATCCCCGAGTGGGACAACACTCACGATGCGAGTGGTCGCCTCATTGGACCATCCGCCGATGAGGTTCTCGTGCAGGAAAAGGGGGTGCGCGTCTCATCTGAGGGGAGTAACTCCGATACTGGCAAACAGGTCCCAAATGCAGTGAGAGAAACTCATCATGTCTGAAAATGGTACGAGGATTGCGAAGGAACTGCAGCCACGTACCTATGTGCTGAGGTGAACAAGTTGCAAATCTTGGCTTGCCTCAGATAGCACCGTCGTCATCCTGGAAAGGATTTCATTGGATAACTATCATGGCATTTGGCCCATGGAAGGTCACATCGTGCTCACATATTCAGATAGCAGCCAGCAACAATAGCTTGAGCAAAAGATTTGATCCCCCTTGCACCTGCAAACTGAAAACTCCAGCATCGAGGTAAGCAATTGACACGCGTCTGTTTTCCAGCTACTTCTACCCTCTATGATGCACGGGGTGTCTTGTTCTCCTGTTGCATGACTTTTGCATGTTTACGACTTATCCAAACCTCAACATACCTCCAGTATCTTGGCGTCAGCTCAAGAATAGGTCACAGGCAAATCGCAATTTTCTCAAGTTCCCCCCTGCTATCAAACGCGACAAGGGAT